ATAGTAATAAAGTTTCCCTACCGAATTGTCATTGTAATTGGTGTACTTATGGTGTTAGTTTTGGTTATAACTAGAGCCAAAAGTGTTATTTTTTGTGACAGTTTTATTCGTATACTACTGTCACTATACTTGATATCATTTTTTTAAAGCATATTCGGTATGTTATACATTCCTTACTTACAAAGACCTATATTTATACATAAACAATAGCTCCAAAGATTAGCACAAATATATTAACTAAACTTCTACATATCTAATACAAATACTTATCTAATTATCTATTATAATCTTGTCAATTTTGAAAAGAAACTAAACCAAATATTTCATATATTTTTAAGCTTTTACTCAGAATATGGCTTTAAAGTCTAAACTATTTAAATGTTGTAAATTCAATAAAATTATATGTATAAATAATAATTTAAATATAGGATGAGCTATAAAATATAAATCATTGTTAACAAATTATTACCTTCTAAAATGAGTGGGTAATATACTTTAAGCAATGATTCCATACATGAAAAGCATCACATGATAATCAAACTATACATTTCCTAGTTGTTGAGCATATTACTAAGAAAATAAAATTAATTCAATTCATAAAAATGATAGTATAATTTTTATTCTAATTAGAGAATAAATTTAAAATACTTACTTGCATATACATTAACTTGATTTTAGTTTTCTTTTTGTCAACTATATCCACTAACTTTCAATAATGAAATGAAGATCTATTTATCAAATATATACAATTACAAAAATATTTAATATATGCTAATAATATGACAAAAAAGAGTTATTCAAAAGACTTACAATTCAATCAATAGCTTCATATTGTAGCTTACTTCCCATTGTAATAAATAAAATAAATATATAGTATTTTCATAAGGACAAATGATAAGAAGCATTCAATAATTGCTACAATGTATTAGTTTATATTAATACCATATCATTAAGCAAAATTTTTATAAATTGAGAGATAAATTAGAAGTTTAATACTTTTTAATAATTGGTACATACCAACACCTCTTGTTTAACATATGCATTGACCTTATAATATAAGACACTTCTTGATTCACTTTGTTGATTAAAGTCAAGAAAGGAGACAAGGACCCATAATTATGTCCAACATCAAGTTGGAGTACAATAAAAAACTATTGCCTATACATATAGGCCATTCCCCCGTTATAACAATTTTTTTTTTACTATTGTCATAGCCTTAAAATGTTGTAATGATATCTTGTAATGTAGACCATGCCATACTTTTCTTAAAACTCATTACTTGTTCGTCGTGTCTCCATCTTTATCTACCCTCAAGGTTGGAGCTAAGATTTAACAATAAGTGAGGCCATAACCATAAAACATATATATAATAAAGTTTTCACAAATTTTAAGAAGATTGAAAATATCTAACATCTATATAATACTAAAAAAATTTAAAGGGTATGGTCTAAGCTAGTCCCCTTCTTTCATCCCTGCACTCTCCCATGACATGCCTTTGTTGTTGTTAGTGGGTTCGTGCAACTGTGGAATTGTATGTAGATCTACTTCATTTTTCCTCCCTAGCGCCTTTTTAGAATGTACTTTCTCTACTTTCAATAACATTTTAAAGTAGTTTTAAAATGTACTTTCATCTTTTTATTTTTTTTCAAACAACACCTCATATTTTCAAGGAGGAATGGTATTAAGGGCCTTAAAAATAGACTTTATTGCAATTTGGGCCTAAATGAATTTGATATTACTTTCAGGCCTCGGGGCCTTTATTGCCAATTTTCTTGAGGCCAAAAGTATGATTTTGCCCTTTATTTGATTTGAATTCAGAAAACTTGTGTGAAAAACTTGAAGCAATAGATTCTATCTCTTCTTTCTCATTTCTTTAGTTATCGCTCTGCCATTGTTAACCATCGATGGCGTGGACGAGTGTAGAAGTCTTGGCTATTAATACTTCAACAATAAATTATGATTTTTCATCTCTTTCCTTGCATTGAGTTGTTGTTGATCGCTGTAACCTTTAGAATTTAGCCTCTTGCTACCATTGGAGGAGGACTGTGCTAGTCGGGATCTTCCTCTCCATTCATTCTTCTTCCTTGTTCCTCCCCCATCATGCATTATCGTCAGTTCTCTCCCTTATTTTCTCTTACTTCGTATATCACCAGAAAAGAATGTTAACATTTAGTTTTTCCTCTTTCAACTTATGCTTTGTGCTAATAGACAATAAATCTTTGCTTTGTATTAGCCTATAGTAGAAATAAAGATCTAATGTGCTCCTTGTTTTGAACCTGAAACCCAACCCTGTGATAGTTCAAAACAATATGACTTTCAATTGATAATATATGAACCTTATATTATGCATAGTGGATATTGTGTTGTATATTGTTTATCTAAGTTGAGCTTTTTATTTAGCCTAGCCTAATGATAAATTAAAATCGCATAGACTTTCAGTTGAAAATATATAAACCTTGTGTTATGCATAATAGATATTGTGTTGTATATTGCTTGCCTAAATTGAGTATTTTGTTAAGCCTAGCTTTTTGATAAACTAAAATCGCATCGACTTTCAGTTGAGAGTATATGAACCTTGCGTTGTGCACAGTGAATTTTATATTGTACATTATTTTTCTAACTCGAGCATTTTGTTAATTCTAACCTACTGATAAACTAGAATCATATAAACTTTTAGATAAGAATATATGAACCTTGTATTATGCATAGTAGATATTGTGTTATAGATTGTTTGCTTACTTATGCATTTTGTTAAGCCTAACCTATTAATGATAAAGTAGAATTGTATGGACTTTAGTTGAGAGTATATGAACCTTGTATTATGCATAGTGGATATTGTATTATACATTATTTACCTGCTTGTACATTTTGTTAAGCCTAGCTTACTGATGATAAAGTGGAATTGTATGAACTTTTAGTTGAAAATATATGAACATTGTGTTGTGCATAATAGATATTTTATTACACATTATTTGCTTATTTGTGCATTTTGTTAAGCTTAACCTACTAATAAAGTAGAATTGTATAGACTTTTAGTTGAAAATATATTAACCTTATGTTGTGCATGGTGGATATTGTGTTATGCATTGTTTGCTTACTTATGCATTTTTTGAGCCTAGTCTACTGATGAAGTAAAACCGTATGGACTTTTAGTTGAGAATAAATGAACCTTATATTATGCATAATAGATATTGTGTTATGCATTGTTTGTCTATTTGTGCATTTTATTAAGTTTAGCCTACTAATAAAGTAGAATCGTGTGGATTTTTAGTTGAGAATATATGAATCTTATGTTGTGTATAGTAGATATTGTGTTGTGCATTATTTGCTTATTTATACATTTTATTAAGCCTAGCCTATTGATAAAATAAAATCATATAGACTTTTAGTTGAGAATAAATAAACCTTATATTATGCATAGTGGATATTGTGTTATGCATTATTTGCCTAACTTTAGTATTTTGTTAAGCCTAACATAATAATAAATTGAAATTACATAGACTTTCAGGTGATAATATATCACAAACTTTTTTTTTCCCTTGCAATCGCTTTTAACTAGCCGTCTTCATAGGAGACCACAAACAAGGAGAATAGAGTCTTTTAAGATAAGAAGATTTATCATTGTTCAAGATGCGAGGAAGCCGGACACAGTCGTAAGACATGCAAGAATCCTAACCTAATATGAGAAGTAGTTACATTATACTTCTTTTTTATACATAGGCAATTATAATTATGTATATGAAAGCATTTTCAATTAATATTTTTTGGATAATCAAAAATCACAAATATTTTTTGTTTATATATAGAGAAACAACTGTCAGATATTTAGATATAGTGCCTAACTTTTTGTATATATCAGATTTGAAATATTATGTCAAATTTCATGTGGGTATTTATTGTAGTACCTAGGTTAATACTAACATGAAATTATTCATATCTAATGTAATTGTTCTTCTTAATATTAAAAATGTATGGACTTTCTATTGAGCATGCATGGACATCGTCTTTGCATAGTGAATGTTGTGCCATGCATGATCTGCTTAACATCATTTTATTATAGCCTAGGCTAGTGAAATACTGAAAATACATTAATTTTTTGTTGAACACACATGGACATCGTCTTGTGCATAGTAGATGTTGTGTCGTGCATGATCTGCCTAGTCATTTTTGTTAGAGCTAAGACTAGTGAAATACTTGAAATGCATGAACTTTCTATTGAGCATGCGTGGACATCGTCTTGTGAATTGGGGATGTTGTGTCGTGTATCGTTTATTTCATTGTTTCGAGGATTCACACAAGTTCTGAATTCAAATCAAACAAATGACAAAATCGCACTTTTGGTTTAAAAAAAATTGACAATAAGGGCTCCAAAGCCTACAGAGCAATATCAGATTCATTTAGGCTTAAATTATAATAAATTTTATTTTTAAGATTCTTAATATCATTTCTCTTATTTTAAAAGTGAGAGAGTACTTTTTAAATATTAAAACTGGGTTATCGAAACACATCCTAATAAGTTGTGTCTGATGTCGATTTCTCTCTTCTCTCATCAAGTCACTTTAAGACTTTACTCACTTTTTGCCCAATCAAGTTCTCGAGATTTTTTTTGCTAAAAAAAATTAAGTTTTTTTTGACTATGTAGAATATTTATTATATTCTGTTTATATTTTATTCACAATTATGAATGCAATATTTTATTATTAAAATTATTTTTATTTTTTTATCTATCTCGCTGCCCTGGATTAACATGTAAGAAGGCGTAAGATGCGTCTCCCGAAGCAATAAAATCATGCCACATCATGGCTAGAAGAGTCACCAAAGGAAGGTCTTTGCCGAAAATAAAAAGAGAAAATGAAGGGCAATACTATTTATTTTTCCCGAGAGTTCTTTTGTTTGCAGATCTGTAGACGTGGCAGAGTATTAGTGGTCTACATCATCCATAGCCATATATACAAGGTGGGGGCCAAAAAAAAAAAAAAAACAAAAGAAAGAAAGAAAAATGAGAAGAAACGAAAGAAAATCGCTGTCGCTCGGTTCGGCAGTAACAAGTAATAGAGTAGCTCTTCACTGTTAGATCCTCTCTGAATCGGAGGAGGCAGATTTTGTACCGATCCTAGCAGCCAAGCCTCGAGTGAGAAAACGAAGAAAGAAAAGCGTCACGAAGAACCGCAACACCAAGAGCGATCATCAGATCTCCCCCTCCCTTGTGCTCTGTTAGCCCTATCGCTCGCATGTTCACTGATCCTCCACTAATGGCTTCTTGATCAGGTTATTTTCGTCACCACCTCTTTCGCTCGTCATGCATTTCTAGACCTTGGCACTATACCTTCTTTTTAAAATTTTAGTGTTTCTTGGGTTCTTAATTCCTGTACTAAATGTCACGATTTGCTTTCCAAATAAATTCGAGATGTCGTACATGGCCAATAAAGTTTTCGCATCGCTCTTGTACTGCGTAAACATGGGGCTCGAGAGTCCTGACCATTATGATTTCGGTTTTTCAATTTCGTTGTATATCTAGGGTCTGATTTGTCTTCAAATTCCTAGAATCGCATTCTTGGTTGAAAGTTGCAGGCAATCGAACAAAATACGAATTCACCAATTCCTCGTGCTTTATTTCTATGGTATTGCTTAGTTCTTATGGAATCAATTCTGATTAATAATATAATTAGATTGTGATCTTGGAGAATCCAATCTCCTTTGTCTGAAAAATTCCCTATCTGGACGCAGTGACATCTCTCATAAAAGATTGTATGAAGAAGTAATTAAATCATATGGGGTGTTCACTTGGCTGTACTGGTGCCGCGGCTGTTAACTCAGATGTGCGATATATGCATGTTTACTACGGTAAAGAAACTTTAGGCAGATTCAGAGGTTAGTTGTAATTTATATTTACAAATGATCTTTTGATAGCACATTAGCTTATATATTATATACTTCATTTCCATGTTTTAGTAGTTTGATTTCTCGTCTTTGAAAATGAAAATGGCCCATGTTTTGCCGAGAGTTGAAAAGTTGGAACTCCTCGTTCCACCCTTCATCTATTTTGTGCGTGTGTTTTGAAGGAAGGTTCAACTATTGTGTTTTGTGCGAGAAAATGCAGCACTTTTTATTCCATGAAAGGTGATGCTTTAATTATTTTATTTCCAAATATTAGAAATACACAGATACAATTTTTAAAAGTTGACTTATTTGAGTCCAAACTTATAAACTTAGCCAAACGTCTTGTTGAATTAAATTTAGAGTTCTAGGATTCAGGGTAAATAGTTGAGGTATGTATTTATTTCAGGACCAAAATGTACATGTCTTCTTTTCTCATTTGTTAAGTTTATTCCCTTTTGAAGAATCGAGCTGATTAGGAGACTGTTTATGCTAAAGTCTTCACTATGGTTTTAAGAGCTCACATATAATTGATTGTAAATGGACTGAAGTTATGAGAACGGATAGCAGGTTAGTAAGGGGAGTCAGAATTCGCTGTTTGTAGAAAGTGCTGTTGTGCTGTTATATAAGCTTGGCATAGTTATACACACGAACCATGGCTGAAGGAGCTGAGCAGGTTGAACTTAAATTCCGCATATTTGATGGAACAGATATAGGCCACGGTACTTATTCATTGTCGACAACAGTTGGCACCCTTAAACAGCAGGTGGTTGCTGAGTGGCCTCAAGGTTAGCCATCTTATTCTGTCATGTCTGTATGAATTCTTTTTGGTTGAGTTTAATAATATATACTGTGAGTAATTATTTGTTTAAATCAGAGTTATTGCTGATCAATAATCAGTTTGCACTCCTTGTTCCATAAAAGAACTGATCTATGATGTCCATACCCTTTGGTGACTGACTATGATACACATCCAACTTTCTGCCCCTGCATGGTTGACAAGCATGTATAGTTCAGGACTCCAGGCCCCTTGAATAAAAACGACATTTATGTTAAATTGCTACATTGATGATAACGTTATATAGCCAATAGATGTTGCCAAATGGTACACAAGATTAGAAAAATTGGACTCTATTATACTTGTATATCTAAAATTGGATATACTTGTATATCTTTACTGCTGAAACCTATAGAATCACATGATATTGGTTTTGTAATGTCGTTTTGGTATTCATGTTTTTCTATTATTGAGAGCTTGTTTGGATTAACATTTGCGGAATTGAATTTTGTATAAACAACAGTTTGCAAATTCAAGTTAGGTTAAAAGTCAGTTGTTGTAATGTGATTTATGTTTGAATACTCTTTTATAAAAAATCAATTTGACAAATTGAAAATGACTTGGATTATATGACTAAAAAGCAAATTTAAATATGTATAACAGAAAAGGACATGGGTTGGTTAAAAAAATAAAAAAATAAAAAAAGAAAGGCATGAGTTGTATCTCTCTCTCTCTCTCTCTTTCTCTCTGATATATATAAGTATGCAAGTTGATAAATTTAAGAAAAATATTAAAATTATAATTATAAAAATAAAATAGTTAATGTATTAATGTAGAAAATATTTTTAAATGCTAAAAAAACTTAATTAGATTTATTTAAAGAATATATATATGTATGTATGTATTACAAAAAATAAAAATATCATATTTGAAAAGGAAATGTGGGAGGATAAATAGGTTATTCAACAAATTTAAAATGCACTAAATGTTGCTAACGGTTAGATTTCAACATAACTAATGTAAAAGCTTTAAAATCTAGCTTTTGGCTTAACTATAATTGGGAAAGAAAAGTTCATTTGCCAACTTCTCTAACCCAAACATAGTTGTTTATCCCTAACTAGCTTTTAAACCTACAAACTATAGTTTAAGCCAACTAAATGGAATCCCAAACAAGCACTTAATCCCTTATCATGCATGTTTTGTGGCATGCATATAGAGCTGAGGAAGTATTAATTAAGTATATAGATATATAAATTATATCATGGATTTGAGTATTTTCCAAACATAAAAGCTATGGATTTAGTTTCCACTTGCTGGAATGAAATCTTACAAACTAAAAATTGGTGCATCTTTAAAGTACCCTTGGAAGATTTACATCAGTTAATGTTATGAGAACTAATGCATTGAATAACTCATTTTATTTAGTATATTGAGCCTTGTTAATTCATAAAAGGTTTGATGATCCGTATTAAGTAATATTTCTTCCTGTTCGCCAATCTTGAAACACGTATCCATTGACCCGAAAGCTTGAATTCTCTGTATCAGGGTTTCTAAATGAAAAATGCTTCGGCTGTTAAGTATCCATGCATTATGAGCCTGCTACATTTGAAATATTTATACATGTGCATATAATTGGCTCTTGATTTGTCTTCCAATTACGGAAAGTTATCACTTTTTTTTAAGATAACATTATATATAGAGTTGATATATTTGACAGCATGCTAACCAACCTTATGAAATTTAAGAAATCTCCATAGATACTGTATGTCCTCCCCACCTTCTAATGGAGTCTTTGCATTTGCAGGAAAAACAATTTCACCAAAATCAGCCGGAGATGTAAAGCTTATTCATGCTGGTAAAGTTCTGGAAAACAGCAAAACACTAGCTGATTGCAGAATAACTCTCGGTGATGTTCCTGGGGGGGTTATTACCATGCATGTTGTGGTGCAGCCTCCTGTAACTAAGAACAAGACAGGTTTGTTAATGTGCTTTAAATGAAGTAAGCTAAATTTTGTGTGTTCAGTAAATTCACCCGAGATCTGTTTGGAGGCTTTTATGCGTGCCCTTGTTTCTAAATCACACTTATTTTCCCCTTGGGTTACCATGCAGATAATAATCAGGAGGAGAATCAAAAGATGAATTCATGTTCATGTACTATCCTTTAGATTATGAAGGACATATGTGGCTGCAGTTGAATGTAACGTTGCAGTTTTGGCATTATAAGCTTGATGAGAAGGCACCTGGCTCTTCAAAACAAAACAGATGTTTGGCCTTACCAATCGTTTTTCTTGCTTCCATTTGGTTTTGAATCATTTTCTAGTCAGTCTTTGCAAAGAAATCAGATATCTGCATTGTAATGCTCGGATCTCAGCGAGCACAAATCGGAGTCTTGCGGGCCAGAAAACATGCGGACCTTTACTTCCAAAGTGTGACATCATCGAAGGATAGAATCCTATATTTTTCACTTTTCAAAAGTTTGAACACATATTTAGACGTACATGTATAGTGAATAGAACAAGGCAAGTTAGGATTTGTGTCTGACGCGTGTGTGACAGTATGAGGTAGCATTTCATTGGATGAAAATTGAAGAGACAATGAAGAAGAAATATTATATTGGATGAAGGTAGCATTTCGTTGGAGTGGAGTCTGGGCTTCAGGTATGTTGGTATGGAATGTGATTGTATCAAGTGGATGGGGTTAATTTGGGGCTAAAAGGATGCTCTGTCGTGCTTGAGTGCTTACTGTTAAGGGGTGGTTCAGCTGTTGCCCCTCTTCCATTAGAGGAATCAAGTGGCTCTTTGTTCCCATGAGATGGTGTTCGGGTTGAAGGTCCTCCACAAACCTCTTCTGTTCGACTTTCTCTTTCTTTTTTTAATTTTAATTTGAAAATTCAAGCTCTTTCTTTTTATTGTTTTCATAAAAGTTTTGCATCTTAATTTATTTCGTTGCTCGAGTTTTTGGTTCGGGAACATTAAAATCAAGTCAATTTATTTTGTTTGAGATTGTAATTCACAATTTTCTTGTTCGACAAACTTCCCGTCGTTTTATTGACCCTTGTCTCCTCTCGAATCTGCTCGTTCCCCTTAATATGAAATAATTTTTTTTTTTTTTATCTCTCGCGAGTAGTAATCAAGTTAAATTGCTTTCTATGAATTCAAACCTTAATAAGTAAATAAGGGATAAAACTGAAAAAAATAATTACTCTAACTTTCTCTTTAATAAGTAAATTTTTACTCTAACCTTAATAAATTACTAAATAAGTAATTTTTTTTAAAAAAATACTCTTTATGTTCAATATTATAACACATTTTTAGCATAATTAAACTCTTAATGAGTTAGTTAATGATCTTTAAGATTACACAATTTTTTTAAGTTTATTATCAATATATACATACACAAATTTTATAGCTTCAATCTTATTGATAAAAAAAAAATGAATCTTATTAGTTAATAAGTTTTAAACTAATGTTAATATAAAAATTTCATTTAATTCATTAATGAGATTTAATTTATTTTTTTTATTTTTTATATATTTTTATTTTACTTTTATAAGAGCATTGATTCAAAAGCAATTTTATTTAAAAAAATAGACTCTCATTGATTAATAGATTTTAAATTAATGTTAATATGAAAATTTCTTTTGATTCATTAATGAGATTTAATTAATTTTTTTATTTTTCATGTATTTTCAATTTACTTTTACAGGAACATTGATTCAAGAGCAATTTTATTTTTAAATTTTTTTTATCGTTAGCATTAACTTTATCTAGTTAACCTTCTCCATTTGTTGTACTTTTCTATGCTTTTTTAATTTTTTTTATCAATGAGATTTAATTTATTTTTTCTATTTTTCATGCATTTTCAATCTATTTTTAGGAGAGCATTGTAAGGGGTGCCCTAAATTTAGATTTAAATCATCACACTAATTATGGTTAATTAAGGATTAACCTAAAAAGATTATTCTATAATAAATTAACCTAAATAAGTCATTAACATGTATTTTCACAACTATTTAAAACAAAGGATTTCAAGTCTTTACAATATTTCAATAACTCACACCATTCAATTAAACTTATGCAGAAACATGAAATTGATTAAGCATTAAGAAATATATTTCAACATGGGAGAACAACTTTCCCCTTTATTTTCCCTTTGCGCCCTACTCCAAATAGTATATATATTCACCAACACAACACTTGGCCACTTAAAAACTTTTATAATTAATAGCGGGAGGTTAATGTTTTAATTACATTTATCACAATGATTTTCATCTAGTCATCATGCTCTATATATTATCTATTTATTAATAGCTCATCATATGTATGAATTTTCCTTTTCATTCATGTATCGCTAACATCAATTACTCACCCTTGGATATTAAAAATATAAGGAAAGACCATAACAATATTCAAGTTCTTAAATCATGCATATAATAACTATTTTCATTTTCACAAGTATTTTGGTTTGCTAATATAAGTATAAGCACCAAATTACATTTCTAGGGGCCCAAAATATACTTTCACCCAACACAAAACTCATAATGCAAGTAGATCAATAATGTATTGTCCTGCTTGATAATATCATAAACTAAATATATATATCAAAATAAAAAAATGGAAGGCCTATAAAAGTGATTCTTATCACATGGCCTAACGCCTTTTTGCTCTATTTTTCTCAGATGAGCTAATTCCTGTAATATGTTAAAAGAAAAAGATGAGTATAACCACTCAATAACCAAGGTATATTAAAGTTATACAAATGCATGATAATTAATTATAGCAAGTGGCTAAAAAATTTATCAAGATAATCATGTAAACAATTGAGAGCTATTAGAGACAAGAGAGGGAAACTAGAGAAGGATTAAAAAATATCATATCTATTATTGAGATGAAGGTTACATTATATACACAAGGAAAATAGATCTTACAATAAATAGATAATACAATAATGACTAATAACTATATAATAGTATCAAATAATATCTCATGATAATAATTGAGATATATATACAATAATAATAAAAGATATTTGGAGAATATTCTAAATAACAACAATCATATTGATCACATTAACATCTAACTCATGTAAATAATTTTAAAAATAAAATTAAGTACAAAATTAGCACGATAGCCCACGAATACTACATGTTCGTATAAAATTGGCATAAATGCCCGCATATTCATTTCTCATATATTTATTACGCGTTATCATTTTTACAATTATAATTATAATCTCAATCATAGCCATCGATCACTCAAATGTTATAACAATAATGAAATACATGATTAATCTCTTCTTTATATCCCCCTTATTTTATTTGACATGAAATTCATGGGCCAACAACTGAAAGGGATCGTTCATGTGGTAAAACTACTCAAGGCCTTAATCACATTATGAGGGACTATCGGGTCAAGGTTACCTTACTCACTTATAAACACAATTTCTCCTAAATCATACACTATGGGGTGTCAGACTCAAGATTAACTCTACCTAAAACTTCAAGTAAGTCAGTAGGGTTAAGTCTCTTAATAAGAACAATGTTACAATAACCTATAAGGTAAATAGCGGTTATAACCTCTAGGATTAATGATTAATAGTCAAGTATCATATATATTTTACACAATTGTTAACTCTTTCACTAAGACGAACTCTCGCCATATGATCATGCTCATGAGAAAATATATTTCAATAACTTATAATTCATAATTAACCCACATGTTTTGCAATTTTCATGTTCAACCAGCATCAAGAATCATCAGATCTCAGTCACGCCTCATACATCAATTTTCATGCCACCGTGTAAATCACATTAGCATCATATGAAAACTTAACATACTCATACATAATTAATCACTATGTACAATTCACAATTTATTTTTAAAAGTATGTACATTATCATCAACCCTCAATTTCATTACTCAAAATCATGTTACATTATCGTATGAAACATAAATTAATATTAGCAATCCACATTATAAGGAAGCTTTTCTATTCATTTCTTTTTCTCCACATCCGACCATCATATTCAAATTCTTTATATATGTCACAATTAATTTGATCACAAATTATAAAATCTCAACAAGGCTACATATGCATTACAAACAAAAATTTTAAGATTTGAATATATATATATATATATATATGTTTCACAAATATAAACAATTAATTAACATATAAATGTATAAAATAAATTTTCTCTTGTTACCTCAGCCTTTGAGAGTTTACCACCCCTCAAATCAATACTTACAAACTTTGAATGGTGCCAAAAAATAATTAATTTATAATTAATCATATCACAATATGTCAATAATATTATTAACATAATTTACACTCATTCCAACATTTAAGTATTTTTTTTTGGACCTTAATCTTGACCTCTTGAATTTTAAAATTTAATTTCATATATTTGATTCTATCAACTTAGTTTAATAACTTACTTCACAATAATTTCATTGAAGTTTGGCTAAAATCAACGTTTAAACAATTTTCTAATATAAAAATTTTTCCTTTTTATTTTAAAAATTTACACTTAAAAATACTTAAAAATTATAAACTCAGTTTCAAGCCTAGAATAATAATTCTACAACCATAATAATATATTTTTCATTCCAAATAATCATCTAAATATTAATAAATCAATTTTTATTTTCAGATTTAAACAAAAATATACCCATAAAGGTCTAAAGTTTAATTCAAAAGCCCCAAATTCAACTCCCATCAACAAAATAATACTCTAAAATATTTATTATACTACCAAAAATTTTAATAACTATATTTATTCATCATAAATTCATTTCCTTTCAAACCCTAGATTTTTTATAATCTCAAAATCAAAAACTCAAGAAAAAATATAACTGAAAAAATTAAAATACTTAAGTAGTCTTAAAATATTTAAAATCTTACTTAAAGTATTTTATTATGGAACTTTGAATTAAATTTTTTGTCACCAACGCACGCACGCTCTGTTTCTATTCTTGGCTCCTCTCCGTTCGCACAAGACGGCAAGGGGTGAAGGGGAAAAAGGGAACAGAAGTGAAAAAGAAAGAGAAGAGGGGAGTGTGAAATAAATTAATAGAATGATGTGGGTCCAAATCTTACTTTTTTTCATTTCTCATTATTTTTTTTGTATACACCAAACACACACTGACGGCATTTCCGTACCCCCCATCCCTCGTTTTTTTAATTTAATATTCCTTTCATTCTTTTTCTTTCTTTCTTTAATAATATTATTAATTTATTATTACGATTTCAATTTTTTTAAAAAAAATCATAATTTAGAATTTTATTTAGATTAAATTCAAATAATAATTTTCTAATTAAAATTATATATCTCTAAATATACTTTTAAAATTACTCATTTATCTTTAATTAGTTTAATTAATTTTGGGTTAAATTTTGAGATGTTACAAAGATTGATTCAAAAGCAGTCTCATTAAAAAAAAATTGACTCTCATTGATTAACAGATTTTAGACTAATGTTAAAATAAAAATTTCTCTTGATTCATTAATAAGATTTAATTAATTTTTTATTTTTCATGTATTTTTAGTTTACTTTTACGGGAGTATTGATTCAAGAGCAGTTTCATTTTTAAATTTTTCTAATCTTTAGTATTAACTCCATCTGACTATCTTTCTGCCTTCATTGTACTTTTTCATGTCTTTTCAATTTTCATGATCAATAAGATTTAATTTCTTTTCTTATTTTTCATGCATTTTCTTGATTCATTTTACTTAATATCAATCAACTCTCATCAATTATTATCCATAAATATTATCTATAAAAAAGAAAATAAAAATAAATTTAAATTTTATTTGGATAATCAATTCCTATCTTGTGGTATTGCTCCTTTAAATTATGAATGTTTTATCATACATTTTATGTCGACAAGATAACATGATGACTACTTAAATACTTTAAACAGGCAAAACTTGAGTGGTAGAGGCATATATTTGGTAGCCCTTTTGTTTTGCACATAAAAAAAGAAAGAAGAAGAATAGGAACTAAAAAATACAAAAGAATATAATACAATTAAAAAAGAGAGAGATCCCTTTGAATTCTTTCTTATATTCATATATATGGAAATACAATTAGAGCCGGGAAAATGGGCCGAGCCCGTCGGGCTAGCCCGTTTAAGCCCGTATAAGAGTAGGGCCGGGCTTGTAAATAAGACTCCAAAATGATAAATCGGGCTCCCGTTTAAGCTCGTTTAATCTAGGGCTTAAAAGGGCCTGCCCTGCAGGGCCAAGGGCCAGCCCGTTTAAGCCCACATATGTATTTTTTTTAATTAATTCTCATAATTTTTACTCTTTTTACATTTGAAAAAAAATTAAACTAAATGTTACTCCACATCACATGTTAGCCCATATTTACTGAGGATGGAAGGTAAAAAAGAAGAAGGAAAAATAGCAATGAAGAATCACTAATCAAAAATTATATCAGTCAAAAATCACTTGTTGTCAAAATTCGAGTAAATACTTGTGAATTCGAGTTAACCTTTATCGATAAGTATTCATTTAGATTTTAATAACAACTCATTTTAAATTAACATTTAGATGTAATTTTGACTGAGTATTATATTAGAATGAAATAATTTTTTGTTTGATTAAAAAATTTAAAAAAAATGAAAATAGTTAAAAGGGCCTAAAGCCCGCAGGGCCGGCCCTGAGCCCGTCATGTCAAGGGCCGGGCTTTAAAAATCAGGGTCCTAAAGGGAACTCGGGCTTAAAAGGGTTGGCCCTTTTAGGCCCGAGCCCTTCAAGGGCCGGCCCTGCAAGGCCGGGCCGGCTCTTTTTGCCAGCTCTAAATACAATTTATGTCATAATTTATAAATTAGTGACTCATTTATTTATGTAATAAAAAATGAGGAATTATTGAGAATTCTAATGAAGTGGTTCTTTTTTTTTTATTGGCCAATGTTCTCTAATCACTCTAAAAATAGATATTTTCTAAACAGGTTTTTTACTATAGGCTTAAGAAATAAAGACAAGATGTATACAAATAAATTATCCAAGAAAAAAAAATGATTGAGTAAAGAAACTCTTAAAAATTTGGTCATTTCAAATATGTTGATATCAATAATATCGATAATATTTGTTTTAAATTTTTTAATTCCAACCCTTGCAACTCACAAAAAACTATCTAGTTTTTATTTAATAGGGTATATCAAATGAACTATATTAATTACATTCCTTAATGAAGGATATTTTTGAAAAAAATTCATTAATTGTATTTTAAAAAAATGTAAAATACTTTATATTTTTAACCATTTAATTTAGAAAAAATCTTATATTTTTAAACATACGAAATATCTCGTATTAAGGATCGGAGTGCGGGTTTGGTTGTTGATTAAGCATTACCTGATCGGTTTTCTTGGGGAAAAACGCATTAACTAGATATCGTGATATTGAAAGAATTCAAGAATGTGTCAAGTGTGAATGTCATGGTTGGGCATCATCTGGTCACATTTATATATACTCCCCCCAGAATAAAATATATTAAAAAGTCAAAATGTTAAGACTAGCTAGACTGGTGACTCAATTTGTTTGGAGTTGAGACATTGGTTCATGATTTAATAATTTAACCGTGATTAAAAAAAAAGATCATGAATAATTTATGTTTTAAACAACATATGCTCAATATGAAAAGAAATAGTCATCCATGATAATAAAAATAAATATTTAAATTCAAGTAAAATAATGGATAGTAACAAGGATAATATCCATCAATATTTAGCCTTCCAAAATGTTTACAATTATATTACTTCATAATTTATAATTTAGAAAATATACACAGAGACTCATATTTCCTCGTTTTTCTTTCCTCCCCTGCTTATTTGATATGGATATGTATAAATTGTAATTTAAAAACACAGATTAAATTTTAATAAATTAAAAAAAAAATAAAAAACGTGTGAACGGCCAGTTCAACTGGTGCAACTGCAAAGGTTGACCGTTGACGCTTTAGAGTTCCTGGTCTAGAGACCTGGGTTCCAGATCGTGAGAGAATTGCATACGTATATATTGCCGCAGGATTTAGTCATATATAGATGTATTAGAAAAATTTTGAAACATAAATATATAAAATTTCGAACGTGCAAAAATTTAGTTGAAACGTTGAAGTAAATAAAAAGATTAAAGTCTAATTTTATCTTAGTATTCATTTTTTAAGAGTATTGGATATCTTGTACTATTAAATGGGACAATTTTATCTTTGAATTATTTTTTTGAAGAGCAAAAAACTCCTTCGTTAATAAACCATTAACTCAATCGTTATATATTAAAGTGACATGAGCGTGGGCTCACACACAGTGACAGGTAATACTCTGACTATATTTTTTTTATATTAATCTATCTTTAAACTTTTTTTTCAAAAGTGTTGAGCACCTTAAACTTTTTTTTAAAAAAAAACATTAGGCACCTCTAAGTCTTATTAAAAAAATTTAATAAATATTGCTAAAATATTTAATAATTTAAATATTATTATTTATAAATATTCATTCAAAATTTATAAATTATTTTTTAAATGTTAACAACTCAAATAACATTTTATAAATTAAGTGATGACTTTTTATTTTTTATACATCGATCTTTGACCTTCTTTTCAAAACAGTGTTTCATGGACATACTATATCAACATACAACGGCAGAGTTAATGGTTTATTAAGAGAGTTATTTTTTGCTTCTTAAAAAAATAATTTAAAAATAAATTACTCCATTGAATAGAGTGCCTAATAGTCCTAAAAAATAAGTAGAAGAATAAAATTAAACCTCAATCTTAAAATCGTAGAATTAAAGTTGTAACAAGTCCTTGAAGAAAGGATTGGGAATCATGGTGATGTCTTCTTCCTGGAGGGGCACGTATCCTTCATTCAAGTCCATCAACTGCCGCACGAAATCACGAAGCCAGTCCCCGCACTCCTCCTCCTCACTTTCTCGACCACTCTGCTGATTCTCACTCTGTGTTTCCCCTTTTCCTTTCCTTTTCATTTCATCCTTTATCTGCTGCTTCGTATCAGTGGCCTGCACATTCATAAAACATACATGACAAGATTTAATGAAACAGATACAGAAAGCGGCCGGGTCAGGAAGAAAGTTACGCGAAGAGCAAGAACGAGGCTCCTCTTTTCTTGGGTCTCTTGTCGATGTCTTGTTGGTGTTTGGTGAGCATCTGTTTGAATCATTCCGACGTCAATCTCACGTGCACAAGAATATTGGCAGTCCTGAATAAGCATGAAAATATATATTCAACACGTGAGGAAGGTACGAGATTTAAATAGAGCAGACAAGAAACCACACATACAATGCTTGCCGACGCATGATGATCGGTTGAGTTTAAAGGCATGGCGACTCCTTGTCTCTGGTATTGCCTTGCCAGGAAGAAGGAGTGTGAAGATAGTGTGTTTAATTATCTTGAGGGTCACGATTCGGAAATTTAATTTGAATCATAATTATGATATATAGCATATATACTGGCTGCATGAGATATCCTATTCATCACAGGATAATCTGATTTATTTTATTTTTTCTTTTTTGAAAATTAATCGCCAATCCACTAGACTTTTAATATTTTCCAAATTTAAGATAAGCTTAATTATCATGATATTTTAACAGATATTTTATTAATCTTACTTTTTTAATACACATGTCTGTCTTTTTTATAAGAATAAATAAATTATATACGTTCACGGTACCCTCTTATATAATTAGTTATATCAACAAAATTTTAAAAATTTTCACCAAAATTTTAATACAAGATAATTAATTTATTTTAAATTTGAAAAATTCGGTTATAAATTCTTAAATCATGGACATTAAATTTAAGCAAAGTTGAATGAAATTATATTGTATTAAAAAATCTTCATAGAAATCGATGCAGATTTAAATCCATATTGTAAAAACTAACTAAGAAAGAAAATTAAAGTTGCTCCTTCCCTTCATCCTTAAAAGCCAAAATCGTCAATGTCAGTCAGACTTTCATTATTAAATGCAGCAAGGCTTCTTGGGTGTGACTGTAAGTCTGTTACAACTAAAAATCAATCAGACATAACGCAAGTTTATTAAAGGACAGCGATTTTATTCCCCTCACTGCACGTTTATAGCCCCAACACACCAGTAACGACGTCAGCTAATGAAAATTTATTTCAAGCAATCAACGTTCAACCGTCGTATTCAAATCCGTGTCTATAGTTGAGGGATTTGGGTTCTCTTAGTTAACCATCTACCGCATCAAACTATCAGATTAATCATTGCATGGATTCCCTTTATTTCTCATTGATCTCACTACATCCATCATTATTGCAGAAACTACTCCACCACAGAGCCAGGAAAAATAAAACAACAATAAATATAATAAAAGTATCACCACTAACTAAAAATTTCTCAAGAACAATTAAGTTGGTAGTATAACACACTCCTTAGGCTAAAGCGAGTCAGCAGTAAACTCCCAGGACATTTGAACCTGAAATTTTTTTCTCTTGGGCCAAAAGACATAAAAAATTAAACCCATTAATGAAGCATGCACGGTATAAGAGAAGGGGTGGACACACGTGTCAATGGCAAGAAAAATTATTTTATGTAATGTTTATAAATTAAACGAGGCGAGGATACATATGTATCTGATATGATTTATTTCAGCCATTAGTGGCACAGTCTTGGGGGCCAAAATGCAGCTTGTTGGAGAGAGTATCGAATACGAACTTATGATTCACTTGCTGAAACGCACCCAACGTTGTCATGCTTTGATCTGCCTCTATCATCATACAGAACACCTCTTTCCCTCCTCTTTCTTCTCTCCTGAACGTTCCTTCACCGCTCACGTCCATCCTCGCGCCTTCGAAATACCAGTTCACGCCTGGTATCTTGCTGAATCCTTCCACATTCCTCCTCCTGTAGCACACTTTCCCTTCCCCTCCTCTGTACCTTTCGAATTCCGGCAGCCTTGAAAAGTACTGCTTCATCTTCCGCTCCAACATTTTGTACGCTTCTTCTATCACGTAGGAATGTGACGAGCCTGAATCCACCACGCACCCTCCCTTCCCGTCAGCTCCCACTTGGAACACCCTTGGATCAATACCAAGCGGTTCTCCGTTAACTCCGAGGTCAAGTAACCTCACAAAGTACGCCTCGTATCTTCCGTTCTTGAAGAAATTGATTGTCCGCGGATCTGTTGGCGGCTTTATGTCAGCTCCGAACCTCAAATACATTCTTGGAGGGGGATTCTGATTATGAGTCTGCATGATGTTTGTGAGACAGTAGGAGAATTTCCCATCGCTGTGTTTTTGTATTTGCTTCACGAAGGAACGATCTCCCTGGCCTAAACCAAACACGCCGGCAATATCGTAGTCTGCACTTTCCTTGGGGTCTGTGTTCTTGATCCCGCATCCGAAAACCACGCCTGGGACGGCCTCTGTTTGGGAGGTTGAAGTGGAGGGGAAAGAGAATGTCTCTTTGGCGAGAATGCCGGAGGAATAGGCTCCGTCGACGTACTTGACGGAGTAGGAACAGTGGTTTCCGATGCACTTGTTTGGCTTGCAAAGTGGGTGTTTGTTGCATGGCAGAGGGTCATAGGATTTGGACTTGTAGTTTGGGAACACTTGTTCCTTCTGTCTATAACAGGAATTACCTGGAAGCTTGCAATCCTCGCACTGAGTCCAGGTAAGGGAACTTCCGGTGTCCAGGATGAAGTAGTAGGATTTTCGAGACGACGCAGAAGGAGATTTTACGTCGAACGTTCCGAGACCAACTTGAACAACGAATGATGATTCGAATAGTTGTTGAATGGGAGGAGTAACGACGTGTGAAGCATTAATGGAAGGTTCTGATGAAAGAGGAGGAGCTACGGAGCCGATGCTTGCATGGGATGATATTTGCTCTCCCCTCCGCTTTGTGATTTTGAAAAGAGGTGATTCTGGGGAGAAGGGAGGAATGAGCTCCAGTGAGAAGCCATTGACGCAACTATGGGAAGCTTGCAGGGAAGACAGAAGGAAGAGGAGGAGAGACGCCATGGTCAGTGTTGTGGAATAAGCCATGAGTGAGCTGGGTGATAATATTGCTGCGCGAAGGTTTCTGATGAAGAGGAGTTACTTTTATACTGAAGAGAGGGGTGTATGAGATAAGGTCCAAATGGGATCCAGCTCCGTGATAAGATCCAGTATTATATTTTCCTTTCTTGTTCATGAGCAGTTTTAATTTGAATACATTTTAGAGCTCCCCGCAATAATTTATGCCCAAATCTTGTCATAGTTGCATTTATAGCTTCTTTGCGTATTTCAGGATCACCATCTTGAGCCCAGACAGACGTATAAATTTGAAATATAACCCTTACTATATTTGCTATATAAATAAAATTGGTTAACAGGAAATAGGTGAAGCTTCAGCTATACGATCGATGATGCCATAAACTTCTCCCAGGATCGACCTTTTCTTTTTCAATTTAGACTTGCGTATTATTAGTTTTTCTGGAGTAAAGATGCATTTTTAACCCTAAAATATTCTCCCAAGAATATCTTATATCCTATATTATTGACGTAGTATTTTTGCTCCAAAAGTAATTAAAACTTAGCATTCTCCGCCCCAACATTAAATAATAAATTTTGACTGTTAATATGATAAAGATAGTTTTACTATCTAATGGACATTTGTAAGCATTAATATCTAATGGACATTTGTAAGCATTTAATATTACACCAAATAGTTTAAGATGTAAAGCACCCCTCAAGAAATATTTCAAGGACAAAAATGTACTTTTATTCTTTTTTTCTAAAATAATACCTTAATAGAACGTTACGATTTGCAAACTAGCTGAACATGTTGTTGTTTGTATATTTAGTTTTTTGCTTCTGGCCAGGCTAGCTGCTAAGTATACTTTTTATTCGCAGTCGAATTTAATTATTTTCATCGCAACCTTACGAAGCGTAAATGGATGGGGTATTTGCTACAAAAGGGGAATTTCGAGCAAGAACGGATATTTGTCTATTTTGGACGTCAGCAAGAGGACACGGGATTTGTATACTTATACCAAGCCTATACTATTTCCTACAGAAACAAATCGTAACTTCTTTTCCTAATGGGCTAATTATCTTTACATATATAGTTAAAGTACAAATATGCCCTCAATATTTCTACCCAGACGCATCCCATGTTTTAGCTAAAATATTTTTTAACAAATTTCACCCTTAACATTTTTTATTTAGATACAATATCGTCCTCTTATTATCCTTTAACCATTTTGACCGTTGTCTTTGAGATTTTAAACGTTTTTTACTATTTGGACTGCCGGGTCATGATCAATGTTTGGTAAAATTTTCCTTTGAGTCGTATGCACTTTGATCACAAATTACTCTTGCATGATATTGATCCTAAATTTCCATCTGATCACCTAGTCATCCCTACCCTTCCCACAGAATGAACTTCCACAAACCCAGACCAGAAGACGAGAGAATCAATCATTACATCAACCAAACAAGAAAATCCCACAAAACCCAAAACCAAATCCTTACCACAACTTGAAAAGATCAACTCAGATGATGATGCAACAAATTTCTCTTGCGAAGGCATCAACTAATTGAGATTGAGGTTGGGGTATGTTCAAAGAATCTAGCAAAATGGAGTCACATCTCGAAATGAAGCTGCACTCATGTTCAATCAGAAGGGGCAAAAATCAAAGAACCAAAACAGAAACCCAAGGGGCAAAAATCACAAACACGATCAGAAAGCTCGACAAAAATCACATGGAGCAAAAATCAGAACCGAACCAAAACCCAAGAGGTAAAAATCACAAGCATGATCAGAAAAATAACAATGGAAAACATTCAAAGAACCATAACCAAGGGGCAAAATCATAAACACACGATCAAAAAGCTTGAAAAATATACAAGTAAATATTAATAGTCGAAAGGAGGGGATTGATTCTTGAAGTCAGAGGCCAAAACAGAAGTAACTGATTGTTGTGACTAAAAGCCATGGTTAGGGTAGTACGCTGGGTTCAGTCTTCCACTGTTTCTCATTATATTTTCTCCATTCCTCTTATATATTGTCGTACACCCTTTATCCTTCATCTTCCTTCTTTTGAATATGGGTTTCAAAACCAGACTATCCCCTCAAACAGGGGCAATTTTTTCGTTCTCCTCTCCAAACATTTCAAAACAACCTTTAAGGTTTTTGTTAATTGATTGTCTATTGGAAACATGATTGTTTTGAACGATGAGAAGGATAAATCCACTTCGCCGACCCTCCAAACAAGATTTTGGAGGTGCGGGACCAGGAATAAGAATGAAGAAGACAAAGAAGAATTGAGAGGAACGACAAAGAAGAATGAAGAAAAGCACACACCATTCAAGGCTTAACTGGAAGAAGAATGGAGAGGAATGAGAGAGATGGTTTTTTTTTTTCCTTAAACTCGTCAAGAACCCATAAACGTAGAATCGAAGGTGCCAAGTCACACGTTCTTCAATCGCCGTCTTCACCGGCGCTGCTCTAACTTTCCTCATGATCTGAACCAATAGAAGTGACAATCTAGTCTTCACATCAACTAAGCAGAGATGATTTGGGTTTTGGGCTTTCTAGACTTGAGATTTGGGAAGACGATGAAGGTGGAGAGGGAAAGAGACAGAAGAACTGGAGAGGCAGAGCGAAGGGGATGAATACGCGGCTACGAAGAAGAAAAATAGTTGAATAAAAAATGAATTATATTTTACATGACTCCACGTGGCAACTAGTGAGGAGATTTAACAGTCAAAATTACTAAGTTAACAATCAAATTGACAGTAGGATAAAATTGTGCCAAAGTTAAAAACGTTGGAGCAATATTGTTTCGAAAAAAAAAATTGAGAATGCACACGTATAAATTTATAAGTTAAATTCATACCTTAACCCTATATATATATATATATATATATATATTCCTGCCAATCAAAAAGGATGAGTGACTAATTGTTTTGGCTAGTTGCTTTTGATATTCAAGTTTTAACCTACCTTATAAACACACCAAAAAACTAGGTTTTTGCTAGTCCCACCCTCCCAATTCTTCATACCAAATAGAGTCTTAAGGTATTAGATATTTCATGAAAAATATTTTAAAAAGAAAAATACACTTAGTCATGATTATTTAAAATGACTTGATGAGAATCACACATTAGCCAAACAAAATCATCGGTATAATATTTGAAAATCATTATAGGCACAACAATCAAGAAGACAGTAAAAATTAAAAAAGCAAATTAAAAAAAAAACAATTGACAAAATGTCAAATAACGTTAACAGTTTAAAAATACTTCGAAATTGATTGAGGAGAATTTATATGACTGACAGTCAAAATCTACGTTGATGATAGAGTGATTCTAGCAGTTGTCTTGTAAAAGAACATTAAATTTAAGCAAACAAACCAAAATAGAGCGAAGCAGGATTCTGTTTTCTGCTACAAAGTTGCAGATTCAATGGAGAACAAGGCGAAAACTTTCATTTGTGAAAAAAAAGGGTGATTTTGTCATTTTTAACCTGCCACGTTTGATTTTATAACTCGTCTCCATTCAAATAAATTGCCATGCTAATCTTATAAAAAGTACGGTCTAATTTTTCCTGCATCCAAGAAACCACCCAGAGATGGAAGATTGCAGGAAATTTGGGAATTTGATATGCTTGCAAGATCTCATGAGCTAAGTTGACATCTTCATGTTTCTTATGACAAATATAATATGCGTTAGAGAATGGGCTTCTTAATTTAAACAGATCAACGTATTTGAGTTTAGATACGTTTGTTTAAATGCCGAGGAGAGTTTGGAACATAAAATAGTAAGTGCCGGTGAAATACTTGTGATCGATCGTACTAAAGACAGAGATGAGATGTAATTAAAGGCATGAACTAAGCTTGGTGCATCGGAGTTAAAAGAAGCATTGATTTACAAAGACAGTGAGACGAAGATGGAAGCATATAGCATAGATGTACTGAAATGAGAAGAAAAGCAGAGAATCAAAGGAAGGGAAGGTAAAAGAGAAAGAAGCAAGCACAGCGATAGACAGCCACAAGCCTTCTTGAGGGCCGCGGAGAGACGCAGAGGATCATGAGAGCGAGAGTTACGAGCAGAAGCATCACCAGTTTCGTCGTGTCCGAATTCCCATCACATGATTCTGTGCGGATTATCTTTCCCATCCCTGGCCTTCCTAATTCCTCATCTACCTGCAACACCAGAATCCTCGCATACACAGGACAATGTAATACTCATGCATCCCTATTGCCATGTGCTATCTTATCTTCTTCGCCAACTCTTCCACTGGTTCTGCGTCAAGGTTTTGGTCAATGCCTTTGTCCTTTATTAAAAAGACTAAGTTAGTCATGGTAAACCAAGGGGCATGCTTCCGTTTATTTCACGGTATCCGTCAGTCAGCGCCTCTTCCGTTTATTTCACAGTCAACTGAAATTTTCTTTTTTTCTTTTTTAAGTTGGGTTGAGATGGGAATGTTCAATGGAGGCCTCTTTGCCTTTGATACCTCATGCAGGGAGGGAAGGATCCAAATTGGCAGCTGTGGAGACCAAAATTCTTTCTGAAGTTTTGCAAATATAATAGATCGGTTATTGGATGATAAACTATGTATAATAAATTAGAAAGTAGAAACTAAAAAATAAACGCAAAAAAATTCTACCAAAAAAAAAATAACACAAGAAACATTTAACCAAAATCTTCACCCTAAGTTAATTACCAAAAAAAAAAAAGGATCAAATGTCATATTTTTAATGGTATGGGTGAATGGTAGTGTACAGTTTTCACATTTACAAGCCATCACACATAAGTAATTTGAATAGTAAATTAGCAGAGAAACTGAAAACTGTGCGAAAAATAACTCAATAAAAGTACCGGTGCAAAATATTTTTTTCTTCAGTATTTTGGGGTTTTTATTTACAAATCATTACATATTTTAAGACTGTAAGTTACTTTAAGTTTAAATGGTTAAAGAAGTTTAACTATGCTAAGCGAAAAAAATTAAATTGGGATCGAATGTAAGTACTGTTTAGTATTTACCATCACAAATATACATTATCTATTATCTGAGGTGTATAATATATTATCTACTAATATATAAATTTTGTAATAAGCCAAATTATATTGTTCAGCTTATTAATAATTTTTAATACTGACGGTTAAATGTTTGTATTTAGTTGTCTATGAACATATGTCAGTGTACAGTATGCACTAAATACGTAGGCTAGAAAGAAGGCGCGTGACTGAATTAATGCTCACGGCTGGCATTGTTAATTGTTCGGTAATTTGACATTGTTAATTGTTGCCGTTACGTAACTTCTAATCATCGTAATTATGGATATACTCTGTCTATATATATACGTCGTGCAAGTCAAAATGATGACAATTGAAGTCGCCATAATTAACAGGAGAAGACAGATAGTGATATCCATCATTCATCCTCTTGTCCAGAAAAGATTACATCCATCATTTACCTAATACCCATGGAATCACCATCTCTGTCTCTCCATTTTCTTCTACAATTTCATATCTTCCAGAATTGAATTCAAAACGCACTATATGTAAAAGGTTGAGAGTATATTTTAAATAAACCTCAGCCATTAGCTTCAACTTCAAGGAATAGGTAAGTATTGCTGTGTTGGATGAGGAAGGTTTTGTTGTTTGGGCTTTGCTGATGGTCTTTATGGAATGTGGACTTTTGTTTTTTGGCCGAAAAATCCTACATAAACAATTACTCTTACAAATAAAATCATTCTCTAGTATAAAAAAACAATATTAATAAGACGATAGCTCTTTAAATTACGCTCATATTTTAAAAAGGATTAATCTTACAGTTATTAGTTGTGAAAATACCTTAGACAACCGGGAAAAGAAATCATTCTTCCCCCCACTACAAGGCATATCATGGATGCCACATATTAAGAATTAAAAAAAAATCTTGAAAAATCAATTTATTCTTTAAATTTTGTCTTAATCCACAATTAACATCTAAAATTTTTCATGCATACTTACCCAATATATATTAACCAACGCAAAAGTAAAAATAGAAAATAACTCAAAATTTTAAAGGGGAAACTTACATACTTATTCTTGTGTTTAAAATATTTATTTTCAATTAAATTAGGATAGCTGAATCTTTTATAGATTATTTATTATATAGCAAATTCATCTTGTTAATTTTATTAATATATTAAAATTCACATATCTAAATTGAATAAAAATATATTAAATATAAAAGTGTTACCTAATTACAAAAAACTCTATGTTTTGGGCAAATAATAATGACACGCACAAAATGTTGAAGATTACGTACCATTTACATGCAATTATTTTGAATCAGATTTTATGAATCATAATTTCTCCAAATGGAATCTATCACGTGAGTGATCACTCGAAGTTGTCCCTCTCTCATAGTGAACAATTAAGGGAAAAAACCACATGTCATCACACCTGAGGGACGAGGCAATGAACAAATCACTGTTTGACGTCATTGTCACAAACTTTACAGGCAACGCAATTTGTTCATAGTGATAACTGCATTTTTCGAACTCATTCAAGAAAACATTATTACATTCTGATCTACTGATGAATCGCGTCATTTTCCGATTCATCTCATTAAATGTTAACAAAAGAAAATATATTATTCAAACTTGTATATTTAATATAAATAAATTAAAAATTTTAGACAAAATTTGATAAATTTTAAGATTTTGTTGATAAACAAAATACACGTAGTTGCCAAACAAATCAGACTCTCAAAACATATTAAGATTTAAGACTAGTAGTACAACATGGTAATATATGGCGTTGCTTCAACTCACGTTACAATAATAAATCATTTCCAACCAACAACAAAAATTGAACGGATTTGTTATTACGTCTTCACTTAAAATTTTAAAGCATTAAAACCTAGTTGAAAAAATGATAGGTAAGTCACATCCCCGTTTAAAGGAACGTAAGGGAGGCTGACGGGGCTATGACCCTCCAAAAATTGTTTTTTATTATTGTACACGTATAACGTATTTTTAGTCCTTCAACATTTATATGCACTTTGCACTGCATACCATCCCCAGCCTCGCTCACACGACGGAACCGGAAATCCAAGGCTCATTCTGGTAAGAATTTCAACTCCGATTCAATGGATTGAACGAATGCAAGGCTTCGGTGACATTAACATTGTAGACAAGGGAGATCCACAAGGCTGAGCATTTGAACACGAATTTTATTGACTAAATCTCAAAGGATTCCACAATATCAAACACCACCCATATAAAGGTAGCGAGCATGAATTACGCGCAAGTCCGCAGAATATACCCTGAAAGAAGAATAACGTGACTCCATCACATGCAGTTGCAAATCGCAATAACCAAAATTCAGTCTATTTATTAATTTACTCAGCCAGAGTGTAAAATGAAGGGCAAAGGAGCACGAGCCTCCGTATCCTCCGGTACATAGCTCAAACACCAACCACATCCACAACTGCACTTGTCCGAGCCTGGCAACAATATATTTTATCATGTGGCCAGCCTACTGAGCGTGTACCTGCCATTGACGATTCTCACCAGATGCGCCTGAAGTAGCGTTCAATCTACGCCACAATCGCTCAAGAAACCCTTAATGCAGAATCACCTTCCATTCGCCACACAAAACCAGGCATGTCCATTCTCGGTCCTGCTATGGTCCTGTATATATATAGTTTCTCGACGGGGCAACTCTCTGGCCTTGAATCTGGAGGTTCTTCCCTTTCATCAATGACTTCAACATTAAGCCTAGGCATTTTCTGACCCAACAGCTTACATGCTCCAAAGCTCACATTGCAGGAGGACATCCAAAGGGATCGCATTGTCTCCAGCTTTGCAGCATTCGCCAGGAGGGCCTTGTCACCAAAGGGGCAGTCCCTGACCTCCAGCTTCCTAAGGTTGTCACACCCAGACAGCACATAATGAAGCCCCAGATCACTATCTCCAGCAAAAGCCACAGAAAGCATCTCAAGCTTCTTCCCATAAGTTCCAATGTGCTCAAAAACACGATCAGTAAGAAGACCAGAAAGGGATAGGCGCAGAAGGTCCTTGCAATGCTTTACAATTGCTCCAAAGCCATCATCCAGTGGTTGAAGAGTGAGGTAGTCCGGTTTTCGAGGGTCAATAATACAAAGGCGAAACCGAGTCATGTTAGGCCGGTTTCTGGCAATTGTAATTAAGGCAGCATTAGACATCTGGCGACAGAAATAGAGAACTGACTGGAGCTTGGGGCAGCCTTCAGATACGGAAACGAGGCCCCTTTCTGTCAATGCAACATTTGGTTCTAACACAAATGGATCAGAAGGAAACACCCTCAACTCCCTCAAATCCTTGCATGATGCAGCAAGGGCTTCCAGGCCTGAATCTTCTATGTAATCCAGCACCTATTGAATTGAACTTAATTAGTACAAGACCTTGCAGTAGGGATCAGAATTGTGCATCAAACATAAACAAAGTAATGTGACACGTGTAAATTTAATAGCATACCCATAAACACTGCAAATTCCGGCATTCACCAACAAGCTTGATGAGATAGGGGCTCTCAGTAGTAGCATAACTCAAGTTTAATGAAGTAAGCCTGGAAGAGATAGGATAGACAGCCGATAGGTAGTATGGCATTGCATCCCAAAATCCAGATAAGCTCTTCAGTTGTTTACACCCTACAAGAGCTCTTGATAGGTCTGAGAAGACATCAGGTTGCATCTCACTTGAGTAAGTTCCCGTGCCTAACTCAACCAAGTTAGGCGAACGGCCAATTAGGTTGACTAGCCTTTCAAGGGGCACAGCACGGTTGAGGCGAAGAGACTGCAGGTTAGGACACCTAGCCAGCAGTCGCTCTAGGGCACATATACTCACCTCAGAACTTAAGCAAGAGATGTTAAGGGAAACTAACGATGAGAATGAATCAGGAAATTGACTTAGCCAATGGCCACTAAGGTCAGCCACTTCACTCTCCCGCAAGTCCAACTCCCTTAAATTCCTGCAATGCATTAGGAGCCAGTAGATATGTCAATAATGATGCTATCAAGATGCTTCACAAGCCAACAATACTTAGGTTTATGCTAGATAAAGAATGCAGTACACTAAATCGCACACAACCAGAACTTATGGTCAATGTCACTGACGATAACCCTGCCGTATTTAAAACTATTATATAACTTGGCTAGAGGAAAGAGTACAATAACTGGAAACTAGTTCTTTCTCTAGTGGTGCAGTCGCTCTAATCGTTATCAAACAATTATTGATAAAGAAGTATAAAGTTACTCTTCTAAGTAGGAAAAAGAATGCAGCTTGGGAATAAAATAATGATACATCGGGAGGAAGCACGACAGACATTTAAAATTCAAACATTTAAGTGAAACCAAAATCAAAAATCGTTGTAGAAAAGAAACAGCTCATGATCTTGGCTACAATAGATATTTAAGAATAAAGAGTACGTTCCTAGAGACAACAGAAGAAGGACAGAAAGCCAGAACTATTGCATGGCCTGTAAACCCGCCAGAAAGAGCACTCTAGGTACAGAGATAGTATATGTTCACGAATTGCCGCTAAAATCGCAGCAAAACGGAAACAGTACTGAAAAGAAGTATATTATGCATCAAACACGAATAGAGCAAGGGAAAATCCGCTGCGAAACGAGCCGAATACAGCATCACTGGGTTGTGCGGGTGATAGTCCCGTCCCTAAAGTGGGCATAGAACTGGTGAATACGGGCGAAGAGAACGATATGTTTGCCATATTCACCAAGACTTTCAAACACCAGAAGCCATCAAAAGCGAGATAGATATAATTCCGAATCAAAGTTCGAAATGAAACGCGATAAGCAATATTGCGGAAGTATTCTTGAAGAATGTGGCCAGAACTAGGAGCCACAATATTCAACAATATCTATCACTTCGCTAGACTCAAATGAAAAAAAAAAAAGTTCAGCCCAATGTGACCAAATCAGCGCAATACTGGGAGAAGCCTCATAATTATTCCTAGAGACTAGAACTACCCAATGGTTCTTTCTATGTGTTTGTCCGAGACGAAAGAATATGTTAGGAGCATAGTGTTGGTAAAAATCCACAAACTGCTGCACCAAAAACAACTACTTTAATTAATTCTTTCGCTTGCCTCCCCCTCGCTCCAACAAAGCACGAAGTAAATATGAAAAACTTAATCAAGTCCAAAAGGTTGAAGAAGTAAAAGCCCGAGAAGAACGTAATCACCTGCAATTGGCAGCAATGGCGGCCAGTCCATCAGTGCTAAATCCCTCGCACGAGGATAATACCAAGACTCGGAAGTTTTTGAAAGATTTGGAAATCAGCTCCAAGCTCTCGTCCGTGATGACCATCCTCTTGAGCCTGATCTCCTCCAGCCACGGACAGGCACCAGCCATAGCTTCGATCCAAGGGCAGGCATAACCACCCCACTCCTCGGGAACCAAATTGAAGTCCGCAAAGTGAGGCTTTCCTTTGAGCGAAATGGATCTCAGCTTAGGGAACCGTTTGACCACCATGGCAGGGCTGACAGCATAGCAGTTGCCGACGAAAATGCTCCTCCTGCACCAACGTTCGATCTCGTACCACGACTTGCAGACCAAAGAGATGGCGTTGCGGTCCTGGTCGGAGTGAATGAAGGAGAAGACGTGCTCGAGGACTTCCTCAGGGAAGGAGTAGGCGATTCTCGGCATTTGGAAAGAGAAACGAGTATTCCCAAGGAGCGAAGCGGTCTGGGGAAAAGACGCGGACGAAGGAAGCGGGGCAGAAGTAGCGGGGCACCACTGTTAGATCTGAGACGCCATGGAGGAGGAGGAGCTCGCAGTCGGCCGGGTAGGCGGGGGGAGCGAGCGTGGGAGGGTGGATAAGGATTTTATTTTCGAGCGGGGTAAGGTTAGTATTTAACCAGCGTTAAAGAGGTGGTTAAGTTCCTGGTGGGGGAGTGATGGGCAATTATAGAGGCGACACGTGGAGAGAGGAAGATGAGGGCGATATATAGAGGGGAAATTATCGCGAGAGGAGGGTGATACCGACAAGAGAAATGGAGAGGGGTTGTGACGAAGTGGTATGATGCGCAGGGGAAGGGGATCCCATGATTCCGAATGCACGGCCGGATGGGAGAGGATACAGTGGGGACCACGGAAGGGTGGGGGTGGGAGGCGGAGATTAGAATATGAGATAATGATATGGAATCATGAACTCAAGTGTAGAAATCATGACATCATGGCCGTCCAATCATGCGCCCCTGTTTCATTCTCGCACTCAGGCTACGCCCCCGTCTCCCCCTTCCTCTTCCACTCCTCGCCCTTCATCCATTTCGCCCTTTCTAATCATCAAAATAACAATAAATATTATTAGTTCCTTTTAAACTACACTTTATTTCTTCCTCTGATTTACCCGCAGTTACTCAATAGCATTTTTTGACATCATTTTGATTCCTTTTCAAACCTTAAAAGTCCTATATGCAACTCGTGCTGTGTAGATTGTACGATTCTTGATGGAAAAATATTTGTCAAAATTAGTTGCTACAAAACTCAAACTTAACATTGCGACGTTACTAGCCTGGATTAAAAGCCAGACTGCAATAAATGATTCTTTAAGAGCTGCGCTCGAATCCCCTTAACTACAGTATCCGGCAATGCTGTTTACATGACACTGTATTTGCTGATGCATAAACAGTACTCCTTCATTTCTCCCTATATATATAATTTTAGAAATCAATTAACTATAATAAGTATGTTTAAAAATAAAAAAATAAATTAAAATACTCATATATTTAATCAAAATAAAATTACATTAATTCTCATGAATGAAAGTTATGAATTTATAATAGATAATTTAAAAAAATTATAATAAATACTTATTAAAATATATAATTTTATTATAAAAAATAAAATAATAAGTGATGATTTCTCTTATATATTGAAAAGGAGTATTTTCTTTGTCCTAAATTATAAGCAACTTATAAATAAAATAATATATACCGATAAAATTTATTAAATACACTTTATAACATGTTTTGTCAAAATAAAAATATAAATTTTTCAAAATATTTTTCCTTTAATACTCAATTTATAAAAAAATGTTAAAAAAACAGAATATAGTGTCATTGAAATTATATTTTTATTAAAGTGTTTTATATTTTAAAATATAAAATTCCTTCTAAAAATATTTTATAATTTGAAACATTCACGATTAATTAATTATCTATAGACTAGGAATGATAAAAATTCATTGACGACGTCCAGACTTGAACGAGGAATGCACTGGTCAATAATCCAGTGAAAGGGGGCGGTGGTGGCTAATAAGCAACCGAGAAGAACGTACCTAACAAGGCAAGCAAGTATCGTTGAGGTAATTTTGATCCGTTCTGATAGATTTGGAATATGTTCAGGACTCCCGTGCAAGGAAGAATTCTTTCCATGCACACGCTACTCTCGTTGAAAACAAATACAGTAATTTGGAAGTTATTTTATAAAACAGTGGCCACGTCCTTTATCTTTTTGGGAGCCATATGATATAATTACGCGGGATTCGTACTCGGAATACTTGCTGAACCGACACTTGTATTCTAAATTCGACAAGTCTGGAGATAAGTTTGGCTGCAAAGTTGAGCTTAACTCCGTATCTACCGATCAAATTCACAAACGAAGGGGATGCCTGATGAGGAAAATGAAGGAAGGAGGAACAAGGCGGACGTTGCATCACCATCAAAGGCCTGCTTTTTCTTCCTTTCACGAAGTACGGTCACATGGTTAAATCCCTTCCATGACCATCTTCTTCTTTTATTTTTGCCAGCGTGGCTCCTATCTTCATGCAGTACGTCCTGCAATCCGTAACAAACAAAAAATGAAAAAGAAAAGAAAAGGCAGGTCAATGTCGTGACCAAAATTATTGGGGGCAGTGGCCGAGGAATTGACCCGTTTACCCTTGATGATAGCGGGAGGAGGGGAGGGCGAAAATGACATCGCATGTCCATAGAGCTGTCCCTGTTCCCAATCAACGCCTCCTCTTTCTCTCTCTTCCTTTTTCTATACCCATCTTGCTCTCCCACCACCAATTTTTTGTTCACACTTTTTCTATCCTTAATTCTTCTGCAAATTACTAGCATATTAATTGTTACGAATTACAAGTAACCGCTCGTTCTTGTTAAAATGAGGCAGCTGAGTTGTCTCGTTAGTACTGTGCATCTTGTATTTTACTGCAATGCCATTTCCATTTTATATTATCATTTCAACTGGTACGAATTCTCGAGGCCATGCATGTTTTCACTCAACAGTTACTTGCTTTGTACATCGGGGGAAAAATTATACTTCGGTAGTTTATCTCTTTTAAACAACCATAATAATTGTTCTCGCGGAACAAGTTCATTTGAACATAAAGTATGCCACCTCCAATTTTATATATAAGTCACTTTTAACTTTTTTTTTCTTAATATAGAACAAGGTTAATTTGAGAAATTATTTTTAATTTTATCCATTATTTTTTTATTATTGTTTGATCAATTCTTGGAATATAATTTATTGTGATTATTAATTACAAAAAAGAATAAGATTGAAAAGTTGTATATTTTTTAATAATTTTGATTATATAACTATATATATATATATATATATATCATTTCTTTGTAAGCCTTGAAGTAAGTGGTTCGCCTTGTTTTGTATTAAGAACCGGAGTAGTGTTTCACAGGAATTAATAAAAGGTATTAAATTATTGATATTGTCTAATTAAGTATTAAATTCAAGTTCTTATATTTGCCCTTGGTAGATGCATCATTTTTAAAAGTATTTTCTCATTCTCTCATGCAACTGTTTACCTCACGTACAGATAATTATGAGAAGGTGAAATTGAAAGAAAATAACTAATAGTCAATATTGTTATGAAAAGTTACTTATAAAGATCACAATCAATATTTTTCATGGACGAGGACTTGTATAAAAAACTTGATAATTGGTTTACTGGAAACTCACATTTTCAAATATACAATCTGGTGGAGGGCGTGGAAATACCGAAATTAAATAGTGATGAAGTTATAATTATTTTAGTGGCTGAGCTCGGTGGTAGAGATTTGGTGCGGGGGTGGAAAGCTACGTTAGTTTATTAAATTAATCAATGATATAATTAATGCGGACTGACCTTTTCATTAGTGGAAGGGTCTCCATCTTATCATTGCTGAAAGTTTAGGCTCTTTATAATGCCCTCCTCGATCTCTCTCCTTTTCTGTCTGTATCTCCAGGCCAAGCCTGCGTATACCCCTTCCATTTTTTCAAACCGCATTAATTAAATTATTCCTCACTCTTATCTTATTTATATTAATTCGTCCCTCACAAGCAACACAGCAAAAGGAATGGCTCTCGTGAGCGACCTGCACCTAACTTCTTTTGACCATCAAAAATCATCTCCCATTAAGAAGCCAATCATGCCATTAATTATATTCTGAGATTACAATGAGATGGCAATTAGCCAGGTTTTAACGTCATTGACCACTGTATCACACGACCTCCACTCCTGAGACACGTTATCATTGACTCATTACCAATCATTCAATTTGAAGATTACAAGCTTCAAAAATAAATATCCCGCCATGATAAGAACATTGGAGATTAATCCCATCATCTTGTTTTCTTTCATCTCTCTCTATTTTCTTAAAAAAAGAAAATAATCTCGCAAGCAAATCGCTAATCAGTCTCTTTACTTAGTTACAAAATGTTTCACTATCACCGTGAATTGATAAAACACTGGACTGTGCAGAAAATTGTGGAATCGTCGAATATTTTATGTGTGCTTATATTGGAAGAGATCGACGCAGAGCGTACCATGTAACATGAGCGTGTTCACATCACGACTTTTGCCGAGAAACAGCTGTCACGATGCATTTCAGAGTAACAATCTATTTTGACATGTCAAAGAAACAAGTGTTGGCGGATCATAATTAATTTTTAAAAATAATCGCCGCGGGGGTAACATGCTTATCGGGGGAAGGACGGGCTAGCACGGGATTGTCAGATCTGAACGCAAAACGGGAAGGAGAGAGTCACGTAGCGCGTGAAAAGTGAAATTCCGGTGCCCTCGCTGCCATTTCACAAGGGAGAGATAATGAAAATTATATATTATTATTTTTTCTCCTTCAGAGAAGCTTTCAATAATAAGAATATTTGAAAATTGGGTTTACCCATGGGGATTCCTTAGAACTTAACAAATTAATATTTAAATTTTAACTAGAACTATATTTATATTTAATATCTGATCATGTTTTAAGTATACTTACTTTATATTTAAATCCTTTAAAATTATTATTGGTGAATTTCTGTAAAGTTTTCCTTTAAAATATAGAGAAGATTTTATATTTTATTAAAAAATAAAATTAAGTGAAGATAATGAAACAGAAAAACTTTTACCTAAATTAACTAATTTCAACTTCAAAAGATTAAAACCCAATTACTTCCGATAAAAGAATAGAAAAATGGAAAAGCTGAGAATTACAGCAATCATTGCATAGTGAAAATTTTAATAAAAATTCCTTGACTATAGTTAATAAAAAAGAAAATCTCAAAAATTTTAAAATTTTACTGTAATCTAAAGGCACTGAAGTAAAATTAAAATATTGTGGTAAACGATAAAATTAACCCTCTCCACAAAACATACCCGAACGATGCAAACACGAGTTGTTCGTTTTCTTACTATTTATTATTTATTACCCTATATTAAGTTACTCATTGTTCTACTACATGTTATTTTCATACATATTATTGTTTATTACCTTACATTAAGTTATTCATTATTCTATTGTCTGTTGTTTATTCCTTACTTTCAATTAATTTTATTCCAAATATTGTCATTATGGTAACATTAATTGTTTATTTTTTTACATACTATTATTTATTACTCCATATTAAGTTATTCATCAACTTACTATTTGTTGCTTTACCATTACTTCTAGTTAATTTCATTTCAAGTGTTGTTATCATGCTAATACAAATTTCTTCATTCCCTTACATATTGTTGCTAATTATCCTATATTAAATTGTTCACTGTCCTACTGTTTGTTATTTATCCATTTCTTTTAGTTAATTTTATTTTGAGTGTTGATATTATGCTAGCATTAGTTGTTAGTTTTTCTATATACTATTATTTATTACCCTATATAAAGTTGTTTATTATCTTACTGTCTATTTATCCATTTTAAATGCCTAAAAACAATGAAAAAAGTTGATTATTAATTAAAAGTAATAGACAAATAACAAACAATTTAGCAATAAATAATTTAATATAAGATAATGAACAATAATAATATATATGAAAATGACTAACTTAAAGTAACAAACAAACAACAATCTTACAGCAAGGACAGCTAGATAATTCCTCTCAACATTTTAAGTTTACTACGGTATCCTTACACCGTAATGAAATTTCAGAGTTTTTGAAATTTTATTTTATTAACTATAGCTAAAGGGTGTTTCTTGAAATGTTGCCTTTTCAATAACACGACCTGCTGCTCATTTCATTTCATTTCATTGTCACCGACGCCGACATTGTTGAACTTCTCTCTGACGATGTTTTGCTATTCGCAAAGCAGCTTCCTTCTGGATCGTGCCCGCCAAAGTCCAAACTGATCGCATGCCAAATAAATAATATATCACCACGATCATATTTTATTAGTATATGCTACTTTATTTAAAAAATAGCACTTCAATAGTTTATCCGCGCACGAAACAAACGTTTTAAGATGCATATTCGACTTTTTAGCTCCACAGAGTAATGCTTTTTGGGGACGGGATGGGACACTTGCTGCGAATGTTGGGAGAATATTGAAACTTCAGTGAAGACCCATCGCAGGCAGGGACAAAGCTCCAATTACGAAACGGAGATTAGCAAGTTGCTTTCTTAACCTTGCGGACTATTTGAGCCCGAATAAAATGCATCGATTCTAGTGGAAGGTTGAAGATTGGATTCATCTAACCTGTACATCGTGAAAAAACGTGATTCAATTCTATCCAGAGGAAGAATAGGCAAGCAAATGAGAGAGCGGCCTAGATTTAGTCTGGCCAACAAAAGCGGCGGTGTTAGATTAAGTACGATTTTGACAAGAATCAAGTTTGTTTTTTTTTTTTTTCCTTGGCCGCATCCAAATTAAATTAGATAGGACTCGAACAAGATAGACACCGTGATTATTAGTTAGCGTAAACATTTGTCATATATACATAAAACTGGGGCAGGGCGCTTCGGCTGTTATACCCTCCGTTTTCATGATTTCAGTCTAACTATAAAAGTAGAATCATCCGTTCATCCCCATCTTCTTTGGACACTACTTTCTAAAAGGTTGGGCTACTCATTGAGCTATTCAAAGTTGGAGCTCCTGTGCCCTGTTTTAAAATGATGCAGCCGAATTATGCAAGCCTGGCTGGACAGATGAATATTCAAACTAGTTTGGATCCTGCGTTATGAAAAGCTTATTCCTTTATGTTTATACTTCGTCCCGCTAGGAGACAAATTCTAATTGGGCATGCTCGTTGTCACTTCCATTCAAAATACTTTCCATCTCTGCTTTCCCATTTTGTTTGACAATTTGGATCAGACACGCCATCCACGCCTTCTTTTCTTCGCTTATTATTGCTATATTCTCGAGCTGTGAAATTATAATCTTCCTGTTAATCCTGTTTCACACATCTCTATTCATTTTAGAAGAGCAAAATTAAGCTTTTGCACCCCCCTCAAAAGTGAGTGTGAAAACAAAAGCATCTATTTTGTGTGGTTTTTTTTTTTGGGACGCGTGTAGAAACAATATTTGTACACTCACGCGCATTTTCTTCGTTTTTTTTTTAACCATGTCTCATACATGGTATGGACAAATGGTGAATATATATATGTATATATATTCGCTTTTTATCATCGTCCTACTATGGATAACATAAAGAAAAAGCAGTGTGTTGAAAGTAATATGAATCTGATAATTAAAAAAAAAAAAAACACACACACTCACACACACAAGTTGTCGTTCGTATCAACTCAAATATATTATGGCAGGAAAAAAGGCCAAAAAAAAAAAGGAAATTACGAGGAAGACACGTGGACAGCTGTGGGAGAGAGGAATTAAAAGGCGGGAGTTGTTATCAGTTGTGCTGGGTCCAGCTAGCAAACAGCGAAAGGTTAAAAAGTATTGTGCAATCCCTTTCCAGTTGACACGAAACAAATTAGTAGCAATTATATGGAGATGATAATTGGAGAAATGAGAGAGAGATTGATTATAGAGAGAAACGGGATTGAATGAATATCCTGTACCACAGAGTTTGTGGTACACAAGTTAGTTAACGGGTAACATCATTTGTTATAATTGTAAATACATGGGACCAAATGTGCAAGTGTAGGCGACTCTCAAATCCTCCCCCAGACCTCCCCCTCACTAATTGAAAATACAAGAAAAGGAACCGCGATCGAGAGACGTGTAAATCAAGAGCCGTGGGTTCGAGTAATCAATTTCATGTGTGGATTTGATGTTCATTTAAGCGTTGTGTGGTCCACAAGGTCCAAGCCTGAGGTGGATTGCTTGGATGGCTCTGACTCATGGACTCTGCTACTTTTGGACATGAACGGACCACTTCGTCTCACCAGGACCACTCACACTTGTCTCTCGGGGACCAGCTTCCTCTTGACACTGACCTGTTCCTCAAGGCCCAATTCACCTTCCGTTCCCATTTCATGCTCTTCATTCTCTCTCCCCTTGATTGATTGAATTCCCAACTCGAACGTAAGAATGATATGTCCTGCCCTGATTTGATTGCAAGTTCACGCTTCTGGGGTGGAATTTGAAGAGACGAATAATGGGAAATCCAGAGAAGCTCATCAGAGGAGGGCTTTCGTTTTCCATCTCCGGTTTGATTGCTCTGGTGTCATTAATAATGAGGCATTGTACACTGAACAGGGTCCTCACACATTCCTTTCTCTATCCTTAAAATCCAAGTGGTGACAAGGACAAGCATGGCAGACAAGTCGGTTGTATTGAAAGTTAATAACGAGAATGGCTTTTAATTATGGGAAGGGCATTTAAGAATCTTAAGAAATTTTAGAAGCGCATTCATTTTCAATGCCCAGCACATAACTAAATGCATGTGTCGCCCGTGACATGAAAGATGATTGATCAGATGAAAGAGGAACGTCACAGTTTCTTTCGGCTTTCTTCTCTACGCTAGCTCGGTAAGCTCAAGCACCCCCCATAAAATATTATAACTGACGCTCTCAGCTCCTGGCCACCTGTAGAAGAAAAGGTCTAGATCTTATAATCTGAGACTTGATCATGCATTTTATTTGTTTAGATCTTGGAGAACTTGTCCTTATTGAGAATGGTTCGTTTTGTTTTGTAGGGTCGATATTAACACGGATCTAATAGTCCCTCAACCCATTAAGATGGCTTAATCATCCCTGCACTTTCCCATCAAGTTTGTAAAGGCTCGATTGTTTCCCTCTTGACGCGGTAATTAAACGGCAGGGCAATTCAAGCAACTTTTTGTCCTTTCCCTTAATTAGGGACACTTACACCTACAAATATACATTTACACATCCTGCAGAATTGTGGAATGAATTTTCATCTCGTTGACAGGGACTTGTTTCCATGTTTTAGACTTAAGTGTTAAAAATTTTCATGTAACCCTCGTCCCTTTTCTCATTTTACATCCCCAAGTAACGCGTCTCAATTCTAACCAAGAAAAAGAATATTCATCTGGACTTAGGCCTCCAGTTACTTTCATCCTCTGAAAGATTGGGCCCATGTCAAAACTAGGGCCCAAAGATATCAGTTCACCGTCACTGGGTCCATACAAACTTCGGCCTCAAAAACCGAACTGGACCAAAACTGGCTGTGAGAGACATGAAAAGATAGTAGCCAGGCCAGGGTTGATGATAGATGAGTTTCGTTGCTCAGTCCCCACCACCCCCCCCCCCCAAAAAAAAGGAAAAAGAAAAAGAAAAGAAAAAAAGGTTTTTTTTCCCCGTGAAAAAAAAAGGTTTCACTGTACTGCTTAAAGTACTTTCTGAACCATTGTGCAAAAGGAATGCTTAGAGAAGTTGATCAATGAGTTGGAGAAGGAATGCAGAAGATTTCTTTGGGGTGACTCTGATGAGAAGTGTAATATTCATCTTATATCATGGAGGGTAACCTTGCTTGACAAGAACAACGAAGGTTCAGGAATGAAAGACTTATCTACTCAGAATAAAGCCTTCATTTTTAAATTCTGTTGGAAGCTGCTGACTAACGAACAAGCCCTTTGGGTTCAAGTGATCAAATCGAAGTACAGATGTGATGGTGTTGTTATTTCAAATGTCCGGGAGAAGGCAAAATCTCTCTCTTGCTTGGCGCAGTATTTATAATTGTTGGGAGGAATTTTCAAAAGGGGTGGGGAAGAGAATTGGGTATGGTATGAACACCAAGTTCTGGACTGATGGATGGGAATTTTGTGACCAACCTCTAGCCCAGCTTGCAATTGAGAACTCCTATAATGTTGAGAATATAGTGGCTGACTTTGTGACCACTACTGGGGACAGAGATTTGAGCAAAATGGAAGGATTTTTGCCTAGTTATGCTGTTTACCGTATTGCTCGTACTCAAGCCCGAGAGTTGAGAGAGAAGATAAATATGCGTGGAAACCATCCACTGATGGTAATTTTAATGTCAGATCTGCATATAATTTTCTTGTTGCAAGTAAACAAATTGTTGCGGGGGCCATTTGGAACAAAATTTAGAGCTGGCCTGGACCCAAAAAAATCAAGGTGCACCTTTGGCTAGTTGCTAAAAATAGACTGCGTACAGCAGAGCTACTTGCAGAACGAGGACTTCAGCATGAAGAGCTCTGCCCTCTAGGTTGCTCATAAAAGGATATTGTCATGCATGTATTCAAGGATTGCCTAGTTGCCGAGGAGAGGTGGAAATAGCTTGTCAAGCTTGAAGTTTGGGATAGATTCAAGTCTTTGAATGGGGAAGACTGGATCTTGTGGAACAAGAAGGAACAAGCTGGACAAGAGTTTACTAAACAGGCACCATGGGAGGCTCTCTTTGGTTATATTTGTTTGGATATCTAGTGTTCTAGATGTAAATATTTATTTAATGAAGTGAGTGAGGAAAGAAGTTCTCTCTCTCTCTCTCTCTCTCTCTCTCAGCAAAGAGGAAAGAAGTTCTCTAAAGAGGCTATTTTCTATAAAGCGAAAACTGACAGGTGCCTATTGAACACTTCCATCACGTTATCTACGCCTGTGATGAGATCTAACCGTAAATGGCTTAGGCTGGAAGGTAATAATGTTTGCCTTGACATTGACGGTTCCTACAAGAATGGCATTTCTAGACGTGGGGCGAAATGGGGATGCTGATTAGATTGTTTAGTTTTCTTCGGATGTTGGCAATTATCTGCCAGAAATTGTTGTATTGATTCAAAGTGTTAATATGTGCTATCAACCTCACCTGTAGGAAATTCATGTTTTTACTGATTGTGCCAAGACAATTAACCTTTTTACTAGATATGATGTGAGTCAACACCCGTTCAAAGGTGCTATTGAGCAAGTTAGGAAATATTTGACTCACACTAGAAGTTTATCTTTAAATTTTATGTATAGGAAAACACATTTTTGTGCGCACTTATTTTCTCAGAATGCTTTATCCTTTAAAGGGAGTCTTTATGCTTTTGATCAACCACCTTTTTTTTTTTTTTGTCAAGAAGCAGTGACTAATGAGAAGATTAGGTCTTACGTAATGACTTGAACACTATTGCGTCTTGTTTGGACTATTGTACTCTCTTTTATTAAAAACATAAAAAACAAATAGAGTGCTATGGACTTTTATCCCCTCCAGCGTAGTTTAGCTTTGTAATCTGGGCTTGGCCACCTTATGTACCCCCCACCCAAAAAAAAAAAGCCAAACAAAACAGCGCTTTGTGGACACCAGTGATTTTTCCCCATAGAATGCACATGGATGAAGCACTAGTTACAAGCATAGCAAGACTGACGAGGACTATTTCTTTTTTTTTAATCTTTTAACAGCGCAGTCAAATAGAATGTTAAATATCAGAAGAATCCCAGCAATACATAATGACAGATACACACTTTTACATCTGCAGTTAAGGAGTTCAAAATATCGTTATCACGACTCTTACCATCAACATCCAGTCTTCAGCCCCAACTTTCCCCTCCCTTCATGGAGAAATGTCAAGTGCCACTTCCGCCAAAATCCAAACTTGGAAAGTTTAGGACCTCTCTGACGGTTCATTTAGCAGAAAAGAAGCTCGAATGCAAAAATAATGATGATGATGAAGGGAATTAAAAGAAAGCAACTCAGGAAATATGGCAAACCAATCGCAACTGAGGTTGTTCACAAACTTGAACACAAAGAAACACAACCTAGAATCATGGGTAAGTACACCACTCCAGATCATCTTCCACTCAAGCACAAAAGCCAAGGGGGAAGCCTCATACTCAAAGCCGAAACCCTGTTGCCAATGTCTGATCCGAATCTGCATTCCCAAAATTCCAACCAGCACAGTAACGTTGGCTAACATCTGCCAGGACAAGTCAGCAACTATATATGTCACAAGCATGGATAGGAATCAAAAAGCCATTTCTAATATAAACACTACGATCATATTATGGTAGCATGATTGTCAATGCCAAACTGATAGTAGCAACAGCAAGGACATAGTCACCTTTGACCACGAAAAAAAAAAAAAAGACATCGTCACAACTTGCCAAAGGATTCATAAATTGCTGGCCAAAGCAATAATGATCAATGCTCAGAGGCTCAGATAGCATTAAATATGACTTATAAACCTTCCACTTGGCACGCCAGTAAAAACTTTATGATGAGCAAGTTAAGACAGCCACGCCCACTGAAAATGCTTGAAGAGACTCCAGTTCCGAGTGAGGATATTAAGATACTGCCTCTTAAAACAGATTATTCTATTAGGAATAAGATACCTGTGTATCAGTCATTCACAAGCAATCTTGGTATCAAAGCTGCTAAGACATATTGCGAATGCTTCAAAAGCAGATATTGGATACTGATAGTCCATAGTGAACAAATCTTTCCCCACTTTTCCAAACTGAAGAATAACATTTTCCTGAGCCTGTTCAGAAACCCCACTCTTTGGAGAAGCAACCAGCTGGAAGTTTTTGACAGAAGCCACAGTCACTCGCCCGTTGAAGTTTAGACACCAGCATTGGAGTTGCTCATGCCACCTAGGGGACTTATTTTGTAATACCAGCATTCCCTTGTTTTGGGAAGACAAAGGTACCGATTGGAAGTTTTCCATGCGAGTTGATTTTGATCTAAAGAAAGGAATAGAAGAAGTATCAAGTCTGCTATGCAGGAATTGAGTTTGCGTAGGGGCCACACCTCCTGGCTCAACAGCTGAAGCTGGAATGGCATCCATGACACAATGCATTATCCTTGGGCCCCTGTAAACATTCACCCATCTGAATCTAAGCTATGCTAGATGTAAATGTAACAGAATGACTAAGCAATGGAATCACCTCCTAGAAGGGAAGAGAGGAATTTCAGATAATCATAATAAAAGAATATTACGAGTTCATGATTCCTGTCCACACGATTCTCTCTTTTCATGAGACTCTTGAAATAAAAATATCATTACCTGGAGCCCAGGACATTCAGATCGTATGAGACATGTGCAATGGGATAGTTGCCAGCAGGAACTCTAGGAGAAACTTGCTTGAGACTAACTAGTCTAGTTGAACGGGATTTAGTCACTCTGGCACCGCAAATTGGAGGGTGCGCATCATACACTGTGAATTTGGTACCCAGAAAGTTTGACCTATCACAAATGAAACAAGAGAGTAATTTTAGGCCCAAAAGTTACTACTGGCTCAGCAATGAGCAGTATCAGCAGGACTTACCTCAACTTTCCAATGTAAGTGCTACTCCCTCTAGATACATCATCGAAGTTTATAGAAATGATATAGTCCGTATGGGTAGGACGTCGACACTTGCGTGCAGCAAGAAGGAACTTGCCCTCATCAATTGAAGCTGCAAGAATCAACATTAAATTGCATCAAAATATATAGAAGGCAAAAAAAGAACGGAAGAAAGAAAGCAACACAATCAGGCAACTGCTTTTCTTCTTTGAATATTACATCAGTACAAGGGGAAAAAAAACGGCCATTACTAACCCAATTTACATGTATAGTAGATGCAATCAACGACACAGATTAAATTTAATTTCTAGTAGTGCGTACCTTGGTTTAAACTGAGGAACAGATAATATGTCTGATTACTGCGATTCCGTTTAATATAGCACTGAAGAAGAGAGCTCCTTGGACCAGGCTGCACAACAACCGTAAGAGATCAAAATAAATTTTATTTAATTAGAGGCATGAGACCTTCCTCACAATAAAATAGCCACCGATAATAAATCTACTTGAGGTAGATGTGAAGCAGATTCAACCAAAGTCACGCCTGTGACAGCAGGAAATGCATATAGTGCCAATTATATCATGGGGAGAATGACATTTGGCTTCCTTATAAGGAAATTATTGAGACATTAGTTAGTACTCTGAGATTCAACACTACCCTTTTGAGATTCACAACTATGCCATACAATATTAACAACTATACTTTTGAAATGGGTACCAAAGTGAAAATGATTTCCCTACACCAAGGTACAAATGTCATTCTCCCTCGTATCATTCTCAGTCTCTCACCCATTTTTCGGGAAGGTGGTGGTTGGGAATTCATGTCACCGTGAAGAGATAAACAAAGCCAAAGTAATGCTAATTAACTCTAAAATGGCCACCCATAATATAAGAAACAAATTATGAGCTTTATCAGCTGCAATTAAATCTCCCAAATCACCATGTAGTTTGTTTAAGAGACCATCAAGCCATTGCAACTGCAATTAAGTGATTACCTAATGTGCGAGTTCAACTATGTCACTCAACAACCTGCCTCTGATGTTTCATTATGCCTCAAACGAAGTCTGGGAATCAAGATAAAACATACAATTGCTGAATCCTGGCATGCTACTGCATACAAGTACATTGCCGCGGAGCAAACTAAATGTCGGCTAACTAAAGAAGAAGAAGTTGGACGAGTTCAGCTCAAAAGCCCAGAAACAAGCACAAGTAAATGGGCACGAGACAATTTTGTTTGGCAAGACTAAATTGCTACTTCAAACAGAACCTATGTGAAGTTATTAATAACCAAATATAAAATACGTACAGAAGAGCACCATAGATGCATCTAACGCTAGCATACATTGCGAAGGAAGTAAAGGCATGCGCATTAGCCATACCTGCTTCAAGGAGATTGGGAGCGTCAGCTTGCCAGATAATTCAGGAGATTTCACAATTTCTTTAATGATTTCTCTCCAGCTGCGGCATACACCAGCACAAGCAACCACATGTCTTCGGGTTGGCCAGGTATCTTCAGAGGCCTCAATCCTCATTAGCACGTCCCTCAGAAGCTCCGGGGGCATATTAGCCCAACAACTCTGCCTCAACCCATCGACAACCATCACATGATCCCCAGCATCGCGGTATGACTGTGACCGCGATCTCATCCCATACCCAAATTTAACCTCAAATCCTTTCCTTGAAATACTCCCAAATTCGCCCTTTATATCCTGGATGATACTCCTAAACGACATCGTCGCCTTTTTAAATATTCAAAGCCATTGTCAATTCATCCATTCCAAATCCCATCTTTTTACAAAAACCAGGCTGCCAAACGATAAACAAAACCCCAAAACGTGGAAAGCTGGAATTTTTTCTTTTAAACGAAAGTTACATCACAATAACGACACGGTTTTTTTTTTCCATGCAAAAATCAACTACCAAAGGCAGAGTGGCATACGGATTTAATACGGGAATTCGAAATCGAAAAGAACCTAAATTGAACGCAACGCAAAAGCAACCCCCAAAAAACAAAATAAGAGCCAATTGATCAAACACGGAACTTAAACTAGAGCTCCATAGCTTCCCCCTCCCCACCTTTACAAACTATCTCCCCTTCAAATCTTCGAAAGTCATTATGTCAGGTTGAGAGAAAAACGTTTATGGCGCTAATTGAAACACCAATCATGGAATAAATTGAACAATAAAGAGAAGCCGTCTAAACAAAAAAGAAAAAATCAAAATGAATTCTACCCCCTCGATCACATAGCGGGAGGGTACTGTGGGACTGGAAAGAATGAGGAAAGCGAAAGGGTTCCTGAGGAATCTGAGCTCACCATCCGGGCTGACCAGACGGGTTTGCACACAACGGCTTTATCCACATGGTCGCCTTTTTATCTTCTTTGTGTTGTCCTCGTGATGGATCGGGTTGGGTGACGATGATTAACCCGAATTGTAGTGTGTGTTTGGTTTTTCATTAAACAAAAAAATTGGTTTGTTAAAAATTAATTTAATAAAAATCACTTATTATAATAAAATTTATATTTAGATATATTTTTTATAAATTAGTTTGATAAATTAAAAATTATTTGAATTACTCCCTCCGTCTTTATATATAAAGTGTTTTTTTTTTAAAAATTGTCCTTAAATATAAAAGGTGATAATGATATTTTTTAATAATCGGGTAAACTCTTATCTTAAAAAATAAAATATATTATTAATTGTATGTTTTTCAAACCATCATCATAATATTAATTATGATATTATTAGGGATAAAATTAAAAAATTATTGTGTTTTATATGAGTTCAACTAAATAACAAAACTTTATTAGTATACAACATTTAATTAAAAATACCTTATATACAAGGACAAAAAGAGTATGTATAATAAAATATGCTGTTAAATGTATAATTTTCAATAAAGACATTGACTTAAAAAATGTTTCAAAAATGTGCTAAAAATTCTAAATAATATAAAATTTGATATGTTGAATAACAAAAACTATAAATTAATATGAAGTTTAATATATTGAAAATGTACGCACACACATATATATTTAATGGTTATTAAAATTAAAAATTAAAAAAATGAAACATTTTTTAATGGTATTGTGTGAAACTAGAAGGAAACAACAAAGAAATTGAAAGAAAATGGGACTTCTGTTTGAATTTTGAAACCTGAAACTGCTGACCATATAAACAAAATGAGGGTATTATGAGCAAAATTTTAAAATGTTTCAAGAGAGACTTTTAAAAATCTATTATTTTTTATTTTTGAAAAAGCACATTTAATAATAGTTTAAAAAGTTAATTTGAAATGGACCTTTTAAAAAAAATTTATAACCAAACTACATTTAAGTTCAAATTACATTTTAAAAAGATTTTCGATATGGTGGAAGTGAAAAACAGGCTGGTAATGTTTTGTCAGTTTTAAAACGCAAGTTCCTAAACTTAACAATCACTTAGTGGGAATCAAATCTTTATTTTTACTTTTTATGCTTGAGCATGAGAATTTAAATATGAGATGAAAAATGACAAAAAGAAAATGTGATTGTAAATTTCAAAATATTTAACACACTATTTATTAATTTATGTGATTTGAATTTGGACAAATATATTCCCTTTTGTTGCGAGACTTAAACTATATTCAAATTTTGTCAGTAAAAACTTGTAATCAAATTTTTTATTGTGATATGCTAAACACTTGAATGGTGTTAGGCATGTCAATATTTTGCTTTAAATACCATGAATTGAAATGTCTGTAAATTTGTAATACATGAAAAGAGAAGAATTAGGTCTATAGTTGACAAGCTTTCAAACTAACTTTTTGATTTTTATCCATTTTATGTTTCTACTTTATAAAACCATGTTAACAAAAAAAAGCTGGATTAAACTTACAAGTTAGCTTTTCAAGTTTATCATTTTTATGTCTCTAGCTTATAAAATCATATCAATTTACTTATAAATTTATTGAGCAAGATAGATATATATTGTATAGAACCTAATTCATGAAAGTGATAGGACCCAATTCAATGAAAAAAATAAAAAAAAACCAGTATTAACAAAAAAGAATAAAAAATACCAAAAATAAGTTGCCATATTTTAAAATTTTTATATTGAATATAATACTTTTTAAATGTACATGAATTTAATTTTAACAATTTATATTTAAAATACATTTTAATTAAAGTATGATTATATTTTATATTTTAATTATTTAATTATATACTTTTAAATACTATTTATTAACAAAGGTAAACTTTTGTAAGTTTACTGTCTGAATCTACATTTTAAGTTTACATTTTTATTATGAATTTATTTAAGCTCGTGAGTTTAATAACCTTACTTAGATTCATTATATCATGATATGTGGCATACAAACATGATTCGCAGGTTAGATGTAATATGTCTCCTATATCATTGGCCAAAAAAGATATGTATCATATATGTCAGCATTGTTATTTTCAAAAAATATAGGATACAATATATACTTCATCTATTAAAAAATATAAGATATTTTTAAGAAGTTTGATATTTAAAAATGTAAAATATTTTTAAACTTTCGACGTGTAATTATTACTTTTTTTGATTTTATATTTATTATAAAGTATTTAATATAAGTAAATATAAAAAGATAATATTTATTTAAAAGTAAGCAATTACTTTACTAGGGAATGAGATTCAGTTAAAAATGCTTTATATTTTTAAACGGAGGGAGTATATTCCATCCATTTGAAAATATAAGGTATTTTTAATTGAATTTCATTCTTAACAGAGTAATTACTTATTTTCAAACTAACTCTATCTTTTTATATTCATCGTCATTTAACACTTTATAATAAATATAAAATAATTTATTAATAGAGATATTAAAAAAAAGGTACTAATTGCACCTTAAAAATATCTTATATTTTTTAATATCCAACTCTTTAAAAAATATCTTACATTTTTAAATGGAGGGAGTGTGTGTGTGTATATATATATGATATACAAACATATATTCATAGAAAATGTATAAAACATGCTAAAAATATATTTCCAAATTTTTTTAAAAAAAAAACTGGCATGCTAACATAGTAATCCCTTAACAGCAAAACATGCTAGGAACAATACTCTGTCTACACATGATTGCCTGCTATATTGAGATTATTTAAAATATAATTTCATAAGTTCTAAAATTGTAATATCATCAAAGTTGACACATTCGTCAAATCTAATATCTTATTTTATAAGCAAATCATAAAAAGATATTAGAAATAAAAAAAATTGATATAACAATCATCAATGATTTTTTATTTTTAAGAGAAACCTTTGAAGTATCCATAATCTAAAGGTATGGAATATACATTAGAAATAAAAAAATTAATATAACAATCATCAATGATTTTTTTTAATCACTAGCACATTAGGTCTTTTTCTCCCTCGCACTTTTTCAATGTTCTCTAGTCTTCTAAATGAAATTCATCTCTAAAAAACCTGTATTTAGATAAACTTGAAATACTCAATTGCATTTTTGAAGTTGCGGGAGATTGAATTTGCATTGCAAGATTTTAAAGACATATCCAAGTTGCTGAATTGTTGTGTCGTGGTTGACTAAAGTATAGCTCATAGGTGCGCCAATCTCCAAGGGATGGAAGAAGCCTAGCTACGCATGAATTTGAACTCCAAAAACTCCATACAGCTTGAAAAACACATCCATGCGCTCTATATGAAGAAATTCAAATAGCAAAATATTCAACAAATCAAAACAAGATTTGTAAGGTTTTGGTATGGACTGAGTGAGGAAGGTAATGATAAATTTGAATTTAAGGTTGAATGGTTAGATGTGGAGATATAGAGAAGAGGGAGCATGAGCCAAATTTGTAGAAAATTCAAATTGCAGAAGATGACGTAAAGTGATGTTAAATTGCTTAAGGACATGTTTGGCAAGCATGAAAAATGACAAAAAGGTATTATTGTGTGCAGGTGTCTTAAAGTAATGTGAGTATATGTTCGTTTAAGGATATATGTGAAGATGATAAAATGTGTATAAAAACTTATTTAAGCGCAGGAAGAATAAAAGTAACAAGTGAGAGAATTAATAAATCAAAGTGCGACTAATTATATGTATGCATGATATATGATGATACAAGTTAAAAAAAAAAGACAAAGAAATAAGATGGGAAATTAAGAATTAACAAGCTTGCCCCTAGGCTTCTCTTTATTTTTATTTGTGTCTTGTAATAAAAAATCTCATCCAAATGCCCAATTATGTACAGTCTGGATTGATTTTACGTGCCAAATTAATTTTTCAAGAATTATCATTATTCACACTTTTATTCCAAAAATTTTAAAATTATAAATTAAGTTCAATAAATTCAAATGATGCTCAAAAAGTGTCAAAAATCAAGAATTAGGGAATAAAAATGATGTAAGGAATATAATTTATTATTGATAATGTGTATAATGAGGTATTGAATTATATGTCTACGTTGGCCTTGGGTTAAACTATTGCATTGCATATTTTAATTGGTGAAGAGGCCAGTATACCGATAAGGGAAGACAATTTTGTTGGCTATTATGTCACTATGGTTTTGTTGTTTTTTTTGGCTTTGTTGCGTTTTTTTTGTTTTGCCAATCTTACTTTTTTTTTTATGATGAAAGGAAGACGTTGCGGGTTTTTTTTGGTTAAGTTTTATTGTTTTTTTTTAAGCTTTGTTGCTTTTTATTTTCACGGCCTTGCATTTTGATTTTCCTTTGATCAGAGAGCGAGAGAGAGAGAGAGAGAGAGAGAGAGAGAGAGATGCTAGATGGGAATGACATGCCGGCATAATATAGTCAAAAAGCTAGGGTTAATAGTCATACGGGCAGGGCGCATCTGTATTGTTTTGAAAGATACCAAGGTAAAATTGCACGTTAAATATTTTAAGATATCAATTGTGTTTTCAAAAAAAATTTTAAAAATAAATTTATACTTTAATTCTATTTTTATTAAAAAATAAAGAATTAAGATTTAATTTTATCTATATATTTATTTTTAAGAGTGTCGAACATCTTATACTCTTAAGTAGGGTAATTTTATTTTTAAATTATTTTTTTGATGATAAAAAAAACCCTCCATTAATGAATCATTAACTTTACTGTTATATGTTGATGTGACATGTACGTGGGTGGTCATGTACAGTAATATATAAAATTTTGATCATATTTTTTGAGTTTAATTTGCTTGAATCCTGTTTTCAATAACATTGAGCACTTTAAAGTCTTTTTTTAAAAGTATTGGATACCTTGAAATCTTGTTAAGATAAAATTTAATAAATATTGTTAAAATATTAACTATTTTAATATTTAATAATTGAAATATTGTTATTTAAAATATTACATCACCTAATTTAATATTTTATAATTTTGTATTAAAAATGAAGGGAATGAATCTCAAAATTAATGAAAATTTTTTTCTTCTCATCTCTCCATTTTTTTTCTTGTTAATTAACTTTTTGTATAGCACATTAATAGAATAATCGATGTCTTTCAAATAAACATTTTTGTTAGTCCTTATTGTTATATTTTTGATTTTACTCATAACACTGCAATGTACAAACAGAGAGTATTAAATTTAGGTACTGAAATATTTTGGACAAAAATCGTTAGTTAACTAAAAACAGTAAGGAATTTAAATAATATTAAAAATATAAGCAAGTTTTGATGTGCGCAAAAAGTATAATGATTTAAACACTGTCTCAAAAAAAAAAGATCAAAGATTGATATATATAAAATAAAAAGTCATCTACAAATTTATAAAATGTTAGTTTGAGTTGTTAATATATAAAAAGTAACTTATAAATTTTGAATGAATATTTATAAATAATATTATTTAAATTATTAAATAAGTAAATATTTAATATTTTAATAATATTTATTAAATTTTATTTTAACAAGATTTCAAGGTACTCGATACTTAAAAAAAAAATTTTAGGGTGCTCAGTGCTCCTATAAAAAAAGTTTAGGGGTAGATTAACACGAAAGAACATGGTCAGATTCTTACTTATCATTGTGCGTGCACTCTACGACATGATACATCAACATATAACGATAGAGTTAATAATTCATTAATGGAGGAGTTTTTTGCTTCTTGAAAAAATAATTGAAAGATAAAATTACCTCACTTAAAAATATAGGGTGTTTAGCACTCTTAAAAAATAAATACAAAAATAAAATTAAACCTTAACCTAAAAATAAAATATGAAACATCAATGTAAAAGAGATGACCTTATTTTTACTTGAATGACGAGCTATTGCACAGTGAATAACATTTTCATTTGAAAGTCTGCAGCTTTTATTTTGACAGGAGAAATGAGACATAACATTGTGAACGAAGAGCTGACATTTGAAAATATAAAAAGTTTTATTTATTGCATACGAGATTTTGAATTGCCAGGCCAGGCTATCAAAACACTGCTATATGCTTAAATGTGGACAACACAAAAATAAAAAATTGAAGTTTCCTGAGCCACACTTCGGACCGTTACTCCTAAATCCTGGCCTCGGACTCACGCTCCCTCGCGCTGTCACGTTCCTACAATTAATCATCAGCCACATTTCTGTGTTTTTCAATTAATCATCATATCAATTTTTTTTTTGATAAAAATCATCATATCATATTCATATTAATAATTGACTTTCTGATTTCTGGCTTTCCTATTAAATATTTTTCATTCTTTAATTGAAATTAAAATAAATATAGTAGTATTATTTTCCAAAAATCCGCCACCAAATGCTACCTGATTTAGATGGAGTCTATGGAATGACTCAAATATCCTTCAAGTCTTTAGAAAATTGTGAGCCACTCAGCAGTTGCCGCTGGTAATAAAGGCTATGGCCAGCTGCAATTCGGCACAAGAGGAGCGCTTGAATTCCCCCGTCTCTGAAAGAGACAAACGAATTCAAAACCAGAAATCACTGCATCGAGGATATGATTTGTCCAGCCAAGGGCTGAAGAGTCTCTAGGCTGGGAAGCGAAGCCTACACTCTGCATCAGCCGGGGACGAAGACAGTGGACGAGTTAAACGACTCTCTCCAACACTTTCAAGTTTGAATCAGGTCCTCCATTGTTTCCCCCGTTCTCTCTCTCTCTCCCCCCCCCCTCTCACGCCCACACAGCCGAGTTCCACTTTCCTTTCTTCCTCTCTGTCGGTTCATCTGCTGGCATAACCTCAATATCCTTCTTCTCTTTTGAAAATATTGACGAATCGCTTACAATTTGTCATCCTGATATCACCATATCTGTGGTTCCGTTTTCTTTTTTCTTCTCCCCCCCCCCTTTTTTTTAAAAAGGGAAGAGATATGATGCAATTTTGTGTTGTTAACTTTTTTCATTTGAAGTATTCCTGTGGTCTGTTTTGAAAGGACGGGAATGCCTCTATATGGCTTTTACGATGCTTCTGCGGTCTTGTTTTTGTTAATAACGAAGAAGCGGTATCCATCTCTTGTCGGTGCATTTGATTTTGACCCTTCATGAAAATACCATAAACTTGATGCTTCAATATATTTTTGTTGATATCTTTTAGCTATAAAACGGGCTGCTTATTTTGCTGCCTGGAAAATTCAAGGTTCCTTTTTGTTGTTTTTCGATATCGGTTTTCATATATAAAAGGCTTCGGTGATAACCAGGAGAAGAGTGACGTAGAAGATGGCACAAATGAGGATGAATCAACCCTCACACTGGTGGTGGCTTGACGATCACAGTACCTCTAAAAGATCCCCATGGCTCCAATCCGCTCTCTCTGGTATCATTTCTCTTCCTCTGTAGTTAATGTTCGATTAACTTAGGTGTTTACTCTGAACCCGTGGAAAGTAGAAAAGTTTCATTATTCGAAGCCCTGCAAATTTTGGGGAAAATATCTGCAGCTGAGCAATTCGCTTGATTGTGAGCATATGTGTTGGGTTGAACCGTATGATGTATCTTCGTGGTTATGGTTCATGGCCTATCCAAATTTAATGTTGCATTGATTGCTTGAGGATCCCACTAAACATTTGTCTGGCTCTGTTATTTGGCTTTCAATTTGTCTCTAAATGTTGTGCTCGTAGTATGTTGAAGTTTTGGGCCCACGGGTGTTTTCCGGAATGATACTTGATTTTCCTTATGGCATAGTATGATCTATAAACGTAAGCACTTGGGAAGCTCAAACCACACGTTGTCAAAAGAGTGAAGAGGAAAGCAGGTGTACTGGTAACAAGAAAAAAGGTTGTGGGCCTATTTTAAGAAGCGTGGTTCCTGCTTGTTCCTTTCGAGCTCTTTTCTTTTACTACTTTTTGCCTCTAGATTTAACCGTTGCGATTACCCCTTTTTTCTTTAGTGAGCTGAGACTTATGTCTGGACCTCTTTGTGGCCACATACCGGAGGGTTACAACGGCTAATGATTTTAGCAACGAATCAATATATAAGATTAAAAGGAATGCGAAAAACATGTTGATATTTGCCTGTTTCTGTGTGTTGTGTTGATGACAGAGCTAAATGAGAAGACAAAGGCGATGTTAAAATTGATTGAACAAGATGCGGATTCCTTTGCGCAACGTGCAGAGATGTATTACAAAAAGCGACCAGAGCTTATTAGCATGGTTGAGGATTTCTATCGGACTCATCGCTCTCTTGCCGAGCGATATGATCAAGTCAAACCTGATTCTGGATTTCGCCTCCTGATTTCAGGAGGATCTCCTTTTGCCTCGGCCAAGTACCAGTCCGAGAAATTCATGACTTCCACCGATCGCAGTTATGACAACTCCTCTGAGAACTGTGATGTGGAGGAGTCTGCGGAGTCTGAAGTTGAAGATCCTGAACAAGATGAGGAAACTGAATTTGACAACTGCGCAGAAGGGGAAGCTCCTTTTCTGGCCGTGAATAACGAAGTCAAGAGGTTAGGTGAAGAAGTCAAGAGACTCGGAGAAGAGAACAGGGTCTATAAGGATCAAGTCGAGCGGAAAGACGCCATGCATAATGAACTGATGATTTTGAAGGAGGAGGCAGAAAGACTCAGAGAAGAGAGCAGGGAACAGAAAGATGAACTGAAGAAGAAAGATGCCATGAGCGAGGAAGCAATGATGTTGAGGGAAGAAATAAGGAGACTGAGAGAAGAGAATAGGGCACAGCAGGATGAACTGAGGCAGAAAGATGAGGAGAAGATAGAGGTGATAAAACATCTGAGTTTGGCAATAGATGTGATCAAGCAGGAGAATTCAAAGATGAGAAACTTCATTGCTAAGGACTGCGCCAAAAAATGGAAGCACCCCTTCGAGTTCAACAAACTCATGGGAGCATTGTCCGGGAAGCTGTTTAATGGATATCCATGGAATCAGCCCAGTGTTGTAGCTCTCTAGATGTGATTTACAAGTAGGCATGCAGCGTTATACCAAGTGGAAATGCACCCCTGTATATCTTCGAAAATCTGTATTTAGGATTGTCCGGTGGAAGCTTCATACATTTTACTAGTCCGTCTTAGATCTAAGTGTAGTTGTGTAATTTGACATATTTTCCTTCTAGCAAAGACAAGCCAGATAGGGTATGTTAGTGGTCCTTACTTTTGTCACCGAGTTATATTGTATTCATACCCATCGTCTCAATTTATTTATTTATAATGCCTCCCCACTCTAATTCCCATCTCTTTTTGCTCCCCTGAACTGTATTCCCCCCCCCCCCAAAAAAAAAACCTTGTTTCTTGTAGCCAAATGCGCGCATTAGTCATCAAAAGGCTCTCGGAGCAACATCAAAGTGATGAGTGATCTGTGGTCCCTTATCTCCCTTCGGTCTCTCGAGCGAGAGGGGATTGCATTTGACAGGTGTTATACTTTCCTACAAGAAATTCGAAGAAAATTTCCAGCATACATAACTGAAGACAGACACCAGTTAATAGTTAAAGATAACTCTTGCCAGGCTTGAAAGATTGTTGATATTGGTGAAGCAGCATCATTCAACAGTGCCTCATACAATGTACCAAAAATAATAAAAGAAAAGGGAACGCTCTAATAGCGACAAGAACAATAAAGTAGAAACAGCAGCATCTACTCAGATTCACATGCCATGAGGCTGGAGCACCAAGCAAATTACCAGTAAAGCCAGATATGAGAGGAGATTCAGAGGGAGAGATGAAGAGCGTGAAGCAGGGGCATCATGGGCTGGCATAGACTCTGATGGAGGAAACGCCATTACTGAGCCTGGAGTACCGAAGGCGTCGGGATTTGGAGGACTCGGGCTGGCAGGGATGGTGGGCAACGAAGAGTCAGAAGGAGAGTAAGCTGCTTTACCAGGAGAGGGAAAGAGAGGCTCAATATCTGGAGAGAGAGGAGCAGAGACCAGAGGAGCAGCGGGTGATACTGTTGGTGCCGCTGATATGGCGGAAAAACGCACACTCGGTGGACAAGCCAGGCATGACGAACAATTGGACGCCATCAAGGCCAGGAAGATTGCAGGGAATGGCCAAAAGGAAGCCATAAATGATGAGAGAATCAAATATATGTTGACTTAATAATGGGACTTTAACTAATGTGTCTGCGAGAGAGAAGGGAAAACAAAAGTGTCGTGGAGAAACCAAGGAGGAGGTTCATGATTGAGGCATTAAAAGGAGCCTTTAGATGTGGTGGTGGGTGGGGTTCACTGATAATTGGTATCCTGTGCTACGAGACAAATTTGGTACGTGATTTCCTTCTGGACCACGTGAATAATCGGTGTCTGTCTTTCCTTCTCACCATCTGTATGCGAGTTTGAACCCAAAAAAAAAAAAAAAAAAGCTACAGAGGGGCCGACGAAAAGAAAACAATTCTTCAAGGATCTCAACAGAACAGTCTGTTGGGTAATTTCCCAGGACGAGTGGTCTTTCCTCTCCTATCTCTCCACACTGTGCCTCTGCTCTGCATGTCCTCTTTCTGGGCATGTTTTGCCAATTCCAGAGCTCAAGAAAAATAAACTTCACAAGGACAAACAGCGAGCGAGAACTATAATAACTGCAACAAGCCTGAAGTTAAATGAATAAATGAAGTTAAATAAAGGATGGGTCACTTGTTAGCACTTACTAACATTATAACATACATGGCTATATGCTGCATTTGGCGTTGGTGCTGATACCCTGTCGCGTATCACTTTATAAAGTACAAGATGGTCTAGTTATTTATCAGACTGTTTAAATAATTCAATTGCTCACCTCTCCCACTCCCGACTCCTCACACAATAGCATACAATCGCACCCTTCCTCATGTAATAGACATTTTTTTTTAATAAAAAGAAATTAACAGAAAGCAATTCCCATACATACATGTTTATTTTTTTTTTGGTGAAAATATATGCTTCTAATTTCATTTTCATATAAAATATCAAAAAAAATTTACTAACAACCCATGATTTTAAAGTCATATCCATCGGACTGCCATCCAATCAAGTTAGCGATTTGGTTAGCAAAGAAAAATTATTTGGAAGGTTGGGTTGGGTTAGACCACCCTGGATCAACTCTTAGATTGAAAATCAAAATCAAGCATTAGACCAGTTCAAAATGTCCTCCTTTTTTCTTCTTTTAACCTTAAGATTTTAACATTTCACCCCAACAAATGAGCAATTTTTTCTTTATTTATGCAATGATGGAACTACATATGCGTGAGGAGGGAGCAAATGCACCTGCTCACATGAAGAAAATTACGTAAATGGTATATAATGATTACAATATTGCACCCTTAGTTTTAAAATTTTGGACACTTTAGACTTAATAAAAAATATTTAAGTTTAAATTTTTTTTAAATGAATAATATTTTAACTCATATTCCATAGATTTAAATCAAAAAATTTAGAGTTATTTGACATATTATAAAAAAAAAGGGTCAAAAGTTGTTTATTTTATAATAAAATCCAAACACAATAAATTAAGTCATCTTTTTGAATAATAGTTTTCTTTTATTTTTTTTTTTCAAACTAAACTCTATCAACTTTTTCAGTAAATTTTTGTCCAAATAAATACTCAGTATATTTTTTTAAATAACAATATACATAATTTTATTTATGTTATTATATTCTTTGTCTACATAATTATTTTTAAAAATTATAAATTAGGTTGTCTCGCACCCTAGACTCTAGATCCTGGATCCACTATCGTCTTTATGTGACATCAACTCTCTTCCATGGCTAGCCTTTAACAAGAGGAAAGAAGAAGAAGAAGTAGAAGAAATTACTAAGGAAGAAGAAAGAAGGAAAGGGTTAAAAAATCAGTGTTGCAGGGGAGAGGACGAAAAATTCAAAAAACTAGCTGTTCAACTTGAAAAACATAATCTGAGTATCAGCGAGAAAAGGACGAAGAGTCTACATTCTCAAGTGATGCGCATTGCTTCGGCCATCAAGCCTTTTTAGTTAGTTTTTTTAAATAAAATATTAATGTTAACTTGTATGGACGGCTCCAGCACCCGCAAGGTGCCACAGGATTGTCCTTCAGATGCTCTAATCCTTGAAGGAAGAAAAATGAAGAAACAAAAGAAACACCAAATAATGGTGACTCACCTCCTGTGCCCGACTACCTTATGCTAGAAGATGCAGAACCAGAAGCTAAACCTCAAGTCGCAGAGATTACTGAACAGATCATGGAGGAGAAAAGTGACCAAGAACATACAAAGAAACCCCACCCAGCCTCCTACCATGGTTCCCTACTGGGTTTCAACGGTGTTTCTAATCGGGCAAGGCACTTAGATAGCGACAATTTTATTGATAAAGAACAAGAATTTTTTCTAGAAAATGCCAGAACCTGCAGAAGAAGTTAAAAAGCTGATGGAATCTTGCCCAGTTGTCTAAATATCCCAAGAAGAATTTAATGAATGGTACCAGCCATGGAATTATGCTCCGGCAGTCACGGTTTTGCGCAGAAGATACAACCTCTACGGCATCAAAGAATGGTTATCTCGTATCTGGAACATCAATCTTAACAGCCTAGAAGTCATTGATCTACCTAACAAATACTTCTCCAATAGGTTTTTGGATAAAGATTTATAGTAGCAGCGCCACAAGAAGGTATTGTATGAAGGCCCATGGTCTAACAACATTGTGTGCTTGTTCAAAGATGGTCTTCGTTCTTCGATCCGCACCATAACCCCTCGGGAAGAATTTCTACGTGGGAAAGAATACCTCACATCTCTATACACTGTTACAATGGGTATTTTATCGCTAGACTCGGTGACTGTACAGGCAGGACTCTATCGGATCTTATGGCTAAAGATGCTACGATTGAGAGGGGTAGATTTGCTAGAAATTGTGTTGAGCTTGATCTTCAAAAGAAATTAGTTCGCAAAATCATGGCAGCGGGCAACATCTTCAATGTGGAATATGAGGGACTTGGTTTGATTTGCTTCAACTGTGGTAGATATGGTCATAAACGAGAAGCCTGTCCCTGGAAGTGTGGCTCGAGCACTTCTGTTAATGAGGGGCATACTGAGAAGCAATCTAATGCCATGCTGGAGAAGAAAACCCCCATTGGTGATGAATTTTTTGGCACCTCGATGTTTGCATCCGATGGATACTGTTCTCGGTTATTGAGGAAGTGCAACCAACGATCCTTCCAAAAGAACCAGAAAAGCCCTGATAAAAAAACCAAAAAATAAAGGCTTCACAATCTTGGTTTGCTGCGCTTGCAGATCTGCGGGACGAGGAGGAAGAAAGAGACTTCCAAATCCTCGAACAAGATGGAAAAAGAGAGCAGCCTGTCGGCTGTGGTAAAGAGCTTGTTCCCAATAAAGAAAGGAAAAACTTGATCGATACACCTGACACTCAATGGGCAGAGGGCTGGAGAAGAAGTTCTGACAAGAGAGCTTTTTTTTTTTTGCTTTTTTTTTTCCCTTCACATCAAGGACCGTGAATTGTTCCGGATATGTTGGATTCATTATTCACCTAATTTATTTTAAACTAATTTAAATTTTCATTTAAGTAGGGCCTTCTTTGATGAAGTTTCACATGTATCATTGACGAGACATTCTTTGCATGCTCAACTGTGTTGCTGCATGCCCTGAGATTCAAACTCGAGTCCCTAAATTAAACTATCTAGGTCCCTAACTATTAAGACAAGTGGCCATTGGTGACAAGAGAGCTTTTCATAAGCAAAAGGGAGGATATCCTGTGACAGGTAAAGGGAATATTAAACCTAAAATTAATAACAATTGAAGCCTACTTCAACCCAATAGAGCAGCTAGGAATGATGTTATCAAAGGTAGGACTAACATTGGCCCAATTCACAAAAAAGGCCCAAAGGAGATGGGCATCGACTTGATGTCGTGGTAAGTGAAAATTTAGGTCAGATCAATCCCTTTTATTTAGTGGATCAGAAACAAAAGAATAAACTCATCTCACTTTCCCCAGCTCTACCATCGCATAATCAGCTTCAGATTTCAGTGCAAACCCGCGTTGGTGATGATCAGAATGTACTCGTGTAAGAAATTCATGGTCGCCCCCTAACTCTCCGTTACAATCACGCGATAACGGACCTTCCTTTTTAAAACTGTGGAGCTTCAACACTCTTTTAGAGAGTGCATTGGATTATATGTGCTAATTTTATTGCTAAGGATGCTCCGAGAACATCAAGCAGGACCTCGTCTCTATTCGTTTTGGGTTCTATTTAGATGATTTGAATAGGTCCAATAGGACCGCTAGTACATAACCAGTAAACTCTCAAGCTTTTGCTTGCCTTTTCATCCAAAAATAAAATAAAATATTAAAAAAATAATAATAACATTTCTTTAAATTATATAAATGATAATTTAATTTTTTTAAAAATATCATAATTTTATTAAAGTTTTTTAAAATTTTTTTGTCATCAATAAATTTATATAAATAATTAAATTATCATTGTTATAAATGACCAAATGCCATGTCAGGAACTCGACATGTGAACTTGTGATTTGCTTTTGTGTTATTGCTAATATAAAAAAAAAGTTGTGATTATTTAAACAAAATGTGTTATTTTCAACATTTATAGCAATATCAAGAAAAGTTGCTTAAATAATCATAATTTTTATTTTTATATTAGCAACAATGCAATGACAAATCATAAGTTCACATATCAAATTGCTAATATTATTATAACTATTGAAAATAACAAGTGTCAATTAAAAATTTGGTTTAAATAATCATAATTTTTTTATATTCACAACAATGCAATAGCAAATCACAAGTTCGCATGTCAAATTCTTGATATAGCACTTGATCATTTACAACAAGGGCAATTTAGTCATTTATATAAATTTATTAATGACAGAATTTTTTTAAAAATTTTAGTGAAATTATGGCATTTTGAGATTAAATTTTTATTTATATAATTTAAAGAGCTTTCATTATCATTTTTCCTAAAATCTTTTACCTTTTTTATATGTATTACAAATAGATTAATTTTTGCGTATAAATTTTTTGTTGTTATCTTATTTATTATATTACATATATCAAAAATTTAATATTTAACTACTTTAATTTTGAATTAATTTTATCATTGTGAACTAACTGAAAAAATATATTTTCCATTATTTCTTTTTTTTTAAACGAAAATATTTTCCATTATTTCTATTCGACTATGAATGGACAGCAATTTGACCAATGAATCATGAATTGATATTTCAATTGGCCCAAAGACTAATTTTATTTTTAAAATATTGTGATAGCTGTCATTACTTTTTTCATGTCACAATAATGCAAATATAAAGGAAATCCTAAATCCTTAATAAACCAGAAACAATGGAGATAAGTCACAGGAAGGACATGACATCGAATTGCATGGGAAATGGCAGCGCGTGAAGAACGAAGGTGGAGATGGGGCCGTTCGAAAAATCTCATGTTTTCCTTCTAAAGTGATTGGTAAATTGTCAACTATTTATATCAATAATATTTTACCACAACTATCAAGTTGAGATGGCCGAGTTGGTCTAAGGCGCCAGATTAAGGTTCTGGTCCGAAAGGGCGTGGGTTCAAATCCCACTCTCAACAGAAACTAAACTTTTTGTTTTTAATTTGTTTATGTGACGTGCACGTAGGAATTTTTTTAGTGGCACATGTGCGCCTTCCTGGATCACATATTTATTCGGTAATCTTGACGGAGCACCTCCTCGCACCTCGACGACGATGCAGGAAGCAGCCGTCATAATCGTGGGAGCCGGCACTTCCGGCCTCGCCGCCTCCGCCTGCTTAACCAGACAATCCATTCCCCACATCCTGCTCGAAAGGGAAGATTGTTATGCTTCTCTATGGCAGAAATATGCCTACGATCGTGTTTGCCTCCACCTCAGGAAGCAAGTTTGCCAGCTCCCTCACATGCCGTTCCCTCCATCTTACCCTCATTATGTTCCCAGGAAGCAGTTCATCCAGTACTTGGATGACTATGTCAATCACTTCCATATTCGCCCTTCCTACCGCAGAGCCGTCGAAGTAGCCCAATACGATGAGGCCCATGACCTGTGGACAGTCCAGGCTAGGAACCGAGACTCCGGTGAGCTTGAGGACTATGCCGGGAGGTTCTTGGTGGTGGCCAGCGGCGAGACGGCGGAGCCTCGCGTGCCTAAGGTTGAGGGTTTGGACACTTTCAAGGGGAGAGTGCTTCATTCAACTGGGTATAAAAATGGAAAGGATTTTAAAGACGAGAATGTTTTGATTGTTGGATCCGGCAATTCTGGAATGGAGATTGCGTTAGACTTGGCCAACTATGGTGCCCGACCTTCAATTATCGTTCGAAGCCCGGTAATTAACTACATAATTTTTGTCGCCAACCTGAATTCATTGATTCTTTTATTCCGAATTTGTTAATTGGCTGGTTAATCTTGCCAGTAGACATATCAATATATTATGATTTGTAGGTTCATTTTCTTACAAGGGACATGATGTATTACGGCTCGCTTCTGTTAAAGTATCTGTCTCCGAGCACAGTGGAGAATCTGCTGGTGATACTTAGCAGGATCGTGTTTGGGGATCTCACCAAGTATGGATTACCTTGGCCTAGCGAGGGTCCTTTCACCATGAAGATGAAGTACGGCAAGTTCCCTGTAATTGATGTAGGAACCGTCCAGAAAATCAAGTCTGGAGAGATAAAGGTATATGGTGCAAATACACGTGGCACCTGAATGTGAATTCACCTCCTTTATTACTGCTCCTGCTGTTTAGATTCAATCTGGTTTTGTCATTTTGATAATTGAACTAAAGGGTTTCCCCGGTTGTGGTCCATTCGATGCGATCAAATCCCAAATGATGAATTTCGAACATGTTTTGCCATTGGAAAACTCGAGGCTGAGCTCTATATGCCAGAGCAGAGCCAGTTAGCTCTTAGCTAGTAGGATAAGTTTCAGCTTGCATAACCTCGGACAGGCTTAATGTGTATGAAGGTGATATGTGTGCATATATGTGTCTGAAGGTGTTGCGGGCGGAAATAGAGCGGATTGGAGGCAACGAGGTAGTGTTCAAGGATGGCAAGTCACTTCCATTTGACTCGATTGTCTTCTGCACAGGCTTCAAGAGATCAACTCACAAGTGGCTCAAGGTAAATGCATGTCATATGAAATGTATCCATTCATCTCTTAAGACACAGTGGTGAAACCTCAAGAAGAAAATACATGGCATCCGTTTCCCAGGATGTGCTGTTGACCAATTGGTGTTGACTTTTGAACAGGGGGATGGGCATCTTCTGAACGAGGACGGCCTTGCGAAGCAAAAATTCCCAAACCACTGGAAGGGAAAGAACGGTTTGTACTGCGTTGGACTGGCACAGAGGGGCTTCTATGGAGCCAGCTTCGATGCACAGAACATAGCCAACGACATTGCCTCTCTATTGCAATCGCAAAGCGACAGAACGGATCATTGATTGTCGTTTATTTTCTTTGCGTGGGTGAATTGATTCCGTGCATACCATGGAACTCTTCGTCCCAGAAGTTTATAATACTGATGTAGAATTGTAGATAGAGGAGCCAAATCTAGTGGATTCCGTGTCCATGTTCAACCCCGCCTACTCAAGCTCATGACATTGGATTGACTGTAGAAATAGTTCCCACTCTTCCCATCACGTCACTTCTATGTCATGACATTTTGCGGATTAGGTGAAAGAAAGCATCCTGCCGCGTCAGCCAACGGGCGTCTAGGGGCTTCCTTTTAAATGTCGATTGAATTTTAGTATGTTCGTCCCTCAATTGACACAAACAGAACTAGCATGCACCCGTGTAATACGGATGGGGGAAAATGATAACGGACGCAATTTTATGCAAAATAATAAATATAGTTAAAAATATTGAAATTATATATACAGTGTACTCCATCCAGTTCAAAGCATAAGCTATTTTTTCAACTAATTAATCTTGGACTAAAACCTAAGTAACTTAGTATTTGTAGAATTTTTTTCTTTCAATTTTACCAATTATATTTATTAACTCGAATTAGTGAACTTATTGTGAATTTATGATCCTCTTTTCACTTATAATAAACTGGATCTAGAAATAAAAATAAAAAATAATATATATTTCTGTAAAAATAAGATTTTTATTGATATATAAATTATTATTAAAAACTCTTCATATTTTGATCCGTAGAAAATGGATTAGGTTAGTCACTCGTTTGCCTTGTGATCCAATATCACAGATCGCCTCCCTGTTGGCTGGCTGGAGGCTTTGTGGCACGGTACCACTGCCGAGTACAGAACACGTTTTTAATGACTGTGAATTCCAACTTCAAGTAAAATCAGTATTTCATTCAGACATATAGACCTTCTTGAAGTTTAACTAATGTGATAAATTAGTTCTCTAACAAAAATAAATAAATACCTACTATGACTTTATTATTTGAGATATGACCTCGGTTTACAATTTACCGTCTTTAAATCTGTACTTCTAATTTAAGATAGGATGCTCATTATTTATAATTATTAAAATATCAGACTTAAAAGTTACAGACATCGAATGTGTTTTGTTAGAATATTTATCGTGTGGAACTTCATACTTAAAATTTTGAATTAATAAGCTTTATTTTTATTATTGTTTAATTTAAATCATAGCAGACAAAAATAGATACTCCCTTGCTTAAAAAAATATAAATCATTTTTAATTGAATTTCACTTTTCAATAAAAAAAATTACTTATTTTTAAATTAACTTTATATTTTCATATTTATCCCTATTTAATGAGGTATTTTACTTTAAAAATATAAACTAATTTATTCAAAAGAAATACTTAAAAAAAGATAATAATTACATTTTAAAAGATTAAAAATATTTTATATTTTTTAATATTAAATTCTTTAAAAAGACATTACATTTAAACGGAGGTAGCATTTCTTATAACAAATGTATATTACTGAAAAAATCATCTATGCCTAATTATCTATATCCTTTTTATTATAAAAGTTTTAACAATGTGTGTGTGTGTGTGTGTGTGTGTGTGTGTGTGTGTGTGTGTGTGTGTGTGTGTGTGTGTGTGTGTGTGTGTGTGTGTGTGTGTGTGTGTGTGTGTGAGAGAGATCTTTAATGAAAAATATATCGGTTTTGTAAATAAAGTGAGTGAATTTTATCAGACGACCGGCAAAGACATAAAATTGTACAAAAAATGATCAGAAAAAAAAAATTGGATTTGAAACTTTAAAGTGAATAGGTAATAAAATAAAATAAAATAAAAACGCATGCACTGACAGAAATAAAAAATTATCTGCAGGTGGATACGTGTTATTTTGTCGTCATCAAAGAAATATCGTGTTTGAGGATTCAGATTTTTAGTTTTGTTATGGAATTATTTATTAGGGCAGAGAGGCTGGATTGAGGGGGATGGAAGGAAGGCAACGATGATGAGCCTAAGCTTGAGCTGGGGTCAACTCTGCGTCACCGGCGCTGCTCCCTCTGGCTTGGTTGGCTCCTCTCTTCTTCCCTCTGCTTTCCCCCTCGCTTCTGTGTCCATTCGCCCTCCTCCTCCTTCCTCTCTCACCCTTCTCAGATCCCACTCTGCTCCGCTTCCCCTGAATGAGGACGACGACGGCGCCCAACTTCAAGACCTTAGGGTTCCTCCTCACTGGTTACTTCCACCAACCGCCTTTCAGGTATTCCTTCGAATTCCTTTCCTTACTGTTTCCCACTTTATTCCTTCGAATTCTATTTAACTCCCCCACAAGGATCCATTTTTTCTGCTCTACAGGTTACAGGGTGGGTGGAAAAAAAAATTGTTTACATATCTTATTGTAGTTCGGAAATATGATACCAAAATCTCAAGCCCCCTTTCGTCTGATTCTCTTGCTTTGTCCATGCTTCTGCGTGAACCGAACACCTGTGCATAGGTCATGGACACGCGATTCGAAATAAAAAATCTTTTCTGGATGCATGACATTGTTCGTAGAATAAAGGCGTGGCATGGTCTAATTGACTTTTTTTTTTTATATGTCATTTTTGTGCCTGTTTTTCCTTCAAGCTTTGCCAGCCTGCATTTGTTATTCAAAAAAGAAATCTAATTATTTACACTGCGCTTGTCCAATTTGATGGGTGAATGTCAAGTTCACCTGAGGGTGCTTGTGCTCTCGCAAACTGACATGATCCGGCATCTCTTTCAGGAATCAGAGTGGCTGAGGGTTACGCTGCATAAGTGGTTGGACGACGAGTACTGCCCGGAGGAAACCAACGTGGAGATAAGCAAAGTTGCAGCCCAGTCGTACTACAAATCTCTGCTGGAGAAACAAACAGACCTGGGTGAGATCTTATTGAAGATGGCCAGGGAGCTGGAATCCATTTCTTATCAGGAAAGCTTTCACGGGGCGTTCTCTTCTGCAAATGCAGCAATTAATCTGATTGCCCAAAGAATCGAAGACTCCTTCCAGTAAACCTGAGTGGTCGAGCCTAATAAGCCGAATGGATTTGATTGCTTCCTGCTGGTTGGTCTGAAACTTGCTTCATCAACTAATGTTATCCCTCACCAAATCCTGTAAAACCTTGAGCAATCATTCGATGCTTGGAAATTTTTTTTTTAGACATTTAATTAAGATGATTTATAAAGAGTTCTTTCAAAGTTTTAATTAATAACATTAGTTTCATTTTAAGATTATATCTTCGTTAAAAGTTGGATACTCAATTACATTTTTCTCACTTTAAAACATAACTAAGGGTCCAAAATACCAACCAAGTATCAAAAGCCTGCCACCACTATTAGACCGCATTCAATAGATTCTAAATGATATGTGTAGACACTATATCAACCTAATAATATTCGTATTTCAATTTCGATTCTCAATCTCTTAGAATCAAAAATAAGTGGAGGTCAATTGCATTTTAATTTTCAAGATATTCAAATATTTGCTTTACACAAGCATTCACAAAACTACTATTACACTTATACCAACATCTTAAGCCTAACTAATTTAATTAATATAATGCATATATCTTAAAGCTTAAAATGCAATTGAATCTCACAGAGTGCAAATAGTGCAAGTATAATCAAAATACGCTCTTAATTGGAAATAATGAATTCAAAATACACATGATTAAATTACTAAAGGCCTATAATTAAGATTAGCATATCCTGAGCTTATATCGCTTTACCTCTATCTTGACTTGAACTAGCTCCTATAATATTAAAGAGAAAGAGAGTGAGTACAATCAATCAGTAACTAAAGTTAATCTAGTTTACACAAATGCATGTCAATCCATTATAACAATACATGTGGCTTAAAAGACAACATCATCTATCTATAACATTTATCAACATTCTCAGCCACAAAATTAACAATCATATGATTGGGAACAACAATACACAACATGCCACAAAAATAACAACCATGTGACTAATATGTCATCATATTCAAGGCTATAATAATAATAACCACGTGACTATAAAATGATATGCATGATCATTTTCATTATTATACCATCTAGATACTTTCGATTGAAACTATGGGCTATTTAATCAAAGGGGATTTTCTATGTGAATAGATTACCCAAGCCTTCTAATTGTGAGGGGCTATCTAGCTAAGGCTACCACACTCCTTTTGGAATCACGGCTTCCCTCAAATCACACATTATGGAGTATTGTGCCCCTACGCTAGCCTTCTCATGTAACAAGTAAAAATTAGTTAGGTTCAAGTTGCTTAATAAACCATGAGACAGTCTCTCATTAAAAAAGTATGACAATAAATGAAAGGTAAACCATTGAGCTCCAAAAGATGGAAGTACCACAAGGATTTAAAGTCTCTACTCCTCTCCTTAGGTGAACTCCCCCTTATATGATCATGTAATGCAACATATGCTTAACACATATCATGCATATTTTTAATCACCATGTTTCTTGGCATGCAATTTATCAAAGCATCATAATAATAGAACACCATTCCCAAGACATCATACACATCTCTTCATTACTTAACTCATTTCACGAGTCATCACACTCCTCAAATCATATATTCATGCAAGAAATTACGATCAAATCACATCATCATCACATGTTCACAATACATTAAATTAATATTTTTTCTCAATATTTATCAAGTCCATTGCAACAAATGCTCCCTCCATCCTAAATTATAGAGTATTTTTAAAGGAGTTTATTCATTCTAAAATATAAAATACTTTGAATATATTAAGGTTTCATTAAATGCTCCAATTATAGTATTACTCTTTCTCCCTCTATAATTAATTTTCATCATTTCTCTTTTCAATATATTAAATAATAGGCATTTTGAAAGTTTATATTTTTATTTTGAAAAAATAAAATTGTTAAGTGTATTTAATGAAGTTTATTGATATGTGAAATTTTTTTTAAAAGTGTCTTATAATTTAGGATGAAGGGAGTATCATGTAAATCAACAAGATCATGTCATGCTTGCATTGAACATTTTCAAAGGCATATCTCATATTTCCAAGAAGCTTATAGGCATATATAATCAATTTAACAAATAAACGCATAAATTAGATTTTTCTCGATCATATCAAACCTTTGAGAGATCAAAAGTTTACTCTTTTATACCAAATATTTCCTAAGCTTTACCAAACTTGAATGGTGTCTCAAGGTGATTAATCTATAATTAATCATATTACAATCATCAATATCATTATTTACACAATCTCAATCCTTTAGCTCAACACTTTAACTACTCAAAATATCAATCTCTGTATTCAATCATACTCACTAAGTTTCTTAACTCCTAATGGCCCCAACTAACATAAATAAACTCTTTGCTCATAATTAGTAGTACTAAACAACCTTTAACTGCCTCATTAAATATATTTTTTATATATTAATGACTCCTAACAACCAAAAGCTTATAAAACCCTAAATTCTTAGTTTAAATAACTTAAACAACTTTTATTAATTTTATTTAAGTCAATCAATTCAAACCCATAGCTTTTAAAGTCTGAAAATCAACTCTCATCTACAAAACTTAGAGAAAATGGTAGAGGAAGGAAGGAGAGGGCTGAGGAAACTTACCATTAATGTTTGTTAGCTCCAAATTACTCTTAAATGGCATCCAAGTTGTACTCAAGTTAAGCTCTCGAGCTTATTTTTCAATCAATAGTGCTCTTATTTCTACCAAAAATTGACCACACGTCGTGGTGCTTGTGACAAATGGTATAGAGAGTCTTTGTATCATGCATCTGATCATTGCACTGTCATGGAGATTGCATAAGCTATGGTGTGCGGTACAAAAGTGATTCCTTTATGTTTTCTTCCAATTTTAGGATATGAGTTCCCTGATTCCACTCTAAACCTAATCTTAAGGCTACAACAATAACCCAATAGGCCAATTAGTCTTCTATAACCATCCACACACCGCCAAATACATTCAAAATTACTTAATTGCCCTTAATTAATTCAATTAACTCAAGAGTTAAATTTCATGATGTAATACTTTGCATCTCTGATTTCGATGACCAATCCTTCACCATTCAATCAGCATCCATGATCAAAGCCAATGTCTTCTCAAATAGCAAAAATATCTCTAGATTTAAAGCAAAAGCACAAAATGAATCTATCCCAAGATTTTGAAGTCCACACAAAAACTTGAATGATCCCTTAAGGATGGGAACTCTACGATGAACCGAGGGAAGGACAAGAAAACCAAGCAAGAGGTGACATAGCAAAATCTTCAAAGTAATGCTCTAAGCATCAAATTTAGCTTCATTGCATGAAGCAATCGAAACCCCCAAGAGAAATTGAGATCATGTTAGCCACAGTTTTGCCATTGAAATTCTTATTCTTAAACAAGACCTCTCATTAAATGGAGGGTTAAGGTTTATCCCTCAACTCTACTTGAAGAGTCACTGGGGACTATCAACTTAATTATATGTCAATTTTATTCTTCAATGTTAAAGATGTCCTTTTTCATCACCGTGACGATAAAAACATTTAATGTCTATAAGTCATTAATGGGTTCTACTATTTTTTAATATTTCTTATTAAGTTAAAAGTTATTTTTATCTTTCAATTTTTATTTGAAGAGTTGGTGGACACTTTCAACTCAAATATTTTATAATAAAAATATTAAATATAATGTGGAGCTCATTAATGGTCAGCTAATAGTAAAAAAAATGTTAGGTGATGAGAGATGAAATTTTTAAAATTAAACAATGAAATTAATTCATAATTGAGTTTTAAGATTTCCAATAATTTTTTGACTAAAGTTGAGACATTTAACCCTCGAATAAACAAAGACATGCATAAGAGCATTAAACATTAGAATAAAAGAAACAGAGGCATACATATGCATAATTGAAGAACCAAGGGGAAAGGGAGTAGAGTGCACTGATGGGCATGACAGACTTGAGGTAGAGTTCGTGAGACATGGAGACGGGTTCAATAACTTCAAGATGCAAACAAGGAGAAAGGCATGATCGGGAAGGGCCAATTATATATCTTGTGGTTGAGGATGTACTTGTTGTAGACGATGTTAGTGAACCTAAGGAAGATCCATATGGCTGGTCGAAAATCAAATATGCGAGGGAGAGAGAAGTCGAAGGGTAAAGAGGACGAGAAGGGGGAGAAAGAGAGAGAGATGGAGTGGGACAAATATATTATTTCACAGCAAATTAAAATGACAGACTTGTCCAAGAGAAAAAATGATAGACAAGTCGTAGAGACTATAACACATTTAACATTTTGCAAAACCTATTTATCATTTATATTTTGAAGAGATTTTATTGCCATACCCCCACTTTATCATCACTGCCGATATCTATAAAATAAACCAGCGTCTTAGCTCTCCAGATAATCGTTTTTAATACTTAATTATCTACAAGGCGCGACAGACACAGCCTAGTTATTTTACAGATGTAGGGGCATTCGCCCGTAAAAAGTTCAGAAATGACTGAACAAGTCCTTACTCAAAGCTACTGATTACGATTTCACCAACCAAAGAGCCAACCTTTGCCATCATGAGACGGCTCCAAGCAAGATTGACAGAGATGCACCAAATCTGAGGACCGGGGGGGGGGGGGGAGGAGCACTTTATTAGCGAGAAGCACTGACACAGGAACAAAGAGAGCTTGCTCGGGTATCAATGGCGGCGGAGGAGAAGGAAGTGAAAAAATCGAACGAGGAAAGAGTGAAGCTGTTTGTGGGTCAAGTGCCAAAGCATATAACCGAAGATGAGCTGCTTGCATTGTTCAAGGAGTTTGTTGCAGTGGACGAGATCAACATCATCAAGGATAAAGCCACTCGCGCTTCTCGAGGTTCGCTTTCTTTAACTCAAATCCTGCATTTTCCGCTCCTGATTTAATTAAAAAATGTGTCTTCCCTTTCCTGTAATTGCCAGACTAGTCAGAGCAGAGATTCCTTGAGTTTGAGCTTCTGTTACAGCATTCCAACCCCAATCTCGTGGGTTTTGGTTGCAGGGTGTTGCTTTGTAATTTGTCCATCCCGAGAAGAGGCAGACAAGGCTGTTAATGCGTGTCATGATAAGAAAATGCTACCTTGGGTTGGTGCCATCTTTCCATCTCATCATGAGTCGAGTTCCATTTTCCCTTTCTTTTCTCCCCCTCGAGCTAGCATTGTTTCTTATTGTTGAAACTTGAAAATAAACTGTTTACAGTGGAATACAATGTTGGTGCCGCTATTGTGGCTGATGCTGTTGGCTATCTAAAATCTTAATTGGGAAAGAATATGAATATCTAACTTGGCCATTTATTCTGGTAATTGCTATTTCTGGGCAGCGAACTTGGCGGCTGGTACTACGACTTAACTAAACTGTGAGCATCCTAGCTCTAAATTCTCACTTCGGCCACTGACTTAAGATGAATATCCTTTGCGATCCTAGTAAAAGAGGCACAATTTGCGTGCAACCTCAGATTGATAATTATCTTTTGTCCGCTAAAGTCATCATGTGCGAATCAATTGTAGCTTCTTTCATAAAATTTATAAATATGCTTCTATGGTGCTTTCTAGACAAGGACTTGTGAAAATTTTGGAAGGACCTTTTTAAGCCTTGCTCGACCTTAAGGTGATCGATCAGGCAGCCTTCTACATCATTGGGATATGCCCACACGATTGATTGTGTAACAGCCCTCCGCTCACCCCGCCTCCTCGAGGTCTTTTGCGGCGCTGGACACTCTCTCCCCAGGCCCACAACAAGGGTGACCCTACCCCTTACGGTGAGCATCAGGAGACAAAGGCTTCCCCGCAGTAGTGTGCAGGATTATTCCCCTTGCGGAGAGCCTCCCTAGGTTCGATCCTCCAACCTCTCCTACATAACAAAGTTGAGGCTGAACCTGGCAGCATTGAACCACTCAATGGTACCAGACTTCGCCTCAACTTCGTTAAGGTGGTAGAGGTTGGAGGTTCGAGTTTGGGAAGGTTCCAAAAGACCTCTTGAGTGGGGTGAGGAATAGCCACAGTACCACCTGTGGTGAATGCCGGTTTGGGCCTCGTGAGGGGAACTGGCCCAGCTTGGACAAAAGACTTCTGGAAGGCGGGGTGAGTCCAGTCCAAAAGACCTCCGGTGAGGTGGGGTGAGGACCGCGTGCTGTTATATAAAAGATGCCTTTTATATAACAGCCCTTTGGGTCACCACTGCCTCTCCAGGGTCTTTTCCCAGCGCTGGACAACACACATGTCACCACATGATTGCCAGCTTTCCCACTGGTGGTACAGTGGTTATTTCTCACCCTACCAAAGAGGTCTTTTGGAACCTTCCCAGACTCAAACCTCCAACCTCTACCACCTTAACGAAGTTGAGGCGAAGTCTGGTACCATTGAGTCAGGGAAAGCCGGCAATCATGTGGTGACATGTGTGTTGTCCAGCGTTGGGAAAAGACCCTGGAGAGGCAGTGGTGACCCAGAGGGCTGTTATAGATTGTGTTCAAAACTAGTTCCAGATGGTTGTGAACCTTTGATCTAAACATGGATTACCAAATTGATAAAAGTCAAAAAAATGTTGAGTCACAATCACCCACAGTTTTCCCTGGATCACTGATGTCTGATGATGATAGCTGCATGAAATGATGTTATTATGCTAATTCTGATAGGGAAGTATCCTGATCTTTGTGTCCAATTCAGGCATCTAGACCCTTGCAGGTGAAGTATGCAGATGGCGAGATGGAAAGGCTAGGTATGATATATATGTATTTTGTTTTTTTTGTTTTTTTAGTTTGCTCTGGAAATCATTCATGTGCAGAAGTTCGTATTTAAGCTTGGCTTTCCTTGAATATACATGATGGTAGAAACTATATTTTGATAAGTACTTTTTGTCTTTCTTGAATCCAGAACACAAACTCTTCATTGGTATGCTTCCAAAGAATGTTTCTGAAGTTGAATTATCCGCTCTTTTCTCCATGCACGGAAACATAAAGGATTTGCATATTTTAAGAGGTTCCCAGCAGACAAATAAGGGTAATGTTGCAAGTTTAGATTATTCTTGATTTCTTTTCTATTGTCCTTTTCTGAAACCATGAAGCAACATTAGTTGCTCTTGTCCATTGTGAATTTGTGGTAGGTTGTGCATTTTTGAAGTATGAAACAAAAGAACAGGCCCTTGCTGCCCTGCAGGAAATCAATGGAAAGCATAAAATGAAGGTTCGGCTTTTTTAAGACAAAACAAACAAAAAACAAAAAACTGAATTCCTGACAATTTAGATTTTGTTTGGTAGCATGAATTTTTGTTGAAAATTTTCATCTGGCCCTGTATTTTAAGAATCAGGTAAAGTAACTGTAGTACTCACTAGCTGATAAAAGACTTGTAATTAAACCTCTATCTTGCATACATGGTACGATTAATCCTCTATATATGTTATGCGCTAATTTTAGATTGAGAAACATGTATCTGGTTCCTTGGATGTGGTAGAATGGAAGCATGCAAGTTTAAACACAATTACAATTTTAGTTGTAAATCGTGTTTGCAGCATTTCCGACCTTCAAGCGGCATTCAGCCACAAAATCCTGTTGGTGAGGGACGTGAACCATTAATCATATCCCTCAGATGTCATTGTAATCCTTTCTCTTCATCTAGAAAGCTAAATCTGGCTTTATACACGTACAGAATTGGTTTGTATAACCTGACATTCGAGGTCCAGGCTTGAACAGGAACAGATTGGTTACGAGCTTGGAAAGTGAAACTCAGGCTTTCTCCTGTGAAGTTTTTTTAATACCATTTACAGTAAATAGGCCAAGCTGAAACCTAAAGCTTGGGATTGTTAAGCATTCACACATTCATTTACTATTCACTGTCAATCAATGTATTTATACATATATAAGCTCATAGGCTAGCTGAATGAAACCCTTGCAGACTTGCACATACATCTTATTCAATCACAATGGATTTGACTTTGAATTTACTCAGAAATTACTTCTGGCAACCAATCTTCATGTGGGCAATTTTTATATACGGTGTGCTTACGTGCCTGAAGTTTTTTGGTTTGTGGCTCACATTTGGACCGATCACACTTGATTAGAATTGTCAATGATATTGCCAACATTAACAATGGGTTGATCTGAGTGTTATATTTTCTTCTATAGGGTTCAAGTGTACCTTTGGTTGTCAAGTGGGCAGATACTGAAAAGGTAAGGCAAGCTCGGAGGGCTCAGAAAGCAAAGTCCCAAACATCTAGGGTGCCACATCCTAATACTCATCATCCATCTCTATTTGGAGCCCTGCCAATGGGCTATGTTCCTCCACATAATGTATATGGTTATCAGGTTTGCTCTGTTGAGATGCACTTAAAAATAATGGTTTTCTCTTAATTCGGCCTGTTTTTCTTCAATTTCATCGTAAATTCATGGTCTGAAATTTTGTGCATCATGTTCTCTTGATAGGCTGCTGGGGGCTACAGGATTGTGTCCTACCGTTTGCCACCAATGCAGAACCAGCCTGGTTTCCATAATATGATGCCTCGCTTGAATCAAGTAAATGCATTGCAGCCTAATCTTGGCCCTAATATGAGCCCTAGGGATTATCCCCTGCGTCATGCAAATTATGTTGGTTCTTACACTGCAGTACCAGCTCTACAGCATCCATATCCTGGAAGAATGATAGGTCCAAGGCATTTGAGTAGTTCCTGTCCTGCGTGGAACAGTGACTCTGCTACCTCTTCAGGGGGCAGTCAAGTTTCCAAAAGTCAGGTTGAAGGTTGTTCTCAATATTACCTGCACTTGTTTTTCCTGTGTCTCTAGGAAGATGGAAAGGTTGCCGTGGGAGAATATGCTCATTATTCCGTGTTCTATGACACAGGACCGCCGGGTGCCAATCTCTTTATTTATCACATACCTCAAGAATTTGGTGATGAAGAGCTTGCAATATACTTTCAACCATTTGGTAGTGTTTTGAGTGCTAAGGTTTTTGTTGATAAAACAGCTGGTGCAAGCAAATGTTTTGGTGAGCCCAACCTAAAGCTGCAGTTATTTTGTTTATTAATGTGTGTGTGTTTTTTTTTTTAATTGTGTGGCTTTTATGATTTGGAGTGATAAGGTGGTGGTGTTTGCAGGATTTGTGAGCTATGAATCTCCAGAAGCAGCTGAAGCAGCTACTAGGAGGATGAATGGATGCGAGTTAGGTGGTAAGAAAATGAAGGTTCAGCTTAAGAGGGACAACAAACTGAGGAAGCCTTACGGACGATGACAGAGCTGAATGAACATGGACGGTGATCTGTACAATTCATGGCCCCTCAGCCCCTCACTGATGATATATATCTATTGATTATTAATTACTAATAATTAATAACTTGTTGATTTTCCCTTCACAAGGCATGTCGATTGCTTTGGAAACGACACAGGTTCCCACTTAGTTTTGTCATTCTTTAAAAGGAGTCAAAAGGTGAAGTATTGTTTCCAGTTTCCAGTTTCCACCAGCTAGTATCAACTACCTATTAGCCATCCAGTGGTTTCAAATTAGTGGAACTCTTTTTTTTTTTTTAGGGAGAAAAATCAAACTAAGCAGTAAACCCACTCCATTGTTGTGATAAAGGCGAGAATTCATTTGCTGGTCACGATGGACGGTGGCCTTTAGCCTCCCCTTTGGAGATAGGACCTTAGTGGACGGTAACAGTTTCAGACTCAGCTTTGTTTCAAACTAATCCCGTTTGAGTACCACTTTTTTGTTTTTTTGTTTTGTCTTTTGGTCCATGACAAAATATGCTAGGATTATGTGATTGTTTCAGGAAAAGATTTTAACCGCTGTTTTAATCCCTTAATGGAGTATCTTTTTTTTTTTTTTTCCACTCATGTTTTAAATAAACCTAAAACCCGGTGAATGCTGCTGTCAATATAAAATTAAACAATTTATAAGAAGGGGCACGGTTTATAAATCAACATACAATGCATATATATGCCTTTCTAAGCTAATCTATTATATCAAAACACGTGGTACTAGCCTCCCTCCAACTTGTTCTTTTTGGGCGTATTTTGAAGTGATGGGTAGGAAATACACAAGTGGGGTGTAAGTGTGAGTGCAATGCTGATACGTGTTATGGAATTTAAATATTAGAATACAAGTCTCTCAGGTAATCATCAAATGTTAGCTTGTTTTGAACATCAGATAGCATCAACAACCGTGTTGTTTCAGGAAAAAAACATGAGAATATATATTAATATAATAATTTATTCCTTTAAAAAATATAAAATATTTTGTGTAAAGTTGTATATTAAAAAATATAAAATATTTTTAGTGTTTTAAAGTGTTATTATTATATTTTTTTAAAAAGTGTCTCTAATAAAAAAATATTTTATATTTATTTTAAAGTGAAATATCTTGTTAAATGAATATAAATATGTTAAAATATTAGCCTAAAAATAAATAAATATTTTATTAAAGTTAAAATTTAATTAAAAATATTTTATATTTTTTAACTCACCGAGCACATGCTAATTGTGATCATGGAGGGCACCTCACCCACCAACTCTGTTCCTTTTGATCATTTTGGAGACACGTGTCAAACATGTGGTTTCTTAAATTACTTTTTCATGTTGTCAGAATTTCTAGAGTTTGAAACTGCCACGAGTCCGTAAAGTCCCATCGAGACATAAGAAAAGGAAGAAAACAAATTAAAAAGTGAAATAATGAATGAAGAACAATTTTAAAACAAACTTTATTGACAAATTATTATTTATTGTAAAACTTATTAACATATAATATTATGAAATATTAAATTACTTTGTTAGTATAAGAGGCCTCCAAGAACATAATAGAACACTTGGGTTGATTTTTTTTCTTTTTTGAAAGGATCAAATCCACAAGGGAATAAAAGAATGGTGATTTAGCTGTTTGGAAAATGCGGAACTAAGGAAGAGGCAGATGGAGTGGTGATTGGTATGAAGCGTGATCAGTGACAGACTTGCAGTTTTATCCAACGGTCATTCATCTATTCGCAAATTCCAAAAATCATGACACCTACTTTAGACGGCATTTCAACTGTTCTGTCGGCTCTTTCCTCCCAGTCTCACCTCCCTCCCTTCCATTTTCTTTTCCCTTCACGTCTTCAACTGCTCATTTGTGCCATTTAACTCTATTATTACATTTACAATTCTTTCTCAAATTTTATTCTCAATTTTTTATATTTTTTTCTTGAGTCTGGACAATAATTTTCATGGTCTAGATTTTATTACAATTTTGGCTCCTCTATTTTTCAGAGAAAGAAGTATGAGGAGCAGTGGTCAATTGAAAAGGAGAAGGAGTTTGAAAATTTTTAAGAGGGAATTTTATTTCTTGCCCTAAATTAAAAATTGTTTAATCAAACAACTCTCCCCGCCCATCCATTGAAAAGGTACGTTTAAGTATTTTTAAATAGGCATCTAAATTGAATATTCTAATTTATTTATGGGGTCTCCGTCAAGTTGGATGAAGTCAGTGCACCCTTTAGTAGAAACTCCGTAGGTAGAAAAGGAAATGAAGTGAAGCGTGGATGTAAGTTGAAAAAACCGTAAAGTCGGAGATTGTGGAGAAATATATAATGGTTGCTTGGACGGCCTAAGAAAGGAAAACGAGGAGTCATATACGTTGCGTCATTGATTCGTCCCCTACCATTCCATCTAGAAGAGTGGGTAAAAGCATGGGCATGCTCCGCTTGTTAAGCTTCTAGAAGAATGTCGCCCTCGTCAATTTCAAGCTCCTCCTCCTACTTCTTTATTAATACTTTTATTCTCGCCTCTCATCTGGCCCCCCCCCCCCCCCTTCTTCTTTCTCAATCTGTCAAACAAAGACAGCCCCCGATGACCTTCGCTTGTTATTTCACTTTCCAATTTCAATTTCGTCTCTGCTTTTCCCAGATATTCTCTCTCGATTTCTAATACGATACTGGCAGCATTCCAAAGTTATTCGTGCGAGGTTCTGGCTCGATGGACAGGAAGCCGACGGATGTATCTCGTTTCATGCTTTTTGAAGCCACTGGGGATTCCGAGGCCGACGGTGATGCCATCATGGATGACCAATCCGACGGAGCCGATGGTGACGACGACGACGACGACGCCGAATCTTTCAGCTATGAGGGATCTGAGAGTCACAATTGGGATCTGGTTGATCAACAGCTCAGAGGACATACACCTTGCGTTGCCGATGCTGAGTGTGAGCATCCTGACGGGAAGAAAAATGATGAAGAAGAAGCCGATGTACATGGAACGTCGTACTGTGACGATGATGAGATTCAGAAACACCAACACCGATCAAGTTTGTCGGTGGACTCGGCGCAGCAGTTGATGGACGAGATGGAAAAGAACAGGCGATTCTGGGAAGCTTGCTTGGCATCTTGACTCTATATTCTTCTTTTCCTGAGCCTTTGATCTTTATACGATCGGTCGTCTTCCTGTGTAATCTAGGCTTTACCAGAATTCTGTGTAATTTTTCCCCGTGTGTTCAAAGAGAGAATGGGGCGGTGGATCAATTAAGTAGCATTTAATTGTACATAATTGCTTAAAATGATGCGGCTGGCTGCTCACCTCTCGGAGATTCGTAATCGGTGCGTAAGTCACTTCTGCATTTTCCTTCTTTTTTCTGTTAGTTTGATTTAAAGTTGTAATCTCTACAGTTTCTACTGTGACAGATTACGGATCAGTTTCACGGAGTATTGGGTTTGTATCTCTTTTCTAAATTTAGCTGTTCTAAAAGGTCTGGGAGCCATTTGTTTTAACTTATTTTATGAAAAAATTACTTATTTTTGTTTAAATTTATTTTGTGAGTTTTTATAATATTTGTTTAAATTTTTAAAAATAATTAAAATATCAAAAAAAATTTCTCAAGTAGAGGAGAACAGGTATTTTAAAGAGGTGAAGAATCATAAAATTTTAAAATAATATAATCATTAATCATTTTTATAAAGCAAAAATTAATAAAGATATTATAAAATTTAAAAATAACTAATTAATAATTATTTTTTATTATTATAATCAAATATAAAATAATGTCTGCTTCTTATAAAATTTTTATATGATAATTTTTTTAATAAAATCTCTGAACTTAAAAATTACTTATTTTTTAACTTTCAACAGGGTATCTTTCGAAATGCAGATAATCACATGCCGCCACCAGGCACCAACCACCCCAGCACGAAGGTTCACTCAAAATATGTGCAGTTCATTATTTGATTTATAGTATTAAATTCTTTTCATTCGTGAGCATGGGAAAGACATCCGGCGCAAGATAGGATAGCACAGCGATGAATTTGGAATCCATTAATAACATACAAAGCAAATACCATACAAGCCTAGAAGACTGAATGCCTATGAATCTCACCCGTGTGAAATATGCACATCACATGAAGTTTCTCCTATATGGCAGTACATCACCATCTGTCACGTCTAGATAAAAAATTTTCACTTCAATAAGGGAAGAACTGGATTAAGGTCAGCCCTAAACTGAACATAACCCACCACCACAAGCAAACATTTCCTGCCCTGTCAATCAATTTACACGATGAACAATTGTCCTAGAGACATATAATCTGAATTTTTTTAAAAAAAAAGGAAAAACAAAAAAGTTCTTTAGATGCAGACAGTGGCACCAGGGGAAGGGTCCGTTAATTTAGCAGTTATCTCCACGTTACTAGTGCCTGCACATTTTATCGGTGGACTGCTTGTGTCAACACTAGATCTCACGGACTTTTCTTCGCATGAAGAACTGGAACAGGATTGCCCGGTTTCGCTTTCAGTAAACGACATAGCATATTTTTCTCTCTCACATGAAGGTTCGGCTTCCTCTTGCTCTTGCTCTTCTTCCTCGTCCCCTTCCCCTTCGTCATTACTAGTATCCATTTCTTCCCCACTTTCATATTCATCCTCAGATGAATGAAACGACGTGGGCGAACATGCCGCGGCATCTTCTCGTTCTGTGAGTGTCTTCATTATAAGAGTCATGAGCAAGTTCATCACTTGGACCGCATGCATCAGAGCAGTTAATGGATCGGACATCTGTTTCAGGGGAAGTGCGGATTTTAGAAGAGATAATAAGTGTTGCAGGTTTTTCATGTGAAAGGAGCTAAAGAAGTAATGATATAACATATATATATATATATATATATCAGTAAGTGCATCAGGCGGATGTATTAATGACAAACCTGAGTCATGTTCGGAGCGAAAACCATGGCAACATTTCTCGCGTTCATTTTGTTGTGTTCTTCGTGCTCAACAACATCAGCCATGAGATCAACAGCCCAGGTGAGCAGGGCAGCTTCTGTGGGCTTTAGTCGCTTCACAAGTTCAACGTATTCTTCTTCTGTGTTGCAGTGAAGAACTTGCTCTGGAGAAAGTCCATCAAGAATTCCGGAAGGAAGCTCCCGGAACCAGGCCTTGATTAGGCCTGCCAAGCAGTGCACATCGATGTCGTCGGGCACAATCCCCCTATTCAACTGCTCCCTCACATTCTCCTCTTCACTGTTCTCTGGGTTTATGCGAAAAATTCCTTCCGCCTGAAAATCATTAAAATAAGAATGAATTTGCTAATCTGTAACTCACTTCCTTCTTGCCACATCTTTTTGTTATGGCCAGCGACGTGTACAAGTATTTGTAATTGGTAAAGTCAGTCAGTACCTTCAGGCCTCCCTGTGAGTACAGACGCTCCTGCATTAGCAACAAAATAGTGGGGATACTATTCCCCTTTGAATCATAAGAGCACTGCATTGATTCAGCTGAGACGCCAAACACACTTTTACTGCAATTATAGATGACTGCGAGTTAGAACAATGCATTAATTAAACATAGATGAGGAGATGAGGTTATTTAGGAAAAATGGAATTCAGAAAAAGAATAATCGGCTTTTAGTAATAGCTGCGGTGTTTAACTAGTTTACGATATTTTTGAAGCTCAAAGTTCAAATCTTTGCCTAGAAGAAGGCATTGTTCAGTCAAATTCTATTTTGCACATATTTGATTTTTGAACTAACCTTTATGCCAATCTGAGCTTATTTCGAGTTAACTGTGAATCCTATGCATGTGATATGTCCCAAACAATCACAAGCATTCCTCTCATTTTAAGGGATCCCAGTTAATAGAAAATTCCTAAGAATGCTATGTCTGATGCTTTCCGCGGTCAACCCAGTCATAACAATTTACAAGAGCTTGGTCGCGACCGTTGAAGAAGTTCAAGGTTCCTTTAAAACCAGTTAAGAAGAACGCCGAGGTTTCTGTGAATGAAAATGGGCCTCTCTCTCTCTCTCTCTCACACACACACACACGCTCACACAGGCAGAACTAGACCTAACAACAATAAAAGCTTTGGCTCCTCATCAAATAAACAGGCATGTAAGATTGAAGCAGATAATGAAATCACGTGTGAAGTGTAGCAAGATGGGGAGAAATGAAAGAAGCAAGCAGGAACCTGGCGCTGGGAACCCGACCCGGAATTTCGAGCTGGAACTCGACAGGCAGACCCAGGAAGCCATTGAAGCGATCGAAAGTGACGTGAGTGATGTGCTGAACGTTGGTGGGCCATCCGGTTTCGAAGTCATGAGGGACGGCGGAGATCACATCGTCGGGTGGTTGCATCCGACATGACACCATTGATTTTCTCAAAGCGCTTAACAGGAAGGGGACGAGGGAGTTGGTGTGGTCTTTGTCTTGCTGGGTCATCGTGGCTGCTCTGCTCTGCTCGGCTTCACAAATCTGTCGATGTTGATTCTCAGGTTTTGTTGCCTTCCGCACTTCTAACGGTCACTCTTTCAAATTCTGTTCCGATCCTCCACTTTGATTTCATCTCTAGTCCCTTGTCGTCTTTTATATTGCCACACCCGCCCCTTCATTAATTATATTATACCCCACATTTTTTTTTTGGGTATTTGCTTGTAAAATTGCAGTTCTTCTTTTAAATTCCGAAGTTCGGTTCGCTTAATTAAAGTGATGGCATTGATTTTTTTGCCAGCAAAATTAACGCATTATTAACTATTAAGGTTAAGTTTCAATTTCAATTGGCTTCTTAAAAAAGCAAAGGCAACAAACTACAATTTGGAAATCTTTAATGTCAAGTTTGTTATTTTAACTGTTAAATGATTGCTCGTGAAGGGAGTAGGTTAATTAGTCTCAGTTGAAAAAGAAGTTATGATCAGTCCTTTATTTGTAATTAAAGATTATCAGTATTTTTTAATAAATGATTAAAGTGTACGTTTAATTCTCTAAATTTATATAAGTTTTTTGAAACACCTCAATTTAAATTTTAATAGTTAATTTGAATTAATAAAAATTTTAAAAAATATTTAGAGGTAAGCAAATTAGTAGGAGATGATTATTAAATCTAACTTAGAATATAATTATAAATTAAAATTAAAAAAATTTAAAAAAAATAAAAAAAAATAAAAAAAATATTATTAAATTATTATTATTATTAAAAAAAAAAGAGAAAAGGTAAAAAAACAAACAAACAAGCAAAACGAGAAGAACAAGAAAACTTTCCACTGTGCGTGTGTAATCATTATATTTATATAATAATAATAAAAAAAAAGAAAGAAGAGAAAGGAAAGAGAAAATTAATTAAAAAAATTGTGGGACCCACGTTCATTTTTAAAAGCCACCGTTCTCTTCTCATTTTTCCTTCATTTCTCTTCTATTTCGTGTGCGATCAGAGAGAGCGTTTGAGCCAAGTTCACCGGTGCTGGGTTTTAAGGTAAGAGTTTTTAATAGGATATTTAGGGTGTGATTTTAAGCTTTTCAAGACTAAGTAAGTGTTCTAAAAATTTTTCTTAGTCATCCTTCTTCTTTGGTTTCTGAGTTTGTAGTGGTAGAAAATTTAAGATCTGGAAGAGAGATAAATTTATGTTGAATAAATATGATTTTTGAGGTTGTTAGTAGTATAATAAATGTTCTAAAGTATAAATTTGTTGATGATCTTTGAATTTGTGACTTATGGATCAAATTCTAAACTAGATCTGAAAATATATGTTGATTTATTGAGGTTTAGATGATTATTTGGGATGAGAAATGAATTATTATGGCTATAGGATTATGATTCTAAACTAGAGACTCAATTTTTAATTTTTGAGTATTTTAGGTACGAATTTATGAAATAAAAAGAAAATTTTAATAATAGAAATTAGTTTAGAAGTTAATTTTTAGATTATTAATGTTTATTGATAATTAAAAGAGGAGTTAAAAAAATTTTACTTAATAGTATTAACTCTAGATTTGTATTAAGATTGAGATTAGGAATTATGTTATATTTTTAATTCTATTATTAGAATTATTTTATTAATTTCAAAAATTGAAACTAATATTTATAAATAATATGTTATCTGTAGATTGTATTACTGGTGAATATTGTGATGAGAGAGAAATTTTAAGGAATAATTTATTGAAAAAGCCACAAGGTAACCATGCTTTTAATTTATGATTAGTGTTACTTCATGTTAATTAGGTGATTATTGAGAAAATTATGAATTTTGTAATATTGTATAATTGTGCAATATTATTATGAATTTGTTTAATTATTGTGGGAAGTGTTGGGAAACTTGCTATTATTGTTGTATTTATGTGCCATGTGGTACGCCCCTATTGGAGCTCAATAGGTGGCTTGTAAAGGCTCGGGCTAATCTACCTTTGACTGGGTAATTTAGCACCGAGTGAGGGCTACGGCTCGAGGTTAATGGAGGGATATAAGGATGGTTGTTTGTGTTTATTGTAATATTTCTTATATTTGTTGGAATTATATTATTTTAATTCTCACGTAGTAAGCACACACTTAACTGTTTGTATACACTATCATAAATTGGCTTTGGTTACTGGGACTTTTGAGTCTCATTATGTGGTTAACAATTTTCAAGAGAAGAGCCACGAGTGACACGTGAAGGAGTCCCAGAGGCTTAGTGGTATAGATCGACTGTCTCTTTTGGGTATTTAATTTATGATTTATAATGTGTTATATTGCCAATATTAGGGCTTTTTGTTTATTGTCAATTATATGAATATATAAATGTAATTATGTCTTTTAAACTATTTCTATTTTTGGTACAATTTGGATGACTGTAATTTTAATATTAGATTTACTTTGGATTGATTAAAATGGCAAGATTATAAGGTCAAATAACTGGCTTATGTTAAAAATTGACTAAATTGCTTATTTTACTTGTTGGGAGTATAAGGATGGACAAATATAATTTAGTTTACTTATTAGGAATATAAGGATGGACAAATGTGATTTAGTCTAATGGCATGTGGGAGGTAAAAATTTATTTGAAATGTTATAGTGTGTGAGTTGAAGCCAATGATAAAATATTTTATATTGAAATTATTGATATAAAAATGTGTTGGGTGGCTGTAACCCAACTATGGTTGAGTTAAATTATTAAAAAAAAAAATTTGGTGTGTTACATTTTCAGTTTGATCTCTTAATTTTATAAAATATTTTTTATTTACTTAAATGATATTTTTGGCCAATTATTATTAGTTTTAAACAAATAAATTTAATATGTCAATATTTGATAATATTTTTTGTATTTTAAAAAATTTAATGTAAGAAATTTTTATTGATATAATTAACAATGTTAGAATTAAATGACTAAAAAAATAATTACTAAAATTAAAGAAAAAAATAAAATCTTATGTAAAATTAAATAACTAAAAGTATATTTTAAATTTAATAAATTTAGGGTTAATATTAAATTTAAACTTTACACCATAAGTTAGGGGTGATTTGAACTCTAAACTTTTAAAAAGTATATTCTGAATTTTAAACAATTAAAATCAAGGTAATTTTTCCTACAATTAAATTTTGACAAATGTCTGTCAAATTGGGACATCATGTGTAATTTTTTTTTTAAATTTTAAACCCTCTCTCTCCTACCCTTATTTAATAAAAATTACACATTAAGCCTCATTTAATGGATGTTTGTCAAGATTTAACAATAGGGATGAAATTATCTCAACTTTAATTATTTAAAGTTTAAAATGTACAATTTAAAATTTTATGGTTCAAATCGTCCATTTATAGTTTAGAATTCAAATTGCATATTAATCTATAAATTTATCTAATACATATAATACTATGACTTCAAAGAATCGTATCAATTCAAATGATTTGCAAACTAATATGGATTTATATTTTTTTTAATTTAGCCTAAGAATATAAATGAACTTATTTATTATTATTAAACAAATGACAAATAATCAATGGGTGTTGGATTTAAATGTAACAAATAGTATCTTATAATAAAATGAACCAACATTCAAAAATATGTTAAAAAGATGTACCTAAATGGTTAAGGTGAATTAAAAGTACACTCTCACCAAAGAAAAGGGGCACCTAAGATGAAAATGGTCTTAGATTTTTGGGATAATGATAAATAAATTTCTTCAAAACATATGAATAACAATTTGGCCCCCTCTGGCCAAAAAAAAAAAACAATTTGGCCCTTGTAAAATATGATAATGTTTTTAAATTTTAAGGAATTCAATTATCATTAAAAATTTTAATAAAATGATAAAAAAAACTCCTTAATTTAAAAAGTGTAAAAAAAATTGTTTACAAATTTTATTCTAAAATTTACAATTATAGTTTAGTAAATAATTAAAGTGGTTTAGAAATTCATAACTTTTTTTTTACCATTTTTCTTCAATTAGTAAAGCATAATGAAGTTTTTTTTGTTCACAATTTTAATTTTAAAATTTACAATTCTACTTCAAAACATTGGCAACTTTTTTTCACCATTTTTTTTCAATTAACAAAATGCAACAATTTTTTTTTCCATTCATAATTTTAGTTATGAAATTCACAAATTTAGTTCAATAAATGATTAAAATGATTCAGACGTTCACAATTTTTTTAATCATTTCCTTCACTCTTTTAAATTAAAAAGTATTTTTATCATTCCATTAAAAATTATAACAACAATTAGACTTTTTGAAATTTAGAAAATATTATCATATTTTACGAGATCAAATTGTAATTTTTTTTATTTTGGAAGGATCTATTTATCATTTCCCCTAGATTTTTCCCATCATCAGCATTCAGGATTTCATGAATTGAAATTTCAATAACCTCAGCTCAAAAGTTCGTCTGGAGTTCCAGCAAAAAGAATCTAAAGTTAAATCGCATGTTATTAAAAAAAAAAATAGCACTGAATTTATGGCGGGGATGATTGAAACGATTGGTGGATAAGGCTTTTTAGGAAAAAAAAAAAAAAAGTGAAATGCATAACTTTCCAATCACTCAAATCTTTAAAAAAAGAGAAGGCCGGGGGGGGGGGGGTCCACACATTTTTTCTTGGCGAGCTAAAATGCTCCCGTTTTTATTTTGTGGGCTTGGGCTAATATTTTTCATCTCTGGTTGGGCAAGGAAATTAATCTATAACGTTAGATTTTTTTTTTTTTTTCAAATGTGCGTTAGTTTTTCTAAAGCATTACTTTAATTATAACGTTAGAAATGAGTCTTGTTGATGAAAACTCTGTTCGATATATATAATCAACAAGAGTAGCTTAAAAAAAATTTATAAAAATGGATTAAGATGTTACATTATTTAAAATCAAAACAAAGTCCTTGACTATCTCGTCGATGAGGGAGAAGGGAATATCAAGTTTAAGTGAAGGAAGAAAAGGTTGGAATAAGGCACTACTTTGCGTGGACGAGAGATGGATGTAAGTGGGAAGCAGAATGGATCCAATTTGGAAAGAGTCGGTGGTACTCTCTTCTCACACATTACAGTTTGAATTTTAAGGATCCATGACCGTTGCGACAAAAGCCTTGTTTGGGTTGGTGGGCCCTCCTTCCTCTTCAACACATCCTTCTTATTTCATTGCCTTTTTCATCCCATCATATTTTTCATTAAAATTTTACCAAAAAATATTTTCCATTAACATCTCATCATATTTCATTCATGCTTCATGAGTCTGTTTTGCCCAAAAAAAACTTTCAGATTTTCCCCAACAATTCGTAAAAGATCAATCATCAAATTAACAAGATGATTTTGTAAGAAATTACATTGGAAAAATATTTAATATTATATAAAATCGATTTTTTACAGAAAAGAAATATTCTCTTTGATGGGTTGTCCAATAATAATGAGGAAGAAATATCCAGGAAGGCAGGAACCATATATCACCAATTATACTTCCAAAGTCCAAATAGAGGATATTGCTATTGGATCCTACAACTGTAAGAAAAGAGAAAAAGCGCTATTTTTATTTTGATAAATATAATATCAAAAATTAAAATATATAAAATTTGAATTTTTTTAAAAAAATCAAATTTTAAAATCTTCTCTTTTGGGACTCTCCCTGCCATTTTCCTTTTCAGATTTTCTCCTCGCTTCAAGAAATTTCGGGTGCGCTTGTTTCCCTTAAATACAGGCAGGGGTGTTCTAGTCTTCGAGAATATAGAACACTGTACCGTGCCATGCATGCTCTCCATCTCAAGGCACTCGCTGCTTTGTCTTCTAAAAACATCATCGTCAGTAACCCGTCCAACAATTTTTCAACAACTTGCTTTCGCGTGTTGATTATCGCTTTAACATCTAAGAAACATAATATATCTGCTTTATTTCAGCCATTAATCACGTCATATTACAAGTAATTAAACACTGTTATACATTTGCGTGATATAAAGCAAACGCTGGTCTCTCTAGCTAACCCTATAGAGTAAATCTTTGAAGATGGTTTCAAAAGCTTCAACCGAAACGACCATTTATGCCCTTGCACAGATAATATTCTTGTGTGATTAGTAAGTAATGAACATGATGAAATAAACATCACGTTATTCTGTACATAAATTAGAAGTTAAATTACACTATAATTAACGCAACTTGATCACTTTGATTGTTGACCAAGCTACGAGCTTTGCGGCAGGTTTCCGCATTTGAAATCTCTCCCTATAATTAGATTCATCCAAAATCTGGAGCACGTTGAATGCACCTGTTTTCTTTATTTGCACAAATCAACTGTTCTATTTTAAACTACAATAATGTTATCTTATATAAGTTTGAATTTTGGACTTCTTCATACATGCCAAAATTGTGAACTCAAAATCATAATTTTCTTAAAAATATCCAAACACCCTATACATGTATGTCAAAATTAATTATGAATCAAAAACTATAAACATTCCATTAGCTACTATTACATGCTTTTTAATTCAATTTTTCAATTATACATTTCTAAAATTTTATCTAAAAATTATATAAACTATTTAACAAATCATGCTTGTGGGTTCGCAATTGATTTTGGCATATATAGGGGAGTATAGATTTAAAAAAAAAAACCATGATTTTCAATTTATAATTAATTTTGTCATGCATAATAGGTGTTTAGATATTTTTAAGAAAATTATTGTTTTGTATTTATAATTAATTTTGACATACAAGAGAGGTGTTTGGATATATTGACAAAACCATAGTTTTAACCTTTAAAATTGATTTAGTTATCCAAACATATACTTGGAAAATATGTTAACATGCATTCATTTGGTTTAAAGTTAAACGATGGGCAAAAAAAAAAAAAAAACTTAGAGAGTTAAGTGATTGAACATGAACTCGATTGATCCGGTAATTCTAATCTCACTTGAACACGATAATTCGGGTTGGGCCTAGTCTAAAAAAAAAAAAATAAGGGCAAAGTTTAGGGAGGGGAAGAAAGGTATTCATACCAAGTTGAGACAATGGGCAAAATCTCTCAACTATTCTAAATCAACCTGCCATGCGTAGGCAGATTAAACAGCATATTGAGTTAAGCAAATGGCTGTGAAGAGAACAACACACAATGGCAAAAATCGCGAAGTAGTCAATGGATAAGAAGAAGAGAGAACTCACACATTTGGATCAACGAGAGTGTACATATGTGTATTCAATTAATGCAAAATAATAAACCTGATTATCTTTATCCCACCAGCAACGCTTTGCAAGCAATGAACTGGAAAAATATAAACCAGCCCTCACGAATAAAATATGGAATGCTGAACTGGACTTGCTTCGGAAAGATGACACAAAATGCCTATAAAGGGAAGCAGCGGCCTCATAGCGAATCACACCGTCATTGTGGCACCCAGTGTTCTCCATTTCCACAGTTTAAACATGGAGTCCAACAAATTTGCGGTATTAGCGTGTGTGATAGTAATTGGTGTTATTGGAGTGTGTGAAGGAGGTGGGCTTCGTAAGAACTTTTACAAGATGACGTGTCCTAACGCCAAGCAGATTGTGAAGAGCATAACAGAGAAGCGTGTGTTGGAAAGGCCTGATTTGCCTGCCAAGTTGCTGAGATTGCATTTTCATGACTGCTTTGTCAGGGTATATATTAAACCTGAGTATGCATGCATGTCTCTCTCTGTCTTTATCATGATTCACGAATAACTTGTCGGGGGTGAACACACATGCCAGGGTTGTGATGGGTCTGTGCTGCTGAACTCCACGGCCAACAATACTGCAGAGAGGGACGCACTTCCTAATCTAAGTTTGGCAGGTTTCGATGTCATTGACGAAATTAAAACAGAAATGGAGGCCCAGTGTCCAGGAGTGGTATCCTGTGCCGACATACTCGCACTAGCTGCTAGGGACGCTGTTTCCTCCTCCGTAAGCTCATCAAAACCTTTCTTCTTTCCATTTCCAGTTTTCCACAATTCATGCATGTTTCTGTTTCTCAAATACACACTTCGTTTGCAATTAATGCTTTTTTGTTTGACCCTGGGATATAATATAACATTGATCACAACCCACTAGTGCAGTTCGATAAGCCACTGTGGCGAGCGCTCACTGGCAGAAGAGATGGCACGGTCTCCAACAGCGCTGAAGCCCTGGCCAATCTCCCCTCCCCTTTCTTCAACTTCACCCAACTCAAACAAAACTTCGCCGCTAAAAAGCTTACGGTCCATGATTTAGTTGTCTTATCAGGTACATCAATTACTCATCTGCTGCAACACACACACACACACACAAATGAATTAAGCTTTATGCATATATGGATATATGTAGGTGCGCACACAATCGGAAGAGGGCATTGCAACTTGTTCAGCAAGAGGCTGTTCAACTTCAGTGGGAACGGTGATCAAGATCCTGCATTGAACTCCACCTATGCTGAGTTGTTGAAGACTCAGTGCCGAGGCCTCACCGACTTCACCACAGCTGTAGAGATGGACCCCGGAAGCTCTACCACCTTCGACACCAACTATTATTCGATCCTTCTTCAGAACGAGGGTCTGTTCACATCAGATGCTGCTCTTCTCACTGACCAGAATTCAAGAACCACCGTCACCCAGTTGGTTCAACAAGACCGATTCCTTAAAGAGTTCGCAGCCTCGATGCAGAAGTTGGCGGCCATCGAGGTCCTCAAAGGCGAAGCTGGTGAAATTAGGACAGTTTGTGGGCTTGTTAATTCGTAAATATGCTTGCTCTTCTGTCACTTTTCGCCTTCCATTGGCGTTAACTATGATCGACCGGATTCGTTCTGGAATAAGGCCTATTTTATTAAGGACTTGTGGATAATGTGATCTTTCATAGTGATGAATAAATGGGTTCCAGGGTAAATGTAAAGTGCATGGAAGTTTGTGGATGAAGGTCAAACAGAAGAGAAAGTTAAAAAAAGTAATAATAATAATAAGCGACAAACTCAACCTCGACTGATTAAACGTTAATTAGAGTTGAGGCATTACACAGCACCTACACTTGCACATGACGAGATCCATCATCTGTAAGCGGGAAACCCCCTTAGGGATCCTAGGCGAGGGATATTAGGATAGGAGCAGTTTGTCAGGGGATTGGAAGAAACTTGATCACATAATCACGTGGCCTCCTCCACCGGTGGAATCATCAGTTGTGATGGGATCCAATCTCGAGTGTTAAGTTATTTTCCCCACTTACTTTGAGTCGGTAAATAGGGCCATTCAGCTTCTCTGCTCTCCTTTTTCCTCCTCCGCCCCTCCACTTCATTTGGAAAAAAGTTTGGATCGTTTTCGTAGTTCATTTGAAAAAAGATTTGGATCATTTGGTAAATGGGGCCATTCGGCTTCTCTGCTCTCCCTTTTCCTCCTCCGCCCCTCCACTTCATTTGAAAAAAAAATTTGGATCGTTTTCATAGTTCAGGTTTAATATAAAATTTTTTATTTTTATTTTATATTTATTACAAAAAATTATAAAATTTTAATAAACCTGATAATGGGTAGTAGTTTAGATTTAATATAAATAAACCAAATTTAATATTAAAAGTTTATAAAAATTATAACAAATTTAATATTAAATTTTTACTATTAAGAATATATTTAGATGGTCAATTTATAAAAATTAAAAACTTTGAATAAATTGGTCCATTGATTGAAAAAATCTTGTGCCCCAAAAAATATAAACTAAATTTATAAAAATTTAAAAATATGACTAGTTTACATTGATATATAAAGAGTTTATCATTTATATATAAGGAGTTTATTATTAATATGCAAAAAATTATCATTAAAAATTTAAAAATTTATAAGGGATTTGTTATATCACTGAAAAATATAATAAATTAGTTATAATGTAAAATATAATAAATGTTAGGTTATTTGCTTAATTTAATCATATAACATAAGCTATATTTACAAAAACCTTAAACTATTAATAAATCTTATCATCAATTTAGACAATCTAAATTTAATATTAAAAATTTTATGTATAAAATATTTGATATTAAATCTACACTGTTGAAAATATATTTTGACATTCAATCCATGAAATTTTTAATGTGATCAAATAAATAAAAAAATTTATAATTTTTATAGTTTAATAAATATAAAATAAAATAATTAAAACATTAAATTTGTACAGTATGTACTGTCTAGATTCGCACATTCCCTCGGGCGAGGGACAGGGGAGGATTCTCCAGATGGGGATCGTGGCCGCAGTTCGGTCGCATTACCGCAACGCCGCAATGCCAATGCTGGGCCCTCTTCGATCTCAAGTCACCCAAGAATCATTCACATTTCACCGTGTCCCAAAACAAGAAAAGAATCATTCACCCACCTCAAGTTACGGTCTCGCGGATAGTGGTGTAATTTCTTGCGTCATAAATTTAGTCATTCCATATTTTGAATGATAAACTGTCATGTGATTATCAGCTAATATCAAGCTTTGTGCCAATTAAATGCTATTATTAGGTCGAAATACACACACAAAAAAAAAAACAAATGTAAAAGTATAAATTCGTTCACAAACTAATTTTTAAAAATGACTGAATATCAAATGGCATAAAATAAATTATTAATTATAAAAAAAATGAAGCACCGGGCACCTTTTGTTGACTTTTAACAAAGGGCCATCTAATTTTTCTCTCCCCCTCTCATTCTCTCTCTCATTTTCAAGTGCAAGCTCGGAATCCTCCAGAAGCTCGAAGCAGTCCTCAATCCTCATACGCCGATTGTTGGAGTAAATTTGGGGCGTAAGAGATCCCGGTGGAGGAGTAGGGAGCTTTGCTCAAGTGCTGTAGGGTCATGTTAAAGGAAATGTGGACGAGCTCCTGCTTCTTCACTGTCATGGAATCTGGGAAGTCAAGCAGCGAGTTCGCTCATAAATTGGGTTAGTGGGTTCTGTTGTAGGTCCAAGAAATTGCCTCCACGAGCTTGCCCCAAATAGCAGCCCCGCTTTGGCTGGACCCACAAGCGTGGCCGCCGAGGACAATCCCAGCAAAGACGACAGAGTTAACAATTAATAGGAGGGCGACAATTGCAAGGACAAGCTTCTTCTTGTTGGATAGCCACTCTGTAGAAGCCGCCCAGCTCGGAGGGTCCAATCCTACCAAATTCCATAATGGTGTGAGAGGTGGGGGAGGTAGTTTGGAGTCTGAAATGGATGAATGAGGAAGAAGGGACCCTTGTATATATAAATTTGGGGATGGAGAAACAGAATGTGAGAGTTTGTGTGGATAAAGGGTGTTCGTGTGTGAGGAGCTGAGCACGAAGGTCTTGGAGTGCGAGGAGTTGGGGAATGTGCTCAAAATAGCTTTGCAAGTGTTGGGTGAAAAAGGCAATGATATTGTGACCAGAACTGCAACAAGAATGCCTTGCACGCATCCAATGATCCTAACCCTCCCATCTATGGATGTATGTGTGTGATTGTGATGAAGGAAAGATGAAGAAGTTCATGAATGTGTGTGTGAGAGAGAGAGATGAGGAGTTGCACAAGTGAGAGAGGCGTGCATTCTAAAAATGAGGGGAAGAGAGAACAAAATTAAATGACCGTTACCCCACAATTTTAATTAAATGGCTCTTCATTAAAAGTTAACGAAAGGTGTAGATGTTCTGCTTTTTTATAATTGATTATTTGTTTTCTACTAGTGTGAGTTACCCAACAATATTCAGAAAAATAATTTATAACTAAATTTACACCTTTATTAAAAAAAAGCACCATGTTTTAATACAATTTAAAAGGTATTTTTCTTTTCATAATTTTAATATAACTCGTAAGACATTTTAATAATAATACTAATAATAACTTTATCTCGTGAACATAAGAAGTGTAAATTCCACTACAACAAAGATTATTCCTGAAAATATTGAAGACAAAAGGTAGATATCTCATAATTAAGTTGCTAAATATATAAAAGTTGAGATTCTGACACCAATTATTTGTTTAGATGATGAGTATAATGAACATAATTCAGACACCAAACATGATCAAATTTCTAAAAGAAATCATTACCGGCAGATAAGAGGAAAATCTAAAGTACTTGGATATACACAGGTTACTCGCTGAAGCAAATTCGCCGCCCAGTGTCCCGAGACCACATGGATGGTTACTTATCTAAGGAGAGATGTGCTTATTTGCCAAATCTAATAATTGTCTGGGTCTCGTCCTCTTTCTTGGAATGTGAATAAAGCAATTCAAACTTGAAAGACGCTTTGATCAAAATGTTATAAACACCATGCGAAGGCAAAGTGGTATACAATCCTTTTTATAGCAATTTACAAGCCAATCAACCAAATTTCCTCACTATGTAGTTAAGGCCATGTTGAGCAGAAGATAGTTTCCATTTCTTCCACCTTCATGCCCGACGTGCGCTATATCAATATGAACAGGAACATCATCCGTACATCAAGAGGCACTCTAAAGCTTTTTGTACACGAAACGGCCAGAATTGATTTTTCCGCCACTACAAAACCAAAAACGAAGTACAACAAAAAATACGTTGTATACTATCGCCACTCACCAGTGACTACATAGGAGTAGCAGAACATTGGATCAAGCCTTGCCAATAAAATCCCCGGTTGCGGCAAGCCTAAGTCATAAATAATGTCACTCATATGTACGCCAGTGAATTGCGATCATGATCTGGCTGGGGTCGACCCCGAGTAGGAGTTGGGGGCCTCTGAATATTAAGCTCCTAAGAAAGAAGGGGAAAAAATTAGCCATTCAACAAATTAACTTACCAGGTATTTTGAAATCTGATCAAGGGAAAAGCTCACCTGCATCCACGTCTCCTCCATGACACGCTCAGGAGATGTCTCCGGAGACTGAATGGGAGGGGGTAAGGGATGAATTAATTTTGGAACCACAACCAAGCCCCTTCCAACTACCAGTATGGCTCCAGCATTGTTAGCCGTCCCTATATGCAAATTAGCTATAAGTGAAACCGAAATGATATCACATTCAAAACAGAAAACTGATGAAAATTGGACTTACCACAATAATTAGTCGCAGAAAAAAGAGTGATCAACTGTCCCTGGGCAAATCGCTCAAAACCATCCATGACACACTCATGCGCTCGTATAATAAGCTGTAATTTATTTTTCTTGCAGAATTCGGTCACACGATCGGGCTGCATATTATAAGAATTCAAGAGAAGGGTTTAAATGAGTACCAAAATAAAAAAAGTTTTTAAATCCTGTAATGTTTTGCTATCGAATTACCATTCCGTTGTCTTATTGTATATTGGTGTAAGATCATATTGATAACACTATGTTCTCAATAAATAAGATTCATTTATATATATATATATATATATATAATTTTAGAATCTTAAATGGAATCTCTACAACTGAAACTTTTAAGGGTAGCAGTATGATTATTAAATTTCCATCGTCATTCAATATTTTTTAAAGGCTAAATCATACACAAGATCATGATTCCATCACTCTGATTTTAAGGGTAGCAGTATGATTTCCAAATAGAAGCAAGCCATATAGCGATTCCCATCTATGATCACATGGGTGATGCCAAAATATGTTGGCTACATATTTGCTGCAGCATGCCATAGGGCTCACAATTATGGTTTGGACCCAGCCGCATGTGGGACGAGGATGAGCCAGTCCTCCACACAATACTGACAGTAAAATAATCAACTAAGACCTATAATTTCATTACATTATCTAGTTATCTACAGTCTAAGCTGTAAGCATGAGATTACATATCTACACACCATGGGAGCAAGGGTAGGAAGAATGAATTCCACATGACAAAACCCTGCGTGCAATGAATGATATCGTACATACCCCAAATGTGACAAGTCCTGGCCCTCTGGCATTTGGTCTCAAACCCTCAACGCTATCATTCTCAGTGGGATCAGACCTACAAGTAAAATGTTAAACTACTTAGTCAAAACCAACACAAACGTGTGTGTGTATATATAATATGACTTTCAGAAAGGAAATGAGATCAGACCATAAAAGGTCCATTAAAATAATAGATCCTGCATCCATTGTTATGGGCCTTTCAAGCTTTTCTATCTGTTCTACTGAATGGATAGACCTTCCTATACCACCATGCATACAGACAATTTTCTTTTCAATGAGGGCAGCAAGAGGAAGATAGTTAAAAAGTTGATTGAACCGTGTCCATGCCCATATTCCATCATTTTCTCCCTACAAACACATAGTTAGTTGCAGAGTTGAACCTAAAAACTGAAGCACCACGAAAGCATTCATTCCTACCATTCTCTCTATGCACTCAATGCGAAAACCAAATAGGGCATTTATGTCAGCTGCTTCATGGTTTCCGCGAATCAAGTGAACATTCTCAGGATATTCAATCTGCATAGTCAAAAGGCAGTACACGGTCAGTTGTTGAGTAGAAGTAAACAGGAGGTAGCAAGCTAAAAATAAAATAGAATAAGAGAGTAGCCTGCCTTAAGAGCAAGAAGCAGGGTGATGGTTTCCAAGCTATGCTGTCCTCGATCAACATAATCCCCCAAAAAAAGGTAGTCAATATACCTAAAATATCAAATGAGGGGCTTATCATTAAAACATCCCAAAAAACATTGTGACCAGTTTATATGAAAAGCAAAGCAAGAGACTAAACGCCTTCAACACACCCTCACTTAACCATTAGCTAGACAAGTGTGTTCTGACCAAAAAAAAAACAGAGAATGAAGCAGGCCAAATGGCCGATGAAACCATGCTTCATGTTAACAGACAGTTCAGACTTGGATAGTCCATCAGAAGGAAGGAAGGAAGGAAGGAAGATTCACTAAACTGTTGGAAGAGAGAGCTGTGTTCTCTTCATCAGCTATTTTAGACAGAAAAGCAGTACTACAATGAGCAAAGATGCCAAACTTACGTTATGTCTCCAGCAGTTGAAGGAAATCCATATTCATCAAATAGCCGCATCAAATCACCAAACTGCCCATGAAGATCACCAAATACTTTGACAGGAGCTTTCAGCTGTAGAACAGTTGGTTCATGCATGAATATCTGTTCAGCAGCATAACACAGCTCACCCACTTCATAGGAATCCAAGAAGAACCGCCTGTTTGCAGGAGCTTTCCAGTTGCGAGGCCTGAGCAAAGTTGAAATTATCTGGCAAGAAGATGATGAAAACAAGTGAGCTTGACTACTAATTATGATAAATTGAAGAGTTTAGAATGACAAGTTAAAGCCAGTAACAATTCTTGCCTTTTTATGTAAGCCCTGAGGGGATTTCTGCCTGGTGAACCTTTTTGCAGAACATTGCAAATCATTATTTATGGGAATCATCCTTCTGCTCTCATTTTCAAATTGATCCAGTGATAACTGTCTCACCATTCCACCCAGATTACCCACAGCCTCTTTAGCAACTACAACCTGCAACAAGGTTCATATGATTTTGCAGCCATGCGAGAATTATCAATTATAGATTAGGAATCCAAACCCATACAGCTCTTGGATGAAGGCGAACATCCCCCTCTACATCACTGCCATCTGAAGCTGTTTCTGCAGCTTGTGAGTTGTCATCTGACACAGATGTTACTTCAGCTTGGCTGCTTGATACAGATTGCACAGCTTGCCAGACAGCACTTGCCACCTCAGCCTCAGCGGCAGATGCTTCCCTCAGTTTCTCCATGGAGTTTTTATCCATGGTGCTGAAGATAAACGTTTTCAAGTTACACACGTTCAAGAAGCAGAGTTTCAAACAAAGAAGCAATAAATAAAATACCCCATGCCACCAGATGAGTGAATGTCTGATCCATCACCCAAACCTGGTGTTTTCAGGTTATTAGTTTGGTTCCTGTTGGGGCTTGCAATAGTTGAAGCTCTCTCAGCCGTTAAAACAGGAGAGTTAATTTCAGACGTATGTGAATTTTCAGCTACTAGGAAATCATCCAGCAGAGTATCTGCAATGGATAATATGCTTGGATACATTAGATATGATGGACAAAGAAATCACATCTCACAACAACTAATTTAGTATTTACATATGCTAAGTCAGACTAGCAATTCAATGTGCCACACTTGATTTTCAGTATCAAAATAAGCTCTCAATCTTTGCTGACAACATTTCTCAACTGTACATTCTGAGTGTTTACCTCCTCTGAGACCGCCATAAATATATATGTGAGCATCAACAGCAGCTGCTGCGTGACGACAACGACGCATGAGATCCAAAGAAGGGTCATAATCATAACCTCTGCTTGCACGTGATGAGGTGGTCACAAGGCCATTTCTGTCCAGCCAAACCCCAGCAGCAGTGTCCAATACTATCAAATGAAAAACAAAATATAGGTTACCATAGGAATTGGCAAAAACAACATTGATATCAACACATGCAATGATAAGATCATAAGATATCATAATAAAAGAGAAAGCCTTAATTACCTGAAATGGCTGCTTCACCTTCTACTGCACGTCCGCCCTTAAGAACACCTCCTGTAACATGCAATCTTGCACCTACAAAAACCTGAGTATCCCAACAACAAATTCGATTTAGAAAAAAATAAAAATAAAAAAAATGGCAAAACTTGGTGAATAGAAGAAAAGGGGCTAAAATTCCCAAATACCAAAATTCCAAATTTGTTGTAGGTATCTATACTTACCGCAGCATGTTGATACCTTGGGGAAGGGGAAACTCCAGGTGCAAGAGTCCATTCCCACTGACCATTCCTATGCATGAGCAGTCCATAGGCATCACCTAGTGCCTGAGAAGGATACATACAGTAAATGCACGTGTCTCAAGCAAGATTGTTATGAATATGAATTTTAAGAAAATATGATCTCCCATAATATCAATCATCATTCATCAGACAGTGACCTTAAAACACAAAAAATGTGACGTCAAATATACAAAAGAAAGAATAATAAACTATCACTCTCATAGTTCACTAAAAGTAAACATCATAATGAGCTACTGAAAAAAGTATGTAGAACATACTGCTCCAGAAGAGTCTCTTCCACCACACAGCAGAAACATACCATCTGAGCGGGCACTAGCAGTTGCATACCTGTTTAATGAGGTAGCATAATGCAAAATTTTTAGTCTGATTATGTTGAAAAACATAATAGACCTTCATTTCTCAAGAGACAGAACAGACTTACATTCTAGCAGAAGGTCTGTCACCTTCTGGATTTAACCTCTGCCACACATAAGGTTTTTGAGCGGTATCCAGAGCCCAGGCATCAGACAGGACTCTTTTCCCTATAACATGATTAAATATAATAAAATAATTTTTATATTGCAAGAGTCATGGATAACAACAAATTTACAGTGACACAGCCATGTACTAATAAAATGTGCATTAGAGCCAGATAAATGCATTGGCCAAACAAATATAACAACTTCAAGGAAGCTCAAGCACTCCCAATGAGCTAGTAGCTAGCAGGCATCAACTTTAATTCTAATAGATTGAAGTAAGCTTGATGGGTTCAATTGTTATCCTTCCCACTGAGCCCAGTCCCCACAACTCATGGACATCCAGGGGAAAAATCCCAAGTATCAAATCAGAAGCTATTATTTTTATCCTTTTAACAAGAATTCAGAATTGAATAAAGAGAACAGGATTAAAAATATTAAAACTATGATTGACTAAATCAGACACTGATTCTGTTATCAGAACTCTTTAATTTTTACAAAAAGAACTCTGAAAAACGGGCAACCTCCATGCTTGTCTTTCACAAGCAATAATGGCTGTTATTCATATCTAAGTTGCAACATTTTGCCTATTCAGTGGTTTAACAGCAGGTTCCAATTTTTATTTTCCATTAAAAAGAAATCTAAACAGCCAACATGGTAATGAAGTCTGAGTTGCTCTCACCGTCATTCCCGCTAACAGTGACAAGATATCTTTGAGCAACCAAGTCCATCACATGACCGTAGCGAGGCCCAGGTCCTTGTCCTTGCACAACGACTCTACATTAACGTCAATTGCAAGATTGACTAAAACTATAATTTCACTAAACTGGAAACATTAGGAAGGAAAAAGCTTTGTTAATTAAGCTCACCTGTGCCACTTGAATTTATCATTGGTCATGTCAAGCACAAAGAGGTCATCGGTTGAATGCCCGGCAGGACCTATCCCGCCCTAGCCATGCAGCATCAATCAATTAGATCATTATACTATCCAAAACTAGCAATCATCAAATTTCCCACAACAGGGATTTATTTCTAAATTACCTGGAAAACAACCATAGTTCCAACAGCAGCCGCAGCATGGGCAGCCCGAGGAGAGGGCGGCTCGCCAGCGGGTCTTATTCTGAACATTCAAAACAGCAAAGATCGTTATTCAGTAACATTCCGACCGCTAACAAGAAAGAACAGAAATGAAGTTCAGTTCAAAAATTTAACATTGAAAATGGGAATCACCTGGTCCATTTTTTCGAGGCAACGTCGTAGGAATGAACTGAATTTGTGACTCCCGCTAATCCTTCAGAACACAGCAAACAACCAAAAGTAAGCAGAATTCAGGAATGAACGGATATATATATATATATAGAGAGAGAGAGAGAGAGAGAGAAGGGTTTGTAGTAGAATAAGCATTAGTACGAATGCCGGGAGTAGAGGAAGAGCCTCCTTCAATGGCGGTGGCGCCCCCGAATAAGATGAGGCGGGGGCCTTGCGTCTTGGTGGCGGCAACGGCCGTGAGCGTGTGGCCCGTTCGGGGACCCGGGGCATCTTCATCGGTATCCCAGAGGGTCTCTAGAGTTCGATAATTCGGAGCCGGGTACAGCCACGGCTTGGAGCCCATTCCCCAAATATCCCAGATTCAGCGGCACAGATCACACACACAAATGTAACACTAAAATCCACCAGAAAGATCGAAGATCCCTACATACAAGGCAGGTAGTGGTGGGACCCGGACTAATCCCGGACCCATAGCACAACACAAGGTGTAGTCTTTTACTTGAAATATAAAATCTCCTTGATTAACCTAGATAGCGGAGTGTGAATGGGATCGGGATCGCAGTCGAGCTCAGAAGATTCATGATTGCGATTTAAATTGGGGTTCGCCGATGAAGGCGCTTGTAGGGAGAAAGAGAGCACCCGCCCGCTCACGCAGCTCCCTATTGAAGCCGCCCTTAGTGATTGGGAATTGAACGTCAACTACTCAGGCGCTCGTATAGATGACACGTGCGCCCGCTTTCGCTTTCTGAGAGACCACGGCTAGTATGTGACTGCTTCGTTTTCTTTTCTAACGCGAGACTTGGACACTCTGGCAACCATTAATCAATCCTTTCACAGTTTCATGGACGATGCTGATTAATATGAATTTTATGTTTTGCATTGATGATTGATTATTATTCCTTTTACTTCTGTCTATATTATTAATTTATATTCTTGTAGTTTATTGAAAATGAAATTATTTTCTGAAATCAATCCACTGGTTATTACATTTACGAAGAAAGTGTCGCCGTGGAAGCTATCCTTCGGGCTTCTGATAGTTACGGGTCACAGTTTCAGCTGGGTCTCTGGAATAGTAACAGAGGAAGAAGGGTGAAAGTAGCATTGAGATCACAGAGTGGCATATACATCACGTCCCCTAACATTTCAACGCACAGCGAGTGCGTGTGCGATAATTCAGGATTTGTCATTTTTCTTTCCCATGTTTATGAAATGAGCGTATTGCTAAATAGCTGTACCGTTTTCCTAGGACAGCTGAACTTCTTTTAATTCTGCGACGGGAGGGAATTCTGAACCGATACTTTGGGAGGCAAGCTTCTTCACTTGTCTTTAATAAGGCAAAAGTGAAAGTGGTGGAGCCCGAAAATGATTCTGTACATTATTGGCTTGATTTACAATGAACAGGAGTTATACACTTATACTTCATGCAGAGACACGTACAATAACGGGTTGACACACGTTACAAATGAAAAACAATCTAGAAATAAGAGAGGCCATGAGGATGATTTCTGGCTTTTGTCTGATGTGGAGCCTTTGGCTGATGTGTCCGTCTGATGTGGTCCAATAGACATGGCGATCATTTCTCAGCACGTTCCATGTTCAAGCCAACAAAAGAAACACATGGATTAAAAATCCCAAAACCCAAAGGCTGGCACACGGGATTGAAGGCTTGGGATTGAGACAGGCACTGGGGTTGCACAAATACTGGACTGGATCGAGTTAAAACCAAACTCAAGGTATGATCTAATTTTAGATTGAGCTAGCCATGGTAGTCCATGGTCTAATCCAGTCCAGCATGAAACCCAGCACTAGACCAAACTAAATAAAGTCCCTTGAGTTATTAAACCAGTCTCACAGACTATACCTTTTTTTTTTAAATCTAGACAAAAGTTTTGAATTGCATACTCAAGAGAAGATGAACAACTACATAAGAATATATCAATTATCACAAATTTGTAATAAAAATATTACAAATACAAATCAAATAATCAAACCACTCAAACATATCACTTTTAGGTTATAGAGAAAAAGAACAATTTTCTATTAGACTATGGGCTTCACTTAAACATCTTTAACCACCACCAACAATACAGCGATTGAGAAAAAAGGAAGAAGAAGCATAGAGCAGGCGGCGAGGATGATGAAGAAGCTGACCATGAAGACAAAACAAAGGCAAATCGACTTGGTTTTTCTTCGTATTGTCAGTGGGATGCCTCATCAATATTTGCACATGAGAAATGACCAATGTAAAGAACTAGAGAGGCTGTGTGGAGGAATTGTAGACGGAAGAAAGGACAAAGGATAGGGAGACGTCAAGCATTGAAGGTTAAGGGAGATAAGGTTAGAGTAGTTCCAATTAAAGGATGAAGACTTTGCAGAAAGGTGATGCTTAGGTTGAATGAAAGTGACACGCCGTAATAAAAGGAAAGACTAATATGATATACTATATATTATAAAATATTATACATTATATAATATTGTAATATACATATTACATATTATAACACCAGGTCAAACCAAACTAAAAGTCTAGCAGCTTAGTTTGGAGTCTAGTCCAACCCAACCAATCCACCTGGTCTACTTAGTCTAGTTCTTGCATCAAGTTATTTTTTACGTAGATTAAGTTAGATCAAATTTGCTTGGATTGGACCGAGTTATATAGACCAGTGGGTTTTTTGCATACCCCTAACTAGCATTAAGAAAACCTAACTTTTCATGTTTAGTATAGATTATTGAGTAATCCAAACCCAATCCCACCTTACATGGGAATATTTAATACTATCCACCCCCAACATTGCGAAATCAATATTGGGATTGAAAATATTCAATCAAAATTGCCTCACCTGTCTCTCTCCCCCTTGTCCCTTCCTTTTCCTTACTCGACGATCGATAATGTGTCTTCTATAACATCTAAAATTTAAATCTTTAATTAAGTAGCGAAATAATCAAGTTTAAACTGTTAAGTGGACTTAGTGAAGGGCTAAAGATTGATGTAGTGTGTGGCTGCAAAGAGCTAATAAATATTTTGGATTGTAGTTGTAACCTTAGGATTGAGTTTGAAATGAAGTTGGGCCACTAAACATTAAAAAGTGAGAAAAACAAAGAGAAGCGACTCTGTGCCACATGCTGCGGTGCACAAGTAAAGCCAGTAATTTGGACCGAGTCTAACGGGTTAGCCCGAATCTGCCCAAAAGAAGTCAGGGCCGAGCTTAGAAAAAATTTAACTTTTTTATGTTCGGGCCTATTCCGGCTTTCCCAAATAGGCTCGAGATCGGGCTTGGCCCGAATAGCCAAATAAAAATATTTTATTTTTACAAAATATATTAAATATGATAAATATTAATTAATTAATTAAGTGTTAGGTTATTTTATACTAAAATACCATATATTTGAGTCCTATACATCATTTAAGTATCAAAAAATATATTTTATATTTTTATAAAATAAAATAATTAATTTTAAAGTGAAAAATTTAATTAAAAATGATTTTAAAAATATAAATTTGGGTATTCGAGCCACCTGAAGCCTAAAAAAATTCGGGTCAGGCTTGGCTATTCGGGCTTCTCAAGGAGTCAGGTCTATTCAGGTTTGGCCCGAATAGACCCGGCCCACCTAAATTCCCAGCTTTATGCACAAGCCACTAGAACACCTAATTTACCTCTCTATATCACATGAGTGCGTGGTGCATGCGCTGTAGTGTATGGTACATTTTTTCTGCAGTCACAAATCAGACTTGAAAAACAAAGAAGAAATAGAAAATAAAGAGCACCAAGAAAGCTCTACTAGGATTTACTTATAGAAGGGGATTGGGACATTTTAAAGTTACTAAACTCTAAGGATAAGTCTCCTAGCTTGTTCTTCTTCCTTCCCAACCCATTTTCTTAAGTTTTTTATTAGGGTTTGATAATAGGAGACAATTTTGAGTTCATATAGGTTATGTGTCTAAACTTGATGGTTCAAATGGAGTTAATAAGAATTGTTTTGAGTATTTAAACCTAGAAATTATAGGTTTATACATTAATGATGGTTGAGAACCATTAATGTCTAAAAAATAGGGATAATGAGATTGTTAGAAGACATTAATGACCTTAGAAACATTTAATAAAGCTAATTAGAGTTAAAAAGAGTTAATACATCCAATAGGTTATCCTGCATGTGAAAAATAAGGGCTTTAAGTATTTTAGTTATGGACAATAAGAGTTAAAAGTGTGTATTTAACAATGTTGATGAGTTTAGACTTGATTAATTACAGATTAATCATTCGAACGCTATAGTTGGCTTGGAAAACAAGCTTGGGAGCAAGCTGTTTAGGGTAAACCTTTGATCTCTCAAAGGTTTAAGATAACTGGACAAAACCTATCTTAGGTTTATTTGTTAATTGTGCTATAATGTGAAAATGAGTTTATTTACATGTATGATTAAAATTACGAGTGTGAAAACATGCTATAAACCATATGATAATGTACTAACCTTAATTTGACCTAAATGTGGAGTTGAATTCAAAATGATTTTCAAACTATGAATATGTATTGGAATGATAAGTGTCTAATATGTGATGTGATGATTGTGTGTTAGTAAGGAATGGTTGATTAGAAGGTGCATGTTGAGTTAATATTGTTTATGCTCATATATATTAATTGACTAGGTGATTTGAAAACAATAAGCTTGATAATGTGAATCATGAACATATGAAAATATATGTGAGCATAAGACATTGCACGATCATTTAGTGGGAGTTCACATAAGGAGAGGAATAAATAAAATCTATATGGTATTTATGGCCACCTTTCGGTGCATGAAGGTTACTTTTATCCCACTATTTATTATAGGATTGTCCTATAGTTTGTCAAAATATTAAAACCTAACTATCTCCACCTGCTTGTTGAGAATATTAGCTTAAAGTATAGGACACCTCAGAGATTTGAGAGTAGGGAAAGCCATAGTTTGAGAGTAAGTGCTATGATCTTTTAGTGGGTCACATCTCATAATTAGTGAGTTTGGGTAGTCTGGTCATATGGATGAAGCCTTGATTAATAATCTATCTCACAGTTTCAGTGGGAGAAAATAAAGATGTTATAAGGAGGTATTGATCATGCATATGTGTATCCAACGTGTCACATGGTTGTTAAATTTATGGAAAGTCATAATAGTTGAGTGTATCATTATCACACGGTTGTCTATATTGTGGTAATGTGTATCACTTTTGTTGATAAGACCATTATCTATGGTTATCTGTATTGAGGCAACATGTCTCATGATATGAACATATGAAAAATAAAAAAGAGTTAACTTGTGAAATTACAACGTGTATTGTATGCAATCTCAAATGTTTAAGCATTCAACTCCCACTTATGTGTTTTTTTATTAATTGATATGCAACTATATAGAATAGATGTACCTTAGTTATTGAGTAGTTATACTTACTCCTCTTTCTTAATATTTTATAAGCTCTAGCTCTAGTGTAAAAAGGAAAAAGGTTCTAAGGCTTAGGAATCTTAGGTTCATACTGTAAAGCCTCTATCCTCATGTATTTTTGTGTAATAGTTAGAATATTATTAATTAAGGTGCATTTTTGTATATACTAGCACTATATTGATGTTTTGTAACTTGGGATGTATTTTGGGCTCTAGAATGTTCCTTGTGAGTTAATTAAGTCTTGTTAGGACCAAATATTAGTATAAATATAGGAAATATTGTTATGTTTTTGAATTTGAAATCTAATAATTT